GTGGTAATGCGAGGTCATAGGTTGACAAAAGTAAAGCCGAGACTGTGCATGAATGCATTCGGGCCGTTCGAATGAAATGCTTTAGACTAGACACTAGCTAAGCGTAGCCAGCAAATTTTGAGACTCGAGAGGTGAAAAAGATGGAAGGAGGGTCCCGTTCAAGTTCTCCACAATCCACACCGATTCGCACACTCCTGGGCTAACATGGATGGGCTCTTGGATTCCAGGGCATGCTGACAAGAAGAGTGACACATGGCGGAGACTTTAGACTTTGCAAGCCTGGGCTCGACTGACGGTCGGTAGCAAAAGGTGGAAAGCGGGCGTGAGAAAGAAACAAAGTACGTACCACCGCCTAGAGCTGTTGAACCAATTGAATGTAACGAACGGCTTTTCCTGTCGGCAATGTCTCGAGTCCACCTCCGAATTTCCACTGCATCATCAGCGGGGGACTTGCCCCGTTTAAAACCTCGGTGTTCGGCTTGGCTGCGCGGGCTTGTTCGCATACGACGTGCATTGGTGTATCCATCTCCGATCCTCGCTCTTGCTGAAGAATGGTGATGTAAAGGATGGTTGGGTCGTACTTTTGACACCTTTCGAGCAGTATTGTTCAACAAGGTTGAAGGTTGCAAGGCATCTCAACTATACGGTTCAATGGTTGGAAGGAGGAGTAGTCAGCAACCTTCAACCCAGTAACCTGAGCTCGATCCGCCTATCGCCGATAGGCCAAGACCGACCACACTTCTTTGCTGGCATCAACTGTCGCTCGAACCTAGACCTCCAACCTCCAAGACTTTTCGGAGCACCGAATTCAGTTAGTCACTGAACTCTCGACACCCCTGCACTTTTGCATGTCCAAGCCTCCAGACAGATTCCGTCCAACTTAACCTAAAGACAACGATCTATCCTTGAGCAGCTGTGCGGCACAGACCTACTGAGACCTACTGAGACTACTGTACAGTACTCGCATCCCGTAAGCAACCGCCACCACCACCACCACCTCCTTCATCACTGCACACTGCACAGTGCACCGTGAAGCAGCGAAGGAGCTCTGTGTGGAACCGCTTGTCGGGCGCTACTGTACTCCGTACTCGAGCTATCTAGCTGTACGAAGCCTCCTCTGCGGCCCAGCCAACGACGAGGGATTGCGGTGGGCGACTAACTGGGGTTCAAACGGTCATCCCGCATGAAAGCTCTCTCTTGCTGCTCTTGCTGAGTAGAACTCGCAAGACGGACGGGAACACGCCCTGTCTATCCTTCCTTTTCTTCAGTCTTTCAAGGTTTGGCTGCATGCATGTCTGGCTTTTCTCCTAACTTCCTTTCCTCCTCGGCATAGTCTCTTGTCGCATCCCATCACTGGCCAACTGAACCGATCCGACTGCTGAGATTTCCATAAAACCCCCTTATTATATTATTGTTATTACTATTGCATGTCTTCGTACTTCCTTGAATCTTCTTCTCTACCTGTGTCTTATGACCTTTTCCTATCCGATTATTCTTCTCATTGCTCTGGCTTCTCAACAGAAACTGGCTTAAATATCGGAGTTCCTACTACTCCGAAAATCGATTTTCATTCTTGATTTTCTATTTTCTTTTTTCTTTTCTTTTCTTTTCTTTTTTTTTTTCTGCTGTTCTCCCTCCTTTTCACTAACCACATACCATCTGTTACTATTTTATGCTTAACTAATTTAGGATAGTTCCATCGGGGGCCCCTTTTTATTCTGGAATTTTACCACATACATCCTCTCTCTTCAACATCGCTGCTTTGGCCTGGACGCTTGGTTTTCACTTTGCACTAGCGGGGCATTGCGATAACGTACCAAGGATTCAGCCGGAGGGTAATTCACTTCTGGCCACCGCTCCATTGCTCAATCATCAATCCATCAATCCAACTCGTCTCCAATTTATTCTACTAATTCTTACCTCACCCACTGCCACCACCACCACCACCATTACCGTCCCATATTCCGCACTTTTTCTTTGTTTTTCTTCAACATGTGCGCCGACAATGCCCCTCCACATGAAAACGATGACAGTATCATTGAGCCGGATGTCAGTGACTCTGCCGAACTTTAACCTTTTCCCCCAGAGCTAACCCGCAGGTGCTGGCTCAACAGGACTTCGACGACAACGACTCCACTTATCCCGACTCGTAAGTTTCCCAGCCCACGAGACTGACGTCCGCCGTTCCGCTGGTTCGCGCTGGATCACTACCACTACCACTACCACTACAATTCCAAACCTTGACAAGAGCCATGCTAATGTCTTCTCTAGACTGGACGATGCCAGCTATACATCTAGTCTCGCTTCGAGTGCTATGAACTATGCGTATGTATTTTGCGAAAAAGAACATTGTTTACCCAGTTCGTCTCTCTCCAGGCCGAGCTAATCAATCCTCCAGCTATGAGGTATTCTAGGTTTCCTCGTCCGCGTCCTCCTCGTCGCTAATTAGGTTCGCCTTCTCCAGAACGGTCGTAGATATCATTCCTATCATGAGGGTGAATATGTTCTAGTATGATACACCTCTTCTGCTACGGGGGCGTAAACGCTCTCGACGCAGGTCAGCCTCGAAACTCGGAACTCGCATACTGATGATAGTTGCAGCCCAATGACGAACAAGAGCAAGATCGCCTCGATTTGGTTAGTACACCACTCTCACATACGCCCGCATCTTCAATGGAAAAGACCGAAGGAAGCGGCGAGTCACGAACAATGGATGTTAATCAGACGACACTGGATACAGAGCCATCACATCTATAGCATGCTCCTGAAAGGGGAATTGCACCGGGCGCCCGTCCAAAACCCCGCTCGTGTCTTGGATCTCGGCACGGGCACGGGAATTTGGGCAATAGACTTTGCGGAGTAAGTTGCACTCATACAATTCTGCGGGGGAAAAGAAAATAAAAAGCTCGAAGCTATGATGCGGCGAAGGAAGGCGACCTGGGAAACGAAGCAGCTAATGCGTCACAATCCCTGACAGTGCGAATACGGGATCAGAAGTTATCGGTAAATCCAGCCACCCACCTCGTCCTTTATGGCTGCTCGCTTTCCCGTCAGGCAAACGAATGATCTGACTGACCATCTGGGGCTTTTTGTTTGGAACTCTATAGGCAACGACCTCAGTCCTATTCAACCATCATGGTAATTCGCCCCCAGCCTTAGTCCACCCCCGGTGTCCATATAGCACTACATCCCCGGCCACCATCAAAACACCAGGATAACATACGGAACAGGGTCCCCCCAAACTGCCGCTTCGAGATCGACGACTTCGAACAGCCCTGGTCGTACAGCAAACCGTTCGACTACATCCACGGCCGCGAGCTGGAGGGCTGCATCCGCGACGTCGACCGGCTGATGGCGCAGGCGTTCGAGAATTTGCGGCCGCGGGGTTACTTCGAGATCGCCTCGATGGAGGTCAACACGTACTCGGACGACGGGACGCACCATCGGGCGACGACGCTGCTGGAGGGGATCAAGTTCATGCACGACTCGGCGCGCAAGTACGGCAAGGACATGCAGACCGTGCACGGGTGGAAGGAGAAGATGGAGAATGCGGGGTTCGTGAACGTGCGGGAGGAGATTTATAAGGTAGACGTCTTCTGAAGTCCCGAGACCTAACCTCAAGCCGTGGGGATTTCGGGCATCTGTGTGATCACATTCACTGACCACGTCGGAATCTACAGCTCCCCCAAGGCCCCTGGGCCAAGGACCCCAAGATGAAGGACCTGGGCAAATTCCACCAGGTCAACATGCTGGAGGCCATGGGGCCCTACTGCTACGCGCTGTTCACGCGCGTCATGGGCTGGCAGCGGCCCGAGATCGAGGTGTTCGTGGCCGGGATCAAGAACGAGCTGCGCGACCCCAGCATCCACCTCTACACCAAGGTCCATATCGTGTATGGGCAGAGGCCGGAATGACATTGGGGTGCGGGTGGTTTGTTGGGTGTGCTGGGCGTGCTGTTGGGATCACGGAGTTTTGTTGATGGTGGCTTCGTGATGATGACGTTGATGACGTTGATGACGGCGTGTTCCTCTGTCTGGGTTGATGATTTAGCGCTGGCTACTTTTAATGAGAATGACCACTATTTTTACTACACTGGTTTTTATGATCGTTGGGGCTGTAGATGAGTGGGTGTGGATGATTGTCGAGGGAGAGCGGATGCGAATTTGTAGTACGGACTGTGCAACACGCGAGACAAGCTATTAAGTTGAGGTGTGGTCAGGATGACATAGACTACCCGGCTCACCTTGCTGTAAATGGCCCGGAGTTTACGTTTAGCCATACATTATAGCAATCAAACAACACTTTGCGAGAACGTGCCGATCCCGTCTATCCAACCCCCAACCAAAAATTAATCCAAAAAGCAAAAAAGAAGCTGGTCCCAGAGGGGCTCGAACCCTCGACTTTAACGTTATTAGCGTTACGCTCTAACCAACTGAGCTATGGGACCCAGTTGATGTAGTGGGCTTCCTAGCTTAGTTTCACAGTCCCACAAACAAAGCGTCAGAAACGTACACGCCCTGTGTAGAAGTTCACATTATTTTCCTAAGCATTGGCCTTAGAGAGAACAGAAGGTGGTGATGGACCTTTCTTAATTGTCAATTAGTCGACGCGTGGTTTGCTGGATGACCCACTCGTCTTCCGGTCCACTAGACGTAAGGGTGCTACTAGGTATGGTATCTCCGGCTGGATCTACGGGAGCTGCGTCATAGGCAGGATGGGTTGATGAGCAATGTACGAAAGTAGAAGTCCACCTTCGGCTCCTATAATCATAGTCACCTTCGAATTATATCTCCTGCTGGATTCTAAAGTGATAGCCAGACCAGTGCTGCCCCGAGACACGCAAACAACAGACCGAGATCGTGAACGACACCAGTCAACATATTCTATTCGTGCATCTTTCTATAGACATACATACACAATGGAGTACACAACCCCAACAACCCCCACCTCCAACCCACCTACCTATATACAACCACCTCTCCCGATCCCCCGTGAGAAGATCACAACTTCCCACTTCTCCCCGCGGCACCCGCAGGGACAAAACTCCCCTCCCCACCCCCAATCGCACCCACAATAGCATCCACACACTCCAGAACCCACAGATTCCCCGCCTCACTCGCCAACCACTCCGCGCCCGCCTTCGTCTCAACATCCCCCGCCCAACTCCCATCCTCCACCGCCTTCCGCAACCCAAACACATGCGAGGTAACCTGGGGCGCGACGCCCGTCTGCGCCCGCAGGCACGCCACGGCCACCAGCGAGGTGAGCACCCGCCCCACCTTCCCGGCCTTTTCCTGGGGGGGATCCGCCAGCAACGCCCCGTAGTTCATGTTCAGGATGTGCACGGGCAGGTCCGGGTGCGCGCGCGCTAGCTTCTCGTAGAGTTTCGTCTCGAAGGGCCGGTAGATGCTGTCCCAGAGGGCGCGGCCGCGGGCGCGGATGCCCTCAATGGTGGCCGGAGTGGGTTCGCGGGTGGGCGTTGTGGAGAGGTTGTCGGTTATGGAGGCTGGTAAACTGGCGCGGAAGGCGTTGAGGCAGTTGATTGTGCGTGGGATGCCGTTGAAGCTGATGCATTTGAGGCCGACTTCGCGCATGAGTTCGGCGGTTGCGAGGGGGGTGGGGGGTTCCGGTGTGGAGGAGGTGGTGGTGGCGAGTTCGTAGAGCACGGTCAGCGAGTCCGGCGAGTTCATGGTCATTGTTGTTGCTGTCTTGATTCCCCACGGGAGGTTTAGTCTGGGTCTGGGGTACGGGGGAGGGAAGGGTATTAAGGGGCTGGGCTGGGAGACGCACCGATAGGGCCAGCCATGAGGGCTGCGAAATGCCCTTGGCTTGGGCTTCTTGTTGGATCTTCGCGTACACGGACTGGATGTTGCGCGGCGCGGGCAGGGTGTTGGGTCGCGCGGCGGGCGAGTTGATTAGCGCTTTGAGCGCGGGGGACATTCGCGACATTTCGACGGGATATTGTTGCGCTTTGCGCCGGGGTGTCGTTGTGGTGTGGAATTGAGGCTTTAAGAGGATGGGACGGAGCTGCCGCCGCGAGTCTTATCTAGTGACCTCGGCTGCCAGATGTGGTCGCCGAGAGGGCGGATGACGCCGCGCTGTGGGTCCGGCTTGTCTTTCTCCGCCAGTTGATGAGATGATTGCACACTTGAGTAACTAGAGCATAAGACTCGGCGAGTCTGGTAATCCATCTTTTAAATAAAGATGCAAATCAGTCAGGTACAGCAGAAGCTTATGAGTAGTCGAAACAAAGTGAGTCCTGGAAGAATGAAAAAATACTGATGAGGTTCCTGTAAAAAGAGGAAAATCTATGTTGGAAATGGTCACTCAACGGTCTGCGGTCGAGAGAAATGGCCCTGGCAGGAATATGTACTCCGGACGAGCAGATGCTGCTAGCGAGAATCGAAGCCTCCCGTCATTGACGTATAATTCGTTCGGGGCAAAGACGACATGAGCCACGAGCAGAGAGGGATTGCTCTTACGAAATGTCACCGCTGCTGCATACAGAGCCCCATCTCAGGCTTTCACAATGTTGCTCTCAATGCCCCAAGCTCAATGCGCAGTCCGGAGTGTTGACTTCTGTGTCAACGGCGACTCGGCTGTGGAACATCAGGGCACCGTCAATCCGCAAGTGCGCGATGTCTTCGTTCGATACATCCGTGTCCAGCAGTGGGCAAGATACTTCCTTGTGGCTTATCGGTCCTGGTAGACGTGATGGTCAGTCAGCTCGGGACTGTTCATATACCTCAGCAATTCCCTCCCTCTTCATCCCAAGTCACAGAGCCAGTTGATCGCTTTGTGCAGGTTGGCATTCCCGTGATTCAGCTATGGGGCGGCATATGTTTGCTGTGGTGGCCTTGATGTAAGTGATACCTTGTTCCTGGATGAACTTGCCGAGTTCAATTATATCTCCCCGCTGGCACCACAGAACGATGAACACAGTCCTACCCTCGACCAGTCCGTATGGATAGGTCCCGAGAAATGGCGGAAGCCGAGGGCGCTATGCTGTAAGCCCACTGAGTCGGAATCGGCATGGCGCGGGACGGGAGGGGAGAGCCAAGAAGAGACAAGCATTTCCATTACGCCAGGAAACGGCTTACAGCCGCCCTAAGCATGAGGTATAAGTTCTCTCCAGGAGATTCTAGGCTCTTCATCGTACTCATTGGTGATCCCGGCGATGAGGTATTGATTCCCAGCATGTCACTAAGGCGATGATTGGACTAGAGCTCAGCTCCCACCGGTTAGGGCCACGGAGATTAGTCGCGGATTTTACGCCCTCGACCGAACGACTCGGTAGGAGACTCGGTATTTCCTTTCGGTCTCCGGCCTCTACGGCGAGTCTCTCACTCATGGACAGCCTTGTCTGATGTCTGGATCTCTTCGGTGGTCACATTATAAAGAACTGTAAGATTAGTAGTATATAACCTCCCACAATCACAGGCGCTCCAGTACCCCCTCATCCCTCTCAAACCAAACCAAACAAAGCCCAGAAACAAACCGGAATAAGAGCCACAGAAACTCTCAATCCAATCCACAGACCACCCACCCACCTCATCGACCCCCTCCCCCCTCCCAAAGAACAATGTCCTTCTTCCCCACCACCCTTCCCGCCCTACCCCTGCGCGAAGCAATCATCGACCCCCTCTACCGCGCCGTCCTCTCCTTCGACGACGCCGACCTCCCCCTCTTCGAGTCGGCCTTCTTCGAGGACGCGGTCTTCGACTTCAACGGCCGCGTGATGGAGGGCCGCGCGGCCATCAAGTCCGGCAGCTGGGACTCTGTTTCCAAGCTGGACACCACCCACTTCTTGAGTAATGTGCGCATCAACCTGCCCGCGGAGGATAGTACCACCGCGACTGTGACCGCCTCGGCGTTGGCGCAGCATTTCCGGGCGGGCCAGGGGAACCAGCCTGGTACTGCCCGGTTGATGAGTGGGGCGCTGTATTCGGTTGATGTGGAGAGGGATCTTTCGGAGGGAAACGGGGTGTGGAGGATCAAGCGCTGGAGGATGAATTTGGTGTGGACGGAGGGGGATTGGGGGGTCATGACTGGGAATTAACATTGAGGGCTGGATGGTGGGATGGGGTTATGTTGGGTTAGGGGGAGTATGAGGGTGGGTGGGTGGCTGGATGTAAGGAAGGTACTTCATAGTAGGAGGTGGTATGATTGATGGGTTAGTACCCTGGAGAAGACTTGTTGGTTCTTTTGTGGGACTGGAGTGATAGCACGGACATATTGTGCCTATCGATTGCTACTCATCCGGGCACAACCTGCCAGATCTTGTTAATTGAGCGTATTAAGATCCGTGTTCATATTTCACAGCAATGCCCCACTGATGCAACACCTCAATAATCCAACCCGTTATTCCATCGCAAGGCGTACGTGCAACAATGGCAGTCGAACCCGACATGCTCCTCTTCCAGGCTGGACCGGACTTTCTCATACTCGAGCTGCACGCCAACCGACCGAAAAGCATCATCGAAACGCATCTTCGCATTAAGGGCGCGATGCAAGATCTCAGTTTGAGAGAACTTGGCCGACTGAACCGTGACGCTCCGCAGACGAGGCAGCGCCCCCGTCATCGCCCAGCGATAGACGAGTGGCAAAGTCTCCTGGTCTGGCACGCTGTACTCTCTATACTCCCGAAAAACCAACCTCTTTAGACTGTCCGGAAGCAGACACTCCGTAGAGTGTCCACCCGTATCCCTACTATCACCTCTCAGCACCGTCGGATCAATCGTAAGCTGTCGCAGACCCCGGAAATCCCGGAAATCCAACGGCGGGTTGTGGCTGCCAATCGCATAGAAGTCTAGATCCAGACTGACCAGCGAGTCGGCATGCGTGCGGATAGCGTCGACGTAGCTCTGTCGGTCTGCCGGCCAGAATTCCGGAGGACTTGTTGCTGGGACACCTTTCCAGGTGAGGTGCTTCAAGGCTTTAGGGACACTCAGCAGCTCACGCAACCCGCCCCAGGATACATCACAACAGAGCAGGGTGAGACTCTCCAGCCGGGTGGAGCGCGGCTCGTACTGCAGGGCAGGATCCAGGCCCCCGACGAGCGCTCCGACCAGGGTCAGTTCCCGTAGGTGCGGGTGGACCATGACGGAGCTCCGCGTATCAAAGCTCCACAGTTCCGTGCGGATCTCTGGGTTGTAGGGTACGTCGTCCATGATCATTTGGCCTTCAGCGAGGAAATCAGCATCGTGTGCTATTCGGGAGAGGGGAATCATCTAACGGACATGACTCCAAGGAAGGCAGGATATCCGCGGCCCCCGGGTGCCCAGCCTGCTCAAACAGCCGAAACCACTCCGCCGCGTAATCGTCGAATCTCTCTACATTGCCCGAGTCCGGATCGTCGTAGTCCCGCGGCGCATCGTAGAGGAGCCCCTTGACCGTCAGCCGCCGGAGGTTGACCAGCCGGCGGATCGTCGGCACCAGACTCTCCACCAACAGCGGGTAGTATTCCTGCTGGTTGGGGACATTGACATAGTGATAGTGGACCAGCAGCTCGCGGATGTACTGCGCCAGGGCTGGGCGGAGCTCTAGTGCGCGAATGAAGGTTTCACCGTCGTGGTTGCGCAGGTAGATGGACCGGTAGAGGATTGGGTCGACTAGCGCCTCGAGTTGTCGGCACACACGCGCCATGCGAGCGAGTGACGCTCGGGAAGAGATCAGGCCGATGATGGCTTGCAGGATCTCTGTGGGTAGTTGGAGAAGCTGCATTTTTTGGCTTGATGGTTGAGGAGATGCCAGAAGAGGACGGGGCAGGGAGCGGGCTGGCATTGGCGTTGCTGGAGTATATATGTGACGGTTGGGTGGTTGGGGGCGGCGGGCCAGGCGGGTCTGGCCATTCCTTGATGGGCTATTTGTCGTTGTAAATCACCTCAGCCTTGCGAGCTTTGACGAACTCGAAACTCCTTTGGAGATAGCAGACTGTTGGCGGTGTGTTATCCGGCTGGTCGTGAAGATTGCAAGACAACTCGGGACATTATGATCGGAACCACAAGCCATCAAGAGCATCGCTGTCTCAGGCGAGGAAATTCCACCAGAAGATAAGCGGTCCGCAATCCATCTCAAAAGCACCAAGGCGGAATCTACTATAGGGAGACCCTTGAAAGATAAACCTTGGATGGCAATTATTTAGAATGGAAACACAGCCTCTCTAAATTTTAAGCAATGTCTACTTTAAATACGCTGTAAAACACGATGCGCCAACCCCAATCTTGAAAGCAAGTACACAGCTCAACAGGCAAGTAGCTTAAGCCAACCATCGCATCCATAGTTCAGTGCTCTAGTCTCTTCATGCCGATCCGATGTTTTGACGGCCAAGTACCATGCTCAACGAAGCAAAAATAGCCAAAGGCAAATTTAAATAGAAGACTCAAGCCTTCGAAGGGACAACACCACCATCATGTTCAGTGTCGAATACCTTCACACCCCGCTTCCACACCTGACGAATAGTCAGTGTTGGGCCGGAGAAGGGATCCTCTTCGTCATCCAAAACGATCAGATCCGCATCCGCGCCCTTGCTCAACGAGCCCTTGACTCCCTCCAAGCCGAGAAGACGCGCCGGGGTGGCCGTGGCGGCATCCAAGGCCTCTGCGGTCGAGGCCCCTGACCACCGACGGAAATTGTTGACGCACTCGATCAAGGTCGCGGAGCTTCCGGCAATCTTATCCGACCCCTCCAGGGTTAGCCGTGCGCCGGTCTTCACGATGCGGTCCCCGTTAGTCCAGTCGTAGACTCCGTCTGGTAGTCCACATAGCCTCATGGCGTCCGTCACGAGAACCAGCCCGGTCGGGTGAGCGTTGTAGGCGATGCGGATTGAAGTCGGGTGCAAGTGGATGCCGTCAGCGATGACACCGTAGAAGGGTCGCGGGCGATCGGTCTGACCGAACAGACCGAAGACTCCGGGGTTGCGATGGTAGAACGGGCGCATGGCATTGAACAGGTGGGTGATCATGGTAGCGCCGCTTTGGGTAGCGGCGAGAGCTTGCTCGTAGGTAGCGTCTGAGTGGCCGATCGAATAGATGATGTTTTTCGAGGTAAGCGATGGGATTTGATTCAGCATGTTGCCGACTTCAGGCGCCGCAGTGATCATTCGGATTGTTTGGGACGACCCGGTCAAATTGTTCGAGCCGTAACATTCCACTATGTCTTCTAGGCTCTGGGCTGCGCGCAGCACTTCGGATTTGTGTATGCCGTTGCGACCGGGGCTGATGAACGGCCCTTCTACGTGAGCGCCTAGTGACTCGGCGCCGTCTTGAGGCTCGGCATCGCTTCCTGTGGGACCTAACGAGGGTAGAACCTAGAGCAATAATTGCTACTGGTTAGTCGATATCTTCAAGCCTGGGAGTGCTTTCCGTAGACATACCTTCCAGTAAACCTCTGGCGTGGAGCTCACAACGGTAGGGAGATATGAGGTCACACCCATCCGAGCAAGGCCCTTGTTGACCATGCGCAAACCCCTCTCATATTCTTCGGTGGTAGCTTGGGGTACAGAGAAGTCAAAGCCCTGGGCACCGTTCAGCTGCACGTCGATAAGTCCCGGGGCGACGATGCGCCCGCCGAGATCAATGACCTCATCCGGGGAGAGATGAAAGTCGTAGAACGCTTCCTGATCTTTAAGGATCTTGCCGGACAATGAGTCAATCCAAAGGTCTTCCTTCACGAGCTGGCTACCCTTCACAATCCGGCAATTTGTGAACTTAGTGATCCGGCGCGGCGGTGCAGTTTTCCCCGGCATATTGATAATGAGGCGGGACGTTTCAGAAGTATGAATCAGTACTGGTCAAGGAGCTGGAAGTGAGGAGAGTGAGCTCTTGCGGCAAGGTGTAGAAGAAAAGGCCACAGCGACGAGCAGGACGACATGCATGGTAAATAGTTGCAGAGTCACCAGCGAGCGAGGCAACCCTGGAAAAGGATACTCGAGCAGGACGGTGACATCCAGCAGACAATGCCTTTGGAGAAAGCGTGGAGGGGCATGGAACCGGAAAGGAACACCCGAAACGTCACGTAGTAGAAAGAAAGGTGACATCGGCAGATTAGAGTTATCTTTCTCTTACTGATACCGAGTCATAGCGAGGAGTGTTGCCACGCATATGACTCCATGCACTTAAGGGTTCGAGTGGAGAGCAATCCACTGCCAGGGCAGCTGATCTGTTGCTGACCGGCTTCTCAACAGCCCTGCGAGATGCAATAAAGCATTCCTTCAGCATCACGGCGTTTCAGCGTCAGTATCGGCAGCATCATCGAGTATCCTGACTAAGATGGCTGCATGCCGACATTGAACATGAGGTCACTGTATGATGGAGGATGTTACAGTGCCAGCCGGCCAGCCAGCGGGGGATTCCGCATTGGGTTAGCTCCGGTAGGCTAATGTCACCGTCACTTTCAGGCAGGTGAGGAACCTTGCCTTATCACGTGAGAGATACAGCATAGCTTAGTAAGTAAGGTCATAAATTGTGCAGATATATATTATCAACTTGATGCGGTGTCTGACTAATACGTGCACACCAGGTCAGCATGGTCGGGCAGTCTCTGATAGGGCGGCCGCATGTTCCGCAATTCCCGCAGGAGCCGTCCTTCCGTCTCTGGATTTTCTTGCTGGCTCTAGAACCTGCCGTTAACAAGTTAGTATTAGTTATGGCCTCGCGATGAAGTTTTCCATGTCCCACTGACTCAACACACCCGCGCCATGCCAATTTGTACCCATGGTTCCTGGACTGCGGTAAACCATACTCTAATCATACAACGGCCGAGACTCGGCCTCTGCCAGAAACCCCTAAAACTCCCGGTCAGACATGGGCTGATCCTTTTCGTATAATAATTTATTGCCTCATGACTGTTGGCTGGTCGTCCCATATCCTCGCTACTGCGTTCGTGTTTCATCTCTGTATACATCCCAGTGAGGAATATGGTCTCAGGACTGAGACTCATTACGAACGGGCATCGCAACAGATGTCTTAGTTATTATGAGGTACCTGACTACAGACTGCAAGCCACGCATTCAGGGGCCAATCCAGCGATTCAATCCATCCCGTAGACATCAGGACCGAGAATGGTCCGTCCGGCTTAACATTGTCAGGAACCTGATTTGATTTGGGCTGTTTGGCGAGGTACCGACTGTACCAACTGACGTCTTCCCCAGCTTCTCCGCGGAGATGTCAGCTTTCTTCCGCCCGATGCAAAAAACCGCATGAAAAAAGTTCGTCCGCCACATCATGCATACCCACTCTATTGTCGACCTGCTGGGCCAATTGGTTGCCCATTGGCATATAAATACACCCGTGGACTCACGGATGAAATTGCTTTCTCCTTTGCAATCTCCAAGACATACAATCTCATATTGACATTGCATCAATTAGAACATTTGTTGACATATTGATATCATATCATTACATCATGGGTCTGACGCAAGAACAAATTGCCATCATCAAGGCCACCGTGCCTGTCTTGCAGATTCATGGCAAGACCATCACGACGGTGTTCTATAAGAACATGCTCACTGCACACCCAGAGCTCAACACCGTTTTCAACACGGCCAACCAGGTCAATGGCCACCAGCCCGTCGCTCTCGCCGGCGCTCTCTTCGCCTATGCCTCCAACATCGACAACCTGGGTGCCTTGAGTCCCGCGGTCGAGTTGATCTGCCACAAGCACGCCTCCCTCTATATCCGGCCCGAGCACTACAAGATCGTCGGCAAGTACCTCCTCGAGGCCATGGGCGAAGTCCTCGGAGACGCCCTGACGCCCGAGATCCTCGATGCTTGGGGTGCCGCCTACTGGCAGTTGGCCGACATCATGATCAACCGCGAAGCCGACCTCTACAAGGAGGCGGACGGCTGGACTGATTTCCGCGAGTTCCGCATTGCCAAGAAGGTGCCCGAGTCGTCTGAGATCACTTCGTTCTACCTGGAGCCCGTCGACGGCAAGCCTCTGCCGGCCTTCCGCCCCGGACAATACATCTCCGTGGAGGTGTTCGTTTCGGAGCTCAACTACCCCCAGAGCCGCCAGTACTCGCTCAGCGACAAACCCGTGCCGGAGTACTACCGCATCAGCGTCAAGAGGGAGGCCGGTCTCGAGCCCACCGAGCCCTCGGCCAAGCGCCACCCTGGCTACGTCTCCAACATCCTGCACGATCTCAAGAAGGAGGGCGACATCGTCCGCGTCTCTCACCCCTACGGTGATTTCTTCCTCGCCGACGAGGAGAAGCAGAGCAGCAGCCCGATTGTCCTCCTGGCCGCTGGTGTCGGTCTGACCCCGCTCACCTCCATCCTCAACACAATCCTCGACGGCCCCGAGGCCCAGACCCAGCGCAAGATCACCTACGCGCACGGCGCGCGCACCTCCGCGGCGCGCGCCTTCCGCCCGCAGATCAAGGAGCTGGCTGCCAAGGTGCCCAACCTGCACGCTCTCTTCTTCACCAGCCACCCCGGCGCCGAGGAGAAGCAGGGCGAGGACTACGATGTCGCGGGCCGCCTGGACGTGAACCAGCTGGACAAGCAGAAGGACCTCTACCTGGATGACGCGACCACCAAATACTACATCTGTGGCCCGGCCGCGTTCATGCTGGATGTGAAGCAGAAGCTGACCGCCGCGGGCGTTGCCGATGATCGCATCAAGATGGAGCTGTTCGGTACCGGTGGTATTCCCGCTTGAGCCGGTGGCTGTGCATATTGGCATATTGTGGTTTCCAACTAGATCATTCTTCGCATCTTCACGGATTACGATCGCATTTGTTTTCGTTTCTTAGATAGCATTATTAGCCTAGATACTCCTCTCATGATTTTAGATGCATAATCAAGATCTCAATTTTAGACTTGGAATTTCCAGAATTCTGTCTACGTCCATGCAGAGTAGTAGATAATTTTTCAGACACAAGCTCTGACAACCTTCAAGGTGTTCGCCAAGAACCCCTCAAACGGCTACCGGTGAGGGGTAAAATCGCTGATTATCTCCCGTCCATAGTGGGGTTACAGCAACTACACAGTACAGCAGCTACAATTGATGCCTTATAGCCTAAGGCCTGCTACATTTTCTATCGACACCTTTCCCCGCAAACACTCCCTCACACCTCACCTGGCAAACATATCCATCAACAAACTTGATTTCCAACACAGCAACACCCCAATTCTCAATACACCAACCCTCAATCTCTCACATTACCACCCAAAAAGACCATCGACAAAGACATGACCACCCCCCCAAGCGACGCCCTAACCTTCCCCGCCTCCGACCGCGAATTCCTCGAACCACACCTCCCCCCAGTCCCCTCACCCTCACCCTCGCCCTCAACCACCACCCAAACCCACAATGCCGAACCAACCCTCCCGTTCACAACCCTCACCTTCGCGACCTCGCTCGACTCCTCCCTCGCGCTCTCCCCAGGCACGCGCACCGTCCTCTCAGGCCCGCAATCCAAAGCCATGACGCACTACCTGCGCTCCCGGCACGACGCGATCCTGATCGGCGTCGGCACGGCCATCGCCGACGACCCGGGCCTAAACTGCCGGATCGCCGGGGTAGGCGGGTACGGTGCGGACAATCTGGAGGGCCAACCGCGGCCCATCATCGTGGATCCCTCGGCGCGCTGGCGGATCACGTCGCAGGCCAAGATCGTGGAGATGGTGCGGCGGGGCCGCGGGCGGGCGCCGTGGGTGCTGATTGCGGAGGGGACGGAGGTCGATTCGGAGGTGAGGGGGGTGTTGGAGGGGGTTGGGGGGCGGTTTATTCCTGTTCCTTGGGGGAATTTCCCAGGGGATTGTGGGGGGAACGAGGAGGGGAAGGGGGAGGGAAAAGGGAGGAAAGAGTTCGATTGGAGGCAGGTGCTGGAGTATCTGCGGCGGGAGGAGGGGGTGCGCAGTATTATGATTGAGGGCGGGGCGGCGGTGATTAATTCGTTGTTGGAGCCGAGGTTTCAGGGACTGGTCAGTTCGGTGATCGTGACCATTGCGCCGACGTGGTTGGGGCGGGGCGGGGTGGTGGTTTGTCCGCCGAGGAGGGTGGAGGGCGGGGTTGTTGTGCCGGCGTCGCGGTTGACGGGGGTTAGGTGGTATCCTTTTGGGGAGGATGTGGTGCTTTGTGGGAGGATTAGGGTTGATTCCTAGGTTGTGGTTATTGGGGTGTTGAAAGAAGGGGGTTGGGGGTTCCACCCCAGATACTATTATATTACTGGACTTGGGATTGAGGTTGCTGGGAAGCTGAAAGAAAGGGGGGTGTGGGGGTTCTCCCCCAGATTACTTATATCATTAGACTTAGGAAAAAGGCTACCGGGAAGTTGAAAGAGGGGAATCTGGGTGTTAGATTTCTGTATAACAGCACTAATCTAAGCCCGGACTTCCTTAGCAGGAAGTATCTGCCCCGTACACTCGCCAAACCCGACTCCTTCGCCCGCCCAGGCAGTCATGGTCACCACATCCCCATCGACCAGGTATGTCCGCTCGTCATCGTCGGCCAGCTTAGCCTTCACCTTGCCTCCCTTGGTCACTTCCAGCAGACAGCCATAGGACCCCTCCGCAGCCCCACTGACCGTCCCAGTGCCCAGAATCTCCCCGGTATGCAGATTGCACCCCGTGCTCGTCAGGTGCGCGCACATCTGCCCGAGGCTCCAGTACAGCTCCTTCGCATTAGTCTCTCCCAGCACCGTTCTCGCCCCGGAAGAAGTCTCCAACTCGACCTTCAGCTGGATATCATAATTGTAGGCGCCCGAGTCCTGCAGGTACGGCGGGACGGAAGCGCTCTGCGGCTCCGGGCCGTCTGTGCGGAACGCCTCCAACGCCTCCAAGGTGACGATCCAGGGGGAGATGGTCGAGCCAAAGTTCTTCCCGTTCAGTGGGCCGAGGGGGATCATTTCGAAGCCTTGGATGTCGCGTGCTGTGGCGCTTGTTAGCCAAATACTCGTTGTCTGTTCCTGCCAGATGGAAGGTGAAATGCCATGGAGGGAAAATCAATCTCGATGGCTTCACAGAGATTGCATAGTCGACGTACCACTCCAGTCATTCAAGAGCACGAGCCCGAAGATATGTGCCTCGGCGTCCTTGGCAGTAAGCCCCTGGCCCAACGGCAACGGGGCACCGATCACAATGCCCAACTCGAGTTCGTAGTCCAAGGCACGTGTTGGCGCGTAGATGACTTCTTTGTGGGTCGTCACGGTCCTGTCGACAAAGTGGCCCCGGGGCCGGTGGACTGGGGTCCCAGAGACGGAGATTGTGCTGGCACGTCCGTTGTAGGCGATGGGGATATGGTAGAAGCACGGCGGCAGACTCTCGTGGCCGAGGATCGCTCGCCCGGCGTTGATGTTGTGGGCCTTGCTGCTGCAGAAGTCTGGGGGTTGTCGTTAGCTTCGGCTCGAATGGAGAAGGGCATTTTCTGAATGGGGCTAATGACCTGTATAAGCTGGAATCGAGACAGGGAGATGCATCTGGACCTCGCTGATGTCTGCAGTGCTTCCTGTGGGAAGGCCTTCCACGCCATTTTGCAGCGCCAGTTGCAGGGCATGACGGACTTGCGTGTGGATTGTCTTGGGGAGGGCAGCAAAGTCATTCAAGGTCGATGGCTTGAAGATTCCAGAAGGGAGTTCGGTAACAGAGTTGAATACTCCGTTTCGTTGGAGGTCATCTAGGAAGATGACGGTGTTGCTGAGCCGAGTCACGCATTGCGGGCCAGCTCGCGTCGAAGACGAGGCGACGCCGTATGGAAGGTTCTTGATAGAGAAATGATCGCTGTAATTGGAGGAGGCCATCTTGACCTCAATTGCAGTGTTGATTTGTATCATCGAATTTCTGAGCATTTGAACATGATATATCAATGCGGTTGGACGCTATTCCTGGGTTTGCAGTTTATGTCCACATCCCGAACATGCTCTCCACATTACGCTGCCGATGACACTGTCTGTAGCCTCTGATTCCTTTTCTGCAAGAGAACTGTGACCCACTGGGAGATGTCATCTTTGATAGACGAAGAAACCATTTTTGATTCAGTGATCTTCAATACTTCGACTTATTGGACACTGCATCTTTGCAACGTGAGTGCTCAAATCTAGCGGAAAGACTTTGATGCTCCTGTTTCTTGAGCCACAGGCAAAATGTGAGAAACGGCTCTGCACGCCGATGAGACAGACAGCGCTTTGAATAAGCAAAGGCTGTCCATAAGTTCTACGAGACGATCAACCCATGGTATCCAGTGGCACAACTGCCCTCTCTAAACAGCTTGAAAAGTGCGGAGTAACTCAGATGCCAAGGTCGAAGCGCCGTGGGGTAAATGCACAGTCCATGCTTAGCTCCGCAAACTCCGGTGCACGTGCCGGAAGCCCCGCTGCTAACTTATCGTCTATCGCAGCTGCAAGCAGCAAACAACGCAAACACATCCGTCCCCAGCATCTGGTCACGTGGTAATGGAGCGAGCATTTTCGAGTCACATGAAGCCGCCTATCTATCGACTCATCCGGATCGCAGAGCCATCTAGTGCACTCAGCAACGATGTCATGATATCCAAACTGTTCGTGATTCTATACCATGAACAAACGTCCCTATTCAGGGTCATTATCCCACAGTGACTCTCAGACTCCAGAGCTTCCCGATCATCTCTCTCATGACAGCCCGGAGCACAGCAGGGCCTCGGGCTCGGTTAAGAAACCCCGGAATTTCATAGCCACAGTGGTAGGTTACTCTTTTGACATCGCCCTTTCACGACTTTCAGGAGAACTTCGGTGTAAAATGAACTGGAATAACTAGTCATAGGCCTGTGAGAATTGCAGATTGAAAAAGACCAGATGTGACGAATCACGGCCAAAATGTGGACTATGCAAGTCGCTTGGCTTGGAATGCGTCTATAATGAGCGCAAGACTTCCAAGTGAGGGGCACTTAAGCACCTACTAATGATGGACTTACCGGACTAATTCATCACAGGCGGGATCATTCTCTGAGTTTGATTATGAGCACTCTCCATCGACTCGAGACAAAACTTGAAAGTGTCCCCACTGCCATATCCGGTGACATTCGTGCTCTTCGAAATGAAATGATTCAGGCATTAGATGCCTCCCCAGGTGTCTCGCCTCTAACACGGCGTAATCTAAGCTCCAAGGAGCCGGTGGGCTCTGAAAGGTCTCAATTGCAAGGCCTCACACCGAGAACAGTGGAACTCAATAATGATCTAGAGCATGACAGCCCTAGCTATCTCCCCTCAGGCGCAGTGGATTCGACTGGCCTCGTTTCAATTTCTTTCAGTCAGCATGGGGTGATCTCTTGGCTTGGAGCTCAAAACATCCTTCCAAGTAGACTTCTCGAGGCCTATGAGAAGCTCGGGAAGAACTACGTGATTGACATCGAGATGAAAAGGCCTATGCTGCCGATGTACATTTGCCCTTTTCCTCCGCACGCTGGAAACAACTGGCTGGAGGCACTCCCACTGGCCATGATCAAAGGGCTTTCGGACGCATTTTTCACCACGTTTAACCTCTACACGCCGATCGTCGACAAGAACTTTTACTTCGCCTCGACACTAGGAGCTGCGATTGAAAGCAACTTCGGATATACGATCGAGAGCTGTCTCGCCCTGAATATCATGGCCCTAGGCTGTATTGCAGTCCACGCTTATCAAGAGGGAAACTATCCCTTACCAGGGAGCAGGAATAGTCGATTTGAGCCGCCCGAGTGGATGGGGGTCGTCTGTGAAGAACCTCCTGGCTTACGCTTTTTCAACGAGGCTCGCCAACGCATGGGCTTCTTGATGTGTGGCAACGATCTTCAAAGCTGCCAGTTTTATCTACTTTCATTGTACGATCACCCCACAAGTGTACAAGATTGATCGTCGGATTCTGACTCGCGTTTGCAGTGTTTATTACAGTCAGATCCTGCGGCCCTTGGACTCTTGGGCTATGATCCATCGTGCTGCTACCTGTTGTCTTTCCATGCTCACCAAGTACGTGATTTCCCTCCTGTCCTTCCCGTGGCGATTAGGTGGCTAACATCCTTAGCCGTGACGTCCATTTTGACGAGTGGGAAGGCGACATGAAGTCGAGAGTGTACTGGAATTGTCTCATGAACGAGACGATCCTGATTCAAGAATTACATGTCCCGCCGAGCGGCCTTGCACGCCTTGAAGAGCTTGTCCCAATCCCCAAGTTTATCAGCTTCGAAAGCGTTGGCTTCGGCGCATCTCGAACCTTGTCTTTGGACGAGATAGACGATTCTTTTTTCCAATACCATTTCCTTGCGCAGGTCGCCCACCGTATAATACTAACCCGTATCCGGAATTCATTGTATTTCTACTGTGAGTTGATCGCCTCTTATTTCCGCTCGTTCAGTCACAACTGACATTAGCTCTGTTACAGCCGACTCAGGGACATTCCCCCGTCCCGCCATCAATACAGAGCTGCACCACCAGCTAGATCAGTGGCGGGTCAACCTACCTGCTGCCTTGCAGTTCTCCGACAATCCACCCAACCCTTCTACAGACCATGATACAGCCGATTCTTCATCCACCGAATCTCACTTACCGTTCGACCCGACCCGTCATGCCCTTTCTCCCGCGACTGCCGTCTCCGAAGCTATGCTTCGTGGTCGCTACATGATTGCCAAATTCCACATTGGCCGCCCTTACCTCTACAAAGCCCTCCACATCCCCAGCTTATTAACGGACCAGGATCTCGAACAAATCCGCAGCGGACTGCTGAACGCCATGAACTGGCCTGTTGTCGGCGGCATCTTCCGCCTGATGAAGAGCTGCATTCCGATCCGTTTCGCTTTCTGCTCTCAGTGAGTTCTCACAAGCATCGAATCTGCCCCCCTTCCATGCAGTGATGACTGACCATCTCCTAGATTTTTCGGCCAAGTACTCCTCTTCTACTGTATATCCCACTCACCAGAATCCCGCGTGCGGGATACTTTACCCCCGGGCTGGGAGCAATGGAACCAAGAAATGCTGCGATTCCTGGAGAGCTGCGCACCTCATAGTCCGGCTGTAGCCAAGGACTTGGAACTCCTGCGGTTGTTGTGATTAATGTATCTAATGAATTGTGTATGTGGGCAAGTGACCTTGAGTTATGACTATGACAAGACCGTGGGCGTCGTTGCGTGAATGCTGTTGTACACCAACGCTTGTCTGCGAAATTGAGCTGGTTTCATGTAGAATCGAGGAAATGATGTATGTTCTGGCCGAAGCTGCTGCGGTAATACGTACCACCAGAGCTGCAAAGAAACCCCACTAAGCCGATTTATTGCCGAATGACGGGGTCGAAGGATGTTCGACCCCACGGGGGGATTAAAGATTTGCCAGGCGGTGGCTTGGATGGCGAACCATCAGGCAGCTCCCTAGAACCAAATTGACAGTAACTTTGTTGGTTCCGTCGGGTCAAATTTCAGAGGACTGTGTATTACCAATAGGCCATTTCTGAATGTCTGAGTGTAGGCGGATAAGATTTAGCCCGAGCCCACGGTGGACGGTGGGGAAGTGCTGTGGGAAAAGTGGGGAGGCCTACTAGGAAACAGCGGATGCAGTATGGGGAAAGGAAACAGAGGGTGGCGGAAAGCTGAATCCGTACCCCATACCTGGTACCTACAAGTTTTCCCCATCCGATAAGGATAAATAAATTCATTCACCTCTCTCTGCCTCGGATCCAAAGCTAAATACTACTACTTTTCCTCCTTCTTCTCTCGCCCCTCCTCCCTCCTCCTGTCTCTTGCTTCCCCCCCTCACAATCGCATCATATCCATCATAACACTGCCACAATGACTCACTCCGAGGCCGAATTGCAGAAGCCTACGGGCGAGTACCGTCAATACTTGCCCGATCTCAGCTTGAAGCGCTTCCAGGTGATGCGTACACAGGATGCCCATGAATATGCACACGAGTTCAAGACGCAACGCCAGCCTCCATGGTTGCACGCGCTTTACATGCACTGGCTGGACCTGCTGCAAGAGCCCTTCAAGGGTGTAACCACCGACGGTATTTTACCTCCGATGGAAGCAATGGTCCATTTCTCTTGCTAATCACTGTCCTAGGAACCGTCCGCCCCGACCTGTTCAAGCTTCAAGACGAAGGCATCCCAATTGACACAATCGTCGAAGCCACTCAAGATGTGCTGTCCCTTGCCGACGAAAACCAGCGCAAAGCTCTGTGCTACCACATCGACTCCCCCGAATGGCGGACCTGGTCCAACCCCGAATTCCTCCTCAGCAACAAGGGAATTCGGCTTGATGAGATCGACAGCAAGCTCCGCGACGCCGTCTTGAACGTCCTCAAGGTCACCCTATCTCCCGAAGGCTACGAGAAGGCCATCGCAGCGATGCGCATCAACCATTTCCTGGGCGAGCTGGTTGATGGTGTCAAGGTCATGAACGAATTCTCCTACAACTTTGTCCTCTTCGGTCGTCCCTCGGCCGACCGTCCGTGGGGCTGGTCCTTCTACGGCCACCACCTTTGCCTGAACATCTTCCTCTACAAGGGCCAGATCGTCGCCTCCCCGTGGTTCACGGGCGCCGAGCCCAACGAGATCGACTCCGGCCCGTACGCCGGCACTCGCATCATGCAGGTGGAGGAGGAACTTGGCCTGCGTCTCATGCAGTCCCTGTCCCCAGATCTCCAGCAGAAGGCGCGCGTCTACGCCGAGATGCACGACCCGGCGATGCCGCCCGGCCGCTGGAACCGCGACGACCAGCGCCATGTCTGCGGTGCGTACCGGGACAACCGCGTCGTGCCCAACGAGGGCATCCCCGCCAGCACCTTCAATGAAGAGCAGAAGAAGCTCATGTACGGGATCTTTGAGCAGTACCTGCTCTACCTGCCTGCCCGCGCCCGCCAGCTGAAGCTGGACCACATCCGCCAGTTCGAGTCTGAGACCTACTTCTGCTGGATCGGCTCCTATGGCAACGACGACCCCTTCTACTACCGCTTGCAGAGCCCAGTGATCCTGGTCGAGTTCGACCACCACTCCGGCGTGTTCCTGAACAACGAGGAGCCCAAGAAATTCCACATCCACACCCTGATGCGGACGCCGAACGCCGGTGACTACGGGAATGCGTTGCGTGCGCAGATCCCCGCAATCGAGGGGTTGAATGGGAAGGAGATTGTGTGGGAGAAGTCCGCCCTGTGAAATACTCAAGCCTTGTAAATATGATGAAGTTATGTGAATAGTGTTTCTATAGTTATCAATGTCGTATATACGAATTCTCTCAACCTGGGTTCCATCCTATTCTCCTTGGCAGCACGTGTAGGCAAGGCCCACGTCGGAACATCCGGTCCCAAACACCACCACACCCCACGATCGGGATTTCCTGGTCTTAATTGAGGGGTTATCCTTGCAATCGCCAATCCCTTGCAACTCAGAGGAAATTCGATGAATAGTATTCCGGGTGTTTGCCCCGGAATACCCAGCCCCCACAATCTTTAGTTCTTCATCCCCCGCAACAAGTGCTGGACTCCATCCGAAGTCGGAAGCATCGAACATCGGCCATCTTGTCTGCCTCAGGCCCCAAGAGACAACAACCACCGGCTACCCCGCTAACTTACTCTACTCTCCCCCTTACCTCGTCTCGGCAGCGATAACTTTCCAACCATTCTCACTCTTGACACAGCCAGATCAATGGAATGCGTTGTACAAAGAACCCGAAACCCATCTACCGGCCAAGGTGGGGTCCATGAACTTGAACGGCTCTGATACGGCGGAAGATGCACGCAGCCCCTCCATAAGTAGCCAGGAATCAAGATATACTCTGTCCTGCTGGCGACTAGCTGCCTCAATTATGCACGGGGGATGTAACATGGCGCCAGCCACTGCTCCAGAATAAAGAGAGTGCACATTGTGGTGTGATCTCCCACAGGATGAGTTCATTGTCCTGATAGCGGGGTAGGCCATGCAGAATGCTGTTTTGCGCTGCTCCAAAGCTTCAGACTGCTGTGAGCAGTGAGGACTTGGAGGGGCTCGCGTCTGTCTCTTTTGACTATTCGTTCCATTCACACCACTGCAGAGGCTCTGTGAATAGGACTTTTGCGTCCAGTAATGGCAACTCAAAATGAGATTACTCTTGACGATATGTCGTGGCTGGAAAATGCCTCATAGCAAAGATACTCGCCCGAAATTCCTCAATATTCATACATCAGGAAGCAACCCCCTCCCTGGCTACAAGAGTTCAGTACTCTTTAACCCAAACTCACAACACTAATGTATCCCCTGCTTCCAATCGCAACCACCCTTTTTCGCCTGCGCATTCCTGACTTCAGGCATCAAGAGCTGCATATCTCCTGTGCGTTGACTTTGCTGTCGTGGCCATGCATACGGCTCTTTCAGGTTTACTGTCTGCCTTAAAAGGCCCTCGACTGCTTGACTCTATCCGAGAGATGATATCTCGATCTCAACCACTTTTCTTCTGTTTAGATTCACAAGCACATCACAAAACAGAACGCAAAAATGGCTCCATGGCTTATGGGCGAGAAGTTCAACACAGTCTACCCACATAAGGGCTCCATCAAGGCCCTTTGGGAGAGCAAGTGGAAGTTTGCGGTATGAGGCCAGTCCTAAGATCAATGCTGTGACCAAGAACTAAGAAAAGCCGTCCAACAGTGTGACAAGTCGGTGTACCCTTTCCATGACGGATCGATCGAGGACTTCGCACCCATCTTCGAGAAGTTGATCAAGGTAGGCGGCTTCCTCCCTCTATCTCAGTTCTGCCTGCTCAGCCAAGCCCATCCAGGAAAACATCAACGACGCCTACGAAGACGCCTACACGCAGGCCTTCTTCCCCATCGCCGAATCCCTCGAGAAGCAAGCCAGCGAGGCCCTAAGCAGCAACAACACGCAATTGGCCTCGGATCTCCTGCGCCGCGCCGCGGTTGTCTACCGCATCTCGCGCTTCCCCTATGTCGACCCCAGCAAGGACGACATCAAGAAGGAGGCCTTCGCGCGCCAGAAGCGCGTGTACCTGCAGGCGGCCTCCTTCTGGACCCCGAAGATCGAGGAGGTGATCATCCCGCACACGCAGAAGGCCGGCGGCGACGCGCCCACCGTGCCGCTCTTCGTGCGTACGCCCGAGCACGCTTCGGCCGCCGCCCCGGTCCCCGTCATCCTGCTGATGACCGGGCTGGACGGCTACCGGCCTGACAACAGCCAGCGCACCCACGAGATCCTCAACCGCGGGTGGGCTGTCGTCATCGCCGAGATCCCCGGCACCGCCGACTCGCCCGCCGACCCCAGCGACCCAGACGCCCCCGATCGCCTCTGGACCACCGTGTTGGATTACATTGCCAGCCGGCCGGAGCTGGACGCCGCGCGCGTCGCCGCCTGGGGCCTCAGTGCGGGCGGCTTCTACGCCATCCGCGCGGCGCACACCCACCGCGACCGCCTGCGCGGCTGCATCGCCCACGGGCCCGGGTGCCATTACTTCATGGATAAGGAGTGGTTGACTCGCGTCGATGATCACGAGTATCCTTTCTTGTGAGTTGCCCCCTGACCCTATTTTCCCCTCTGAGCCCTAGAAATCCTCCCCCCCTCCCCTTCATCAACACACCAAACCAACGCCCCCCAAATCACTAACCTGATAATCCTTGCTAATGGAATAGATTAACCCCCGCCTGGGCCAAGAAATACGGCTACTCCGACGTCGCCGACTTCCGCGCCAACGCGCAGAAGAAGTTCTCGCTCGTCGAGACCGGCATCGTCGACCAGCCCAGCACCAGACTTCTGTTGTTGAATGTAACTTTCCCTCCCCGCTTGCCAACCCCGTGAGCAACCTGAGCAAAGCACTAAGAAAAATAGGGCGTCGACGACGGCGTCACCCCCATCGAAGACTGTCTCGTCCTCTTCAACCACGGCTCTCCCAAGGAAGGACGGTACGTATCTTACCCTTACCCCTTGCCCTACCTCTCTTCTCGTCCCCTAACCCTCCCGGGGTAACGCACCAACGTGAGAGAAAGCGTGTTACTTTCGTGGCGTGGGCTAACTTACATCCTCCACCGGAAAAAACAGCTTCTTCCCCGGTCTCCCGCACATGGGGTATCCGCATAGTCTGCCGGTGTCGTATAAGTGGTTGGAGGAGGTGTTGGAGTCGAAGCCTGCTATGCTTAAGAATTAAGATGGGTGGAAATTAGGGGAGGGAGGTGTGGTGGTTGGGATGGGGTCGTCGGATTTGGGTCTTGGGGTTAGTAATGAGTAACATGATCAAAGAGAAATATGACTTGAGCTTTCCCAAGGGATTTTTTGCAGATCTCTCGCTCATTCGTGGTTATGCTTACGGGGGTTGGCTATACGAGGGTGACAGCAATGTTGTTGTGGAGATATAGGCTAGGCAATGATGTGGGAGTCCGACTTCTTTGAATGGATGGTTTAATCCAGGTATGAAGACTGGGAAGGGTTGGGGAGGAAAATAAGCTAATTGGACATAGCTACATATACAAGGGTTGGATACAAAGGTCGTGACATGAATACGGGGAAGGCCCAAAATTACATGTAGGTCTGCGAAGGACACAAAATCATGCAGTGTCTCCCATCGCAACGCCTACTAAGCTCCGCGGGCCAAAGGACCCGGTGCCTAACCCCGCGGGGCTCTGTGCTAAGGCGTCGCGGTCGCGTTTAATGCGGAAGAACGCCAGTTTCGCAAACCGGTTGAGCTGCGCCCAGAAATGTCGCCCCGCAGGATGGGCAGCAATCCGCTCGAGCAGGTCGACGGTCGCCTCGCGGACTGGTGGGTAGGGGTGGAAGAGTCCCATGCTGAGGTAGAAGAGTCCAGCTTGGTTCTCGGGGGTGATGGTCAAGAGCTGGCAGATGCCCGCGTAATCCTTGACGGCGTGCGCGAATGCGATGTAGATGGCGCCGGAGTCGGCAGCGGAGAGTCGCAGAGCGCGGAGTCGGCTGTGGTGATGGTGTAGGTCGGGTTTCAGAATAGGTCGGGCCGGATAGTACATTGCGGCGATGTCTTGGATGAACGAATAGTAGGATCGTGTGGTCCGCCATCCTTCGATGCGCGAGACTGAGGCGAGCAGCTCCCGTTGCTTGGCGCCCTCATCGGACCAGACATAGCCATGGCCGCGGAGGGTGGTCGGATCCAGCGGGTCAGCCTGAACGCCGCTCGGACTCTCTGGCGAAAGCTCTTCGTTGGGTCCAATGATGAAGAGATTCGATGCGCCGTAGACCATTTCCTCGAAAGCGGCGGCCACTTGGGTGAATTTCATGATGTACGCCCTCCATTTGGCCCGGATCGCGTTCTCGCCATAACGGTTTGTGATGCTTCGCTGGATCTCTTCCATAAAGACATTGTCCCCGCTGGGGTCGGTATTTGAGCTAGAAGGATAATGATGTAATGAGGCCTGTTGCTGGAAGTATAGTAATCCCTCCGTCACTGGCGCAGGCTCGACATAGCTACTGATCTTCATTCGACCGGTCGGAAGATCGCAAAGTAGATCCCACCACTCCGGATGGTTGGCGAAGGTTGGGTTTGTGACGCCGGCGATGAACCCAGGTACCCTCAATAGATCATCGATCTTGGTCAGATCTGTGTAAGGGAAGGCGTGTCGCGTGAAGCCTCGCAATACACCGCCCGATGCAATCGCACACGCGGCAAGCACCGCTTCAGCTACCTCACCTGACGGCCGATTATGACCCAAGAATATTACTCTCTTTTGAGTAAGCATGGCATTGACTAGGACAATGATAGGATGCGTGAAGGGGCCGCTAGTAGTCAGATGCGGGTGGACGGGGAAGGCTTGAGGTGAAGTGTTGTGTGGAGCGGAGAAGGTTTGGATAAGCTTGATCAGGGAAAAGTCGCCCACGGTCTCCGGCCAAATGACCGTGGGGATTTTGACCGGAATAGGGATCTCGTTATAGACAACCTTAGATTCGAATTCGTGGGTGTCGCGTGGAAGAGTATATTGAAGGGGAGCCTGACGTTTCGGCGACGGCGGATCGTCCTCGTCATCTGGCGGAGCGCCATCTTCTATGGACCGTTGGTGTATCATTTGTTCGAATTTCTCGATGAACATATCTTTGCAATTGCTTGCCTGCAGAATCTGTCTTTCCAGAAGTGATAGCCTCGGCATCAGGGACAAATCCATGCTGTTGACAGCATTGTATAACGTGGCGAGAGTTTCGGGATATGGATTCTTGAAGTAGTCCTCCAGGGCTAGCAACAACAATGGCTGTAAATTGTGTCAGCGCAACTGTGACCTATTCTTGACTGGGAGGCGACCCACTTTGTAGATATGAAGGAAAGAATGTCGCGTACAGATTGCCATAGCCTTCACGACTGCGCCGCTGTGGTTGTTCAATATCCGTACCTTATCCACAAAAAGGAACGAAGAAATGCGTTCACATACCGCTTCACTGTGTTGTCTTGTTTCGTATTGACCAGGTTGAGCACATACATCAGAGGAGGGCCTTCACCTCCTTCCTCCTCATCGTCACTGCTATCCTCCTCCATTGATTCATCGTTCTCCCGACTGTCCCCTTGACCCGACTGAGCGTCATCTGCAGCCCTGCGCTTTCCCTTCTTCTTTTGCTTCTTGCTGGATACTGAGGCATCATCGTCGGCATCTGCGCTTGTGTCCTTATGCAGGAAGAATATCGTCCAATCCTGGCTTCGTACATGTGTTTGATCAGGCAGCATAAGTTCCGCTAGCATGCTCTCATCTCCACTGATCGCGGTCGGATACTGATGCTCCATGATCGGACCGCGATCGATATGGAAAGAGGCCACAAGGATGTACTCTACATGCCGCTCTGAGGAGTCCCGGGGGTACTGCGATTTGCATCGGCGCGGCTTGGGGAATAAGGCGGCAGTGGCTGGAACATTGGCTATCGACGGTTGGCGGAGAGATGTGCGAGAGCTGCTGGGCGTGCGGTGGTGAAGTAGGGAAGGGGCGGGTGAGAGTCGGGGGAGGCCATTGCCTGCATCGTCGGCTGATCGGTAGGGTAAGGAGATGCTCATTTTCGAAGTCGGATGATCAAGAAAGGAGCAGGCACAAGAGCGAGGTGGTGCGAGGCCGAGCGTGAGCGTAAAGTCGTCGTGGCCGCCTCGGGTGGACAACCGGCAGGTGAAGGAAGCACGGCGGCGACCGACCGCTGCTTAGCTTCAATGAAGTCGGCAGAGAGGGGGCATATCCCCTAAGCCCTGGCCACCAGGGGAAGAAACTAGGGTTGTCAAAGAAAAGTGCAGAAATGCGACAATCAATTGAGGAGTCGGGAGGAGGCTAGATTGACAGGGAACGAGTAAACAAGCGTTGGGGATAGAATCATGCGCGGGACGCGGAAGAAACTCAGGGGGCAGAAAGGAAAGGGGGGGGGAAAAGCGGAGTTACAGTGTAAGTTAGTGTAGTGTAGTGGCTTCTCGCATGTGACGATCTCGGAGACACTCCAACTGCCAGGCGGACAAGCAAGAAGCTGTTTGCACTGTTTGTTTGTTGTCCCCCCATCCATCCCATCAATCGTTGAGTCAATTCATGGCTTGCTTTTGATCTTCCATGACTTTGGGAGTATTTGTCTTGTCTTCAGATTTATGCATATGTGAATGCAGAGGCCGGATTGCGATGGTATCATGTTCATAACACTTGTACGTGCAGTATATCTCTAATTCTAGTCTATATGCAATTTTCACCCCCGCGGATCAGATTTACATTCCACGGTTGAACTCCACCATCCCATCCTGACCTCCCTGACCCCAGAACTCCTCTTCCAGGTTCTTCGCACTGATCAACTGTCGCTGAGGGAATGCACCCAGCGCCAGTGGCAGTGCGAACAACGAGGTGCCTAGGATCAATGCCAGATTGATCGGCAGCACCATCTTCGGCCTCGCCTGCAGCCACGCAGTCTTCTCCAACTTGACCAGCACCAACGGCGGCACAACCATGATCGGTGTGGCGTTCAGCACTCGACTAATAGCCGTCTCTCCGACCGCAATCGTTGCAGCCATCTTACTCTTACCCAGGCTCTGCACAGGCTCGCCGGTTTCCTCCCGCTTCTTCTTTTCGGCCTCAGATAAGACAGGGTACACGTCGATACCCTGGCGAATCTCCTCACCTCTCATGAGGAAGACGTTCAGCGCACTGGCACTGGAGACAGCTGCGAATGGGACTAGACGACCGAGGAGGAGCTTGGTGTTAGGGGAGACGCCCTTGAGACGAGGAACGAGGGCGTTGAGACCGAGAGCGACGGAGCAGGATGCGGAAACGGCCATGAGGTAGGATTTAGCCATCTGAGAATAAGAAAGCGGGGTCGATTTGTTGGCATTGGCGTTGTTGATGGCGACGTTAAGAGACTGGTTGGCGATCTGCCAGAGAAGGGTGCCGGTGGTCTAGACAATCGGATGCCGATGAGTCAGAAGGCGGGGGTAAGCTAGCATTAGGGGACAGAGAGTAAACGCACCTGAAGGCCGGGCGTAAGCATACCCGCAGTGACGACCAGGTTGGACAGGACATAGCTGGACATGCGGAAGGGGAGGAAGACCGGCTCGCCGGTGTCTAGATCGGTCAATTGAACTTCTGCGAAGGAATGACGAAGAGGGGTAGCTACCAGGGTGCAATGTCGAGTCGACCACCTTCTTAGCGTGCCATAATTCGGACGTCATGGCAGGGACATGATTCTGCCTGTAGGCGGAAACCAATTGTTTGGCCTTGTCTAGTCCAGCAGAAGAGACGAACATCATCCTACGCTCGTCAGTTATTGACCGCTTGTCGGGGGGCAACCCTCACTCACCGCGGGTCGGAAAGGTCAGCCGCATGGCGCACGCGACCCCAGTATGTGGATAGATCATACTGGGATGATGGGAGGTCCCGGTTGCCAGGAAGGGAGGTTGACATGTTGAACCACGAAGATGCTGGACAAGCAGGTAAGAAGAAGGGCCTCGGAGAGAGAAAAGAAATGTTGGGGATTTGTCCCTGAAAGGCGCGAAAATCACTACCGGGCCGAGGATACTCACGTGCAATGCCGGGCGGTGAGCCGATAAGCACTAGACCCATCTAACATGGGGTTGTGATTTGCCGATGTCGCCCAGGAACATCTTGCCACCGCAAACCTTAATTTCGATTCCAGTTGAGATTCATCATGAAAGCTGAACGGCAGGCGGTCTTAATATACATACTCATAATAACATAATACTGGATTGGACCATAGCGCAGTCGATCACTAGATCTTATATATTCTGTCGTCAAACTATTGGACTCGACATCATCAAGCTCAGGCAGCCCGCCGCTGAATGGAGACCGTCTTCGCGTTGAATTTCTAGTTGCACAATGTCTTTATCTGGCTGGTGATCAACCATATTACCGACAACGCCGCCATCGGGTGGTGGTTGCTAAAATCCAGGCACGGCTGGTGATATTGCCGCCAGTTTCTGCTTTCCGCGCTTAGCGGTGTAGAAGGCGGTACCAATCTCCCCACATTGCTTAATAATGCCCCTCAGATTGCCCCTCAGTGCCTTTGCCCGCGGAAGACTGAAGCCATTCCAAATCCCCAATATCCTCAATTCAAACAGCAGTTGAAGATCAATTGACTGCTTGTTCTCCTCCTTATATGCTTGCTCACTATCGCACTTCTTGACCATGACAGAATCAATTTACCTTAGCTATCCTCCACCTCTGGATTCCGCACAGAAGGAGTTCCTGGTGAAAACAATTAAGGACTGGGCCACGCAAAATGGCCTCGTCGTCCGGCCCTCGCCGACCTTCGTCGCAAAGGAGAATGACCCTCAAGGAGTGCTGGCGACCAATGCGCCAGTGACCCTGTTCCCTAGTCTTTTCCCTAAGGCTTGCTTTGAAGAAGCAAGAGCTCTTCAGACCGTATACAACCAACTCTACGCTGCGATCACATGTGACGAAGACTGGATTGGGAAGATCATGGAAGAGTAAGAGCCTGCTTCTACTTCTCCTTGAATGAGATTGGCACCCCATATTTCTGCGCACATGCGAAAATGGCAGTGTTCTGGCATTCGAAATGACCCCAACTAAACATACCTGCATGTAGTCTGATTGACGTCGACGATTTCATCTCCAACCTCTGGAAAGTCCATCTGGCAGTCAAGAAAGAGGGCTATACCCAAAACTTGTCGCTCGGCCTCTACCGTTCTGACTACATGGCCCATACCCCGTCCGATGCAAGCTCTCCTAGCCTGAAACAGGTCGAGTTCAACACAATTTCGTCGTCCTTTGGCGGCTTGTCATCACTGGTGACATCTCTGCACACTGAGCTCCTCAACTCCCCACCAGGCCACCCCATCGCCTATCCGTCCCATCCTTTGCTGGACAATAATCAACCCCCCGAGAATCCTGCCGTGGAGACCCTGGCTGCAGGTCTGGCTGCAGCCCACGTAGCCTACGGACCCTCCAAGTCCACCCCAGCTCTTCCCACCTGCATTCTCTTCCTCGTCCAGGAAAACGAGAGGAATATTTTCGATCAACTGGCTCTTTCCCGGGAATTGACCAAGACTCACAAAATCCCCGTCTTCCGTGTCCTCAGCTCCGAGATCCTCGATCACACATTTATCCACGACTCGAACCCCTCGAGGCCACTTATCTACCAGCCTCCGCACTCTAGTGGTACCCAGTTTGAAGTGACGACTGCCTACCTCCGTTGCTTCTACGCACCCACCGACTACAGGTCTGAGCGTGATTGGCAAGCACGGACACACCTCGAGCGCTCTGCAGCTATCAAATGCCCCACCGTGCTCAACCAACTCGCTGGATGCAAGATCGTCCAACAGGTTCTGGCCGAACAGGAAGGACCAGATCACCTGGCCAAGTTTCTTTCCGGCACTGATGATGCCACGATCACGAGAGTCAGAGCGACTTTCGCCCCGCAATATGACCTTTCGTCCACTGGCCGCGGGCAGAAGCTCGCTCTGAACCTCGAAACTGCCATGAACCATGTTTTGAAGCCACAGCGGGAGGGCGGTGGGAACAATGTGTACAAGGATGCTATTCCTGAATTTCTGCGGTCGATTCCCGAGACCGAATGGAAGCGGTGGATCCTCATGGAGCTGATTCATCCACCTGCCGAGGCTAAGAACGTGGCGCTCCGTAGTGATGGGGAGGTGCTCAGTGGACATGTTATCGGGGAGCTGGGTGTCTATGGCACTATTCTGTGGGATCAGGCCAATGGTAACATCGTGCAGAACGAGCAAGGTGGGTGGCTGATGAGGACCAAGGCGAGAGATGTCAATGAGGGGGGTGTCGCGACGGGTTTCTCCAGCTTAGACAGCATTGTTCTGTACTAGATTAATTCTCGACTAGACTATGTAGACCATTATGAATTCCCATTGTCACTGGCCCCAATCACCGATCCATACTACGCACTAATAAGGGATTTGTAGTGACGTCGGCGCTGATCTTTGCGGGGAATTCACACGGGGCCCGTTGCAACCTTAGAGATTTCGATAGCCCCACTGAATCTACCGTGTGCTCCATAGTCTATGATCCAATTTATTGTGATTGCGGCCTCCAGATCAATTTGACTTGCAAATTAGTCAATCTTCATTAGCGATTAATTTACCACGAGCACGAGTTGCAGGGATCCTGATAAAGGGGTCCGAATACGCCCGTTATCGCAGATCGACAAGGGTTGTGCCGTACTTGGCGGGAGAGAGGAGGACTGATTAACTACTACTGACTGACTGATAAGCTAGCAACTGATAAGCCCGCCGCGACGATGCAACCTGACTGCATCCAGCCAGCCAATATGCGGAGAAACCCTGGGAAGATTGAGCTTGGGTCATTTCCAATGTGACATCTTATCCGTTGTCTGCCTTGGCAGCTGATAAGCCGTGGGTTACATACTATGCTAAGGTTCTGGTATAAACCGGGGGTCGATGACGCCGTTTCCTCAAAAGAAACCGATCCCTTGCGTCTCTACTATCCGGGCTCATACCTCGTCTAACTTCTCCCCCCTTCTTTCCACTCTTCGATTCCCTCATTCTTGCACGTTCTGTCACTCCCTCATTCTCAAACTCCCGTCTGGCTGAAGTATAATGGCATCCAGCTCCAGCTTGAGTCCACATGACACCAAGACGAGCTCGGTTCATGATGAACCTGTGAAGGCGAGCCACTACACCACTGAAACGGGAATCATCGAGGATGTCGTCCGGGTCACAGACCACCAGGCAGAGAGGCATCTGTGCCGTAAATTTGACCTGCGTTTACTGCCAGTGTTGGCTTTGATGTGTAGGTCAATCAGCCCTAGTTATAGGCGGCGCCCACTGATGTATGATCCAGATCTTTTCAATGCGTTAGACAAAGGCAACCTCAGTAACGCCGAAACGGATGGCATGAGTACTGGTAGGGGACCATTCTTTGACTCAGATAGGAGACACTTGTACTGATGGGTATAGACCTGCACTTCAAGCCGAATCAGTACAACCTGCTGCTCTCCATCTTCTACGTACCTTATGTGATTTTCGCGCCGCCCTTTGCCATGCTGGGCAAGCGCTTCAGCCCAGCCCGGGTCCTGCCCGTCCTCATGTTCAGCTTCGGCTCGTTCACGCTGCTCTCCTCCGCAGCCAGAAATTTTGGCGGCATGTTCACGCTGCGCTGGTTCCTGGGAATGTCTGAAGCGGCTTTCTTCCCTCTGGTCATCTACTACCTGACAACCTTCTACCGCCGCGGCGAGCTCGCCCGCCGCCTCGCCATCTTCTACGCCGCCTCGAATATTGCGAACGCCTTCTCGGGGCTCATCGCGTTCGGGGTCTTCCAGATCAAGAACTCGACCATCCCGAACTGGCGGTACCTCTTCATCATCGAAGGCAGCGTGACGGTCCTATTCTCCTGCTTCGCATTCTGGTACCTCCCACGCTCCGCCAGCGAGGCCACGTTCCTGAGTCCCGAGGAGAAAGCATTGGCCTATCACCGCATCCAAGTCGACTCGTCCGCCGTCGTGAACGAAGAGTTCAATCTCCGCGACGCGCTGAAGATCTTCCGGCACCCGTCGACCTACGCCTTCCTCGGCATTGAAATCTGCCTGGGCGTCCCGCTGCAGGGTGTTTCCCTTTTCATGCCACAGATCATCCAGCGCCTCGGCTACTCCACCGTGAAGACCAACCTCTACACGGTGGCCCCGAACGTGACGGGTGCCGCAATGCTGCTTGTGCTGGCGTTTGCCTCCGACGCCGCCCGCCTGCGCTCCCCCTTCATCGTGCTGGGGTTCCTGCTCACCTTCACGGGCTTCATGATCTACGCCTCCATCACCGACGTCGAGGCCCAGATTCACGTGGCGTACTTTGCCACCTTCATGATGACCTGGGGCACCTCCGCCCCCAGCGTCCTGCTCAGCACTTGGTACAACAACAACGTCGCCCACGAGGGCCGCCGCGTCCTGCTCACCAGCATCGGCGTGCCGCTGGCCAACCTGATGGGGCTCGTCGCCAGCAACGTCTTCCGCGCCCAGGATAAGCCCAAGTACATGCCGGCGCTGGTCACCATCGCGGCGTTCGGGGCGACGGGCGCCGTCCTGGCGGCCTCGTTGGGCATCTTCATGTGGGTGGACAATCGCCGCCGCGACGCCCGCGAGGGCGTCAAGATGCGGGCGCAGGATGTGCCCACCGAACGGTTGAGGGATGGACCGGCCGCCGTCGAGTTTCGGTGGTTCTTGTGAAAAAAAAAAAAAAACTCTTTTTATTCTGTCACCTCGAAGTTTTAGTTTAGCTGAACATAATGAAAACATGAAGTTATGCACATGACAATATCACCTGCGACTCCAGAATATCACATCGTAGGAATTGGGAAAGCGACCCACAAATAGCACTGAGAAATTCAATCTGAGCATAAAAGCCGATATGCAGGGTCTCTGTACCCCAATTTGGGGAATTTTCCCTTCAACCAAACCCTCCCAAATAAGCTCCACCCGGCAGGAACAGTAACCGTAACCGTTGATTAATAATTTGCGGACAGTGGGGCCTTATGACATCGACTTATAGGGAGTTCTAGGGTAACGTAACTGTTTCTGTTGCCTTCTTTTCCTAATTCTCTTTAATATCTGCTCTTCGGCTTCCTACTTCAGGCTTTTTCTTTCTAGAGAACCTCAATCAAAATCAGCGTGTAACTCAAAATGAGCATCCAACAATGGACCACCCCCCTAACGGGCCTGGCCAGCCTGCGCCAGACCACCGCCCCGCAACCCACGCCAGGCCCCAATGAAGTCCTCGTCGAGATCCATGCGGTCTCGCTCAATTACCGCGACATTGAGGGTGAGCATTCCTCCAATTTTGGCTCCTTTATAGCGTTAATCTAGAGACAACACCGCCCCCTAACCATGCCCCTCGACGAGCAGTAACGAAGGGCGAATACAACCACCACAAATCGGTCACCCAGGAGACGCCCGCGACGGTCCCCTGCTCAGATATGAGCGGCGTCGTCACGCAGGTCGGTCCATCGGTCTCGCGCTGGCGCGTCGGCGACCGCGTCCTCTCGACTTTCCTGCCGGATCACCTCACGGGCCAGGTCACGCCGCAGATGCTCGCCAGGGGTATGGGCCACCCGCTCCCCGGCGTGCTGGCGACGCACCGCGTCTTCCCCGAGCAGGCGCTGGTCAAGGCTCCGCAGTACATGCGGGATGCCGAGGGCGCCACGCTGCCGATCGCCAGCGTCACGGCGTGGATGAGTGTGCAGGGTCGCTTGCGGGCGGTGGTGGAGAAGGGGGAGGATGTGAGCCGGAAGGTCGTGTTGGTGCAGGGGACGGGTGGGGTGGCGATTGCGGGGTTGCAGATTGCAAAGGCGTGGGGAGCTCGAGGTGAGTTTGCGCAGCTTTTCTTGGTCTCGATGGGTGGTGGGTAGGGCGTATGCTAACTGTGCCACCCTTAGTTATTGTGACCTCCTCGTCGGATGCCAAGCTCGAACAAGCTAAAGCCCTCGGAGCGGATTATACGATCAACTACCGGACCACGCCCGACTGGGAGGAGGAGGTCAATCGCTTCACCGAGGGGAATGGCGTGGACATCATCCTTGAGACCGGTGGCGCGAAGACGCTGCGCAAGAGCTTCGAGTGCATCGCCTTTGGCGGGTTGATCAACTGCATCGGTTACGTCTCGGGGAAAATGGATGAGCCTGAGGATCGCGTCAACGTCAACCTGTTGACGCTCCGGCGGAATGTGACGCTGCAGGGGATCATCAATGGGCCCCGGGATGAGTTTGAGAGGATGGTGGAGTTCTACGAGAAGCACCAGATTCGACCGGTCGTGAACCGCGTGTTTGGGTTTGCGCAAGCCCGGGAGGCTTTCGAGTTTGTGGAGAGTGGTGCGCACTTTGGCAAGGTCGTGATTGATGTTGCCGGGGCGTCTCAATGAGGGGTTGTATATATGATGGGGATGAGGGTCGTGTAGGATTGTGAGTTTATACTAGCTTTGCAGGTTTACGGTTGCCTAAGGAGTGCGTGTATGAGTAGGATTATCGACGGGGGTTTGGAACTAGCAAAATCGCGACGTTCTAGCTTGCTGTCTGTAGGAAAACTTCGAATTGCACCTGCAACATGTTTCCGAGCAGCTGTAGTCTTCGAATATGCTGTACGATATAAGTTATGCGCGAGTCAAAAGTGTTCACATTCATCTGGCAGCGATGCATACAGCCTTATGGCACTGCGCTAACCGAACAAGGTAAGTCCGACGGCCCCTCGGAGATGCTGAGTGCGGCAACTCCGAAACCTGCGAGCAAACGACTTTCTGTCTGCGCTGGCTCGATTTCTCATCATCATCATCATCGAACATTTAGTTCCATCCACCAGAAAACGCGCCAAGCTTGGTTAAGAAACAGTGGTGCAGATCGATCAAACGCATTGACTCATGTTGACATAGAGGATGTCCGTCGACAACATCCATCGGAGCTTATCCTCTGTTTGGAGACTGACAGCTCACTACTGCAGTCCGTTTGTTGACGGAGATACTTAAGGACTTTCCAGGGCTAGTTAGCGCAATCACGCGGGGTCAAGCTTAGTCTCTCGCATCTCATCTCACTTCTCTCTCATCTTTTCTGAACCCCCTTTGCCCAGCAAAGCACTGCCATGGATGGAGATCCTCACCTTCAGCCCGACCCATCCGGCCCAACCTCGCCGGCGAAATCGCCCGCCCGGCGACGCAGACCGCCCTTGTCTTGCACCATCTGTCGGCGCCGCAAGCTGAAATGCGACCGCGCGCTGCCGTGCGGCCAATGCCTCAAGTCCAAGACTCCCGATCAATGCGTCTACGTCGGACACCAGCCTTCCAGGTCCGATGCACGGCGCGGGGAGAATACCCCCTCGGAACGCGCGCGGGCCTCCGCCACCACCAGTCGCGCCAGCCCCGCGCACGGCGGGTTGTATGTGTTCGACTCCAAGCATCAGCAGTCGGCGGCGAACAAGATCACGAAGCCCAAGGCGCGCTCCGACGAGCTGCACGAGCTGCGCAATCGGGTGCAGTTCCTGGAGGCCGCGCTCTCCAAGACGGGTCCCATCCACACGCCCGAGAGCCTGGGGTATGACGCTCCGTCGGAAGCGGCGGGGCGCGTCGTCGCCCCAGAGGCCCAGAATCTCACGGACGACGTCAAGGAGCTCTCATCGCGATCGTGCTTCCGCGGGAAGAAGAGTCGGACGCGCTACTGCGGACGCTGCCATTCGGCCGTCACTCTGGCTTTTGTAAGTGAGCTGCGCATGTTTTTATTTTGGCGTGATCTACTGTCGCTGACCTTGTCGCATGCAGTTCGACGATGTCTCTGTCTTCATGAGAGGGCAGCGTAGCAGCTTGAAGCGCAATCCGGACTATAAGAACTTCAAGAGTTTCAAAGGTGAAATGTGGGCCCGCGAGCGACAGGATCACCAACGGGCTTTTCGCAACAAGTCCTGGAATCTGGAGGAGATGGTCCCGCCGCGACACGTTGCGGACGAGCTGGTGAACCTGTACCTGTCAACCTTTGAGATGACCTACCGCATCTTACACGTGCCGACCTTTCTGGAGCAGTATGAGGCTTACTGGACGGCATCGGGCCCACGAGACCGTTGCTTTGTTGCGAAACTCCTAGCCTTGATGGCTGCCAGCAGTTGTTTTCTCAGTCCGACGGCGAAGATCGATGGTCGAGAAAAGCTCCACGATGCGGCAGCCGAATGGATCGCGGGGGTCCGCTCCTGGATTGCTTTGACCCTGGTCAGCTCGACCATTGATTTCAACATCTTGCAGATCGAGTGCCTGATACTCATTGCACGCCAAGCGGACGCCATTGACGGGGACATTGTTTGGATCTCTTCCGGCTCACTGATTCGTATTGCGATGACAATGGGCCTGCATCGGAGTCCCTATCGATTTCACAAGATGACCAAATTCTGGGCCGAGATGCGGCGCCGGCTGTGGGCCACGATTGTGGAGCTGGACTTGCAATCGTCAATTGACAAGGGAATGCCGCCTAATATTGACCTAGAAGAATTCGACTGCGAAGCCCCGTCGAACCTTGACGACTCTCAACTCACAGAAGACATGACGGACGACCCTGTCCCAAAGAACCTGGGAACCTTCACCCGCAGCACCTTTCAGGTTCTACTGCATCAGACCCTGCCGCTGCGAGTGCACATCGCCAAAACCATCAACACGCTGAAATTCACCCTCTGCTACGACGAAGCACTGCGCCTGAGCGAAGAGATCAATCAATCCATGCAAGAGGGAGCCGGCATGTTTCATCGCATGGGAAATGCCATGTCCGGCCCGGTGGGCGACGATCCTTCCTTCGCACAGTCAATGCTGGTGTTTCTGATGCGACGGTCGCTTCTCGTGCTCAACCGCCCGTTCGCCCTCAGCATCCTCCGCACGCCGAAGTTCTCCTACTCGCGGAAGATCTGCCTGGAGTCGGCGCTGCAGATGCTCTCTTACCTCGAGCCCTCGACGGACGCGCAGGCGTTGCCTCAGCTGGCGCAGCTCAGCGGCGGGATGTTCCGCGATGAGTTCCTCCACGCGGCCCTGACGGTGTGCGTGGAGTTGTACCTCCAGTCGTGCGAGTTCAGCCTCCCGCAGTCCTTGCCGATGGGGCCGTCCAGTACGTTGACATCCTTCAATGATCTCGTCCGGTCGCAGCAGGAGGTGATGCTGCAGGCGGTGCAGCGGACGATCGACACCTTCGGCAACCGGATGGGCCCCAGCGGCAAGGGCTGCAAGGCCTTTTTCTTTCTGACCATGGTGTTGGCGTCTGTCAAGGCGCGGATCAACGGGCAGGACCCGCAGAAGGTGATTGAACAGGATGTCGTGGTCTGCATGCGGCAGTGCGAGCAAATTATGCGCGGGACGCCATGGGCTGCGGTGCGCGATCAGACGGGCAGTTCCGTGATGGTAAGTTGATGAATGGCAAGGCTGATTGTTTCAACTGCTAATTGTATGTAGCCTGCTACCGCTACCGGTCTACCGTCGCTCGATGCTACAGCCCCGGTTGACACCTTCGACCCTGCATCATTCGGGCTGGATGCGGTAAGTTTGCCTGCTTTGGGAGTGTACACGACAGGATGCTGACGAGTGCTCCAGCCGCTTGACTTTGGAAACCTGTTTGACATGGCGGACTTCGGGGTGTCGGAGCTGTGGGATCGAGATTTCTTTGCCAGCTTTTAGTTCTGGGGTGCTGGCGTTCAAAAGGGCGGGTTGGGGGGGGGGAAAGGGTATACATACCATTAATAATGACACTCTTAATTAGCTTAAGCTTATGATGGATTTCGGGAGTATCACAATCTCTCTTCTAATGAAAATATATACCATATGGCGCTGAGCATTACCCATTGCCAATGTTGACTTACTAGCTGCATGTAGGCTGCATAGGCAACACTCACCCTCTCACCACACCGCTAGAAACAAGAATGAATCATATATCTTCAGCCAAGTTACGTATATACACCCCTCCTTCCCTCCCTCCCCCCTAACCCACCAGAATCTAATTCTTCAACCCCTCCACCAACTCCTGCACACTCTTCATCTCCTTATCATTATTCTCCCCAACATCCAGCGCAACCAACACCCGACCCACACAATTATACCCAGCCACGCACGTCGTCAACTCCACCACCTCGCGATCACTCAACCCCCCCGCCTCCTCACTCCTTAGCGCCGCAAACGTCCCCTCCCTCACCGACACCCTCAACGTCATCTCATCCGCATACTTCACAACAGCCTGCTGCCGTCCACTCAACGCACTCGCCCGCAATGCCTCCCCGGGCGTCTCCTCCTCCGCCGTGGAGGCCAATTCCCGGACAGCCTGCAACTCCGCCGCCTGCACCCCACCTTTCAGGGCGAGCGGCGCGTGCGCATTCCACTCGTACACCGCGCCCGTCAGCACCGCCACCCGGCACACGGCTAGCTCCAGCACCCCCTTGTCGATCACGGTTTCCGTGCGGATCGCGCCCAGGAAGCTGTTCCATCCGTCCGCGACGGGCGGAGAGTGCAGCAGGGAGAGGTCGAGGGGGATGAGCGGGCGCGGGGAGCGGCGCGCTGCGATCCGGGCGTAGATTTCGCTGACTTTGGTGGGGGAGTTGGCTGGTGGGGTGGTGGGGGCGTAGGGGAGGCGCATCTTGGATTTCCTGTGGAGGGGGGTTAGGTTGCGAGATGAATTGGAGGGGGAGGGAGGGCATACTGTTTTCTTGGAACGGTTGTGTTTGTAGGTAGAGTAGGTGGTGTTGGGGTTGGGGAGGGTAATTCAGTTGACAGTAAGTCAAGTGCAGCGGATGGATGAGGGTAGCGCCGGGTGTTGTTATATGGCGGGGGCTTGCATTTTCCACCCGGAAACGCGGGTGATTGCGGGGGAGGATGAAGCTGATGGGCTAACCGGTTTGGGATGGGTGGGGGCATCGCCGGGTAGGATCAGGTGCCGGCGTTCGGCATGTGTACCCACTCGTTGCCGAGTGTTCGGCCCGATTTTTTGACTGGAATTTTTTGTGGCTTTTGCCTTCGCGTGACTGGTGTAGACTTGTTTTGGAGGGGTAGGGGTAGGGCGGGTTTCCCCGGATTTCGTGCTGCATCTCCTTACGGTGCTTCGCGTTTTGACTTACTCTGTTGATTCTTACTGGCAGTACGTATAGCAAGGGTTGGATGGTTGGATGGTTATTTAGAAAAAGGATTCTATTGTAGAAGATCCACTTCAATTGGCTAGAACAAACATTCGAGGTATTCATCTCAAAAGGAAACCACAGTCGCTAAAATTTATATACACAAGAAATTTTGCACACAACTCTAAGTTTACAACTTCTGGCCCTTGTTGAAGCGCTCGAAGGAGGAAACGGGAGGAGCCGAGTTGGGGTTAGGGTGGTGCTTCTTGAGCGCCATCGTGACGTTGTACTCCAGATCCAGAGTGGCCTTGGGGTCGTCGGTCTTGGGCTTGAACTCGACGACCAGGTCGTTCTTGACGGCGAACACGGAGTCGATGTCAAGGTAAGGGTCGGTGGAGGGGTAGAGCTGGTTGATGATGGTGGCGTAGTCGGGGTGGGTGATCATGAGGTGGATGTGCGCGGGGCGGAAGGGAGAGCGGTCCATGAGGTTGAGGAGGACACCGGCGGGCCCGTCGGTGGGCAGCGAGTAGGCGGTGGGGTGGTAGCAGTACCAGAAGTACTCGCCGTTCTCGTTGGTGCGGAACTTGCCGCGGAGGTTGTTCTCGCTCTGCTCGGGGTCCTGGAAATCGTACATCGCGTTGGCCGACGCCTGCCAGATGTCGAGCACGGCGCCCACGATGGGCTTGCCCGTCTCCATGTCGGTGATGCGGCCGTGCATCCAGGTCACCTGGCCGTTGGGGAGGGGGTTCTGGATAATGCTGTCGCCGAGCTCACGGAACGGGGCGTTGGGAGACCAGAAGGGGCCGAGGATGACGTTGGAAGTGGGGGAGAGGCCCTGCTCGGTGACGATCTTGTTGGCGATCTCGTCGACAAGGCTAGAGAGGTCAGTTTGACTGCAGGGATGAATATGATACGTCAAAAAAACTTACGACTCGAGACCGATAACGTCGCAGATACGGTGGCACTCGTTGCGGATGGGAGTGCTGATCTGGCCGATGGAGTTGATGAACTCAACACCCAGCATCCACTCGGCGGGAGTGAGCTCGACCTCACGAGCGAAGTCGTGGATGTGCTTGATCAGCGAGCCCAGAATCACACGAGCACGCTCGGGAGTCTTGGGGCCCATGGCGTTGACGACATAGGGAGTGAAGTTGGGATCCCAGCGAGGTTCGGCAGACATTTTGGCGGTTGTGTGAGGGGAGGAAGTTGTTTCAACGACAAACTGTGCGATGAGAATGGAGAAGATGGGGAGGAAGAGAATTGCAAGCCCAAAGTCTGGAGCACTCGAGGGGTCTATATACACGGTTCAGCCAGGCGTGGCAAGTCTGAATACGGACCGTGACGGCAAATCGTTCGGCTCGTTTGGGGATGTGGGGGGAAGCGCAACGGTAAAACCACTGTTCCCACATGCCGATGCTTTGGAGGATGGCCTGATCGTACAATCATGGTCGCATCTGTCGGATCGTCAGCCGAAAGACGGTAGGATCTTATCAAAGTATCCCGAATTTACTTCTTGGTGGGATATAGTGGTCAAGGGCACTATGGGGATAGCTAAAAATTGCAACTGTATGGTAAAACGTTCGATGGGACTGGTTGCTGCGATCGCGCGCTGGTGATCCCGGGGGAGCTCTTACCCGCTCGTACCCGCGGCTAAGACCTCAACTCGGCTGACTCAACTCTGCCCCCCCGTGATCTTCTTCCCCGGAGTTGTCAATCCCCCCAGCTCGCCCGCGGTTTCTGGCCTCATCGTGATTGCTCGACTTTTGATTGGCCAATCGCCTTCCCGACCACAGATCCGACCCCTCACGTGACTCGCTCCGAAGTGTCTGCCGTCCGGCACGTGCCAAACTTTCCAGAGCCGGATGCGGATAATGAGGCAAAATTTGTCCGCCAGCTGCCGGAGGGGTGCACAAAGACATCTGACCATACTCGCCCCAAGGAGTCGGCTTCTAATCATGGTAGTGAATGAATACATACAGGGAAAAACAACTTCCATATGGATCAACTAACGCAACGCGCTGACACTTTTGAAAGTGTTTCGATCCGATTTGATTAAACATGACCGAACACAAGACATAGCTTGCGACAGCTTATAATTCACATTGTTAAGCAATAAAATTAGATTTGGACTTTCATTATCATCTATCTATGTACTTTACACGCATTCAGCATTCCTAGTCATACCAAATGGCGTTCATGCCAAATCCCATCTCAGGGATATCAACCCGGGCCACGCGGGCAAGATTCTCGTCGCGGAAGCGGTAGATCTCGACGAAACCAAGCTGGTCGTCACACAGAGCAAGCCACTCGTCGCTGAAATCGCAGGGGCTAACGGCGTTGGAGTGTCCGCCACTGGTAGATGTGGGGTGAATGAACAGCTGGCGCTCGATTTCTCCGCTGGGACCCAGCTTGAAGGCTGTGATGTATCCTGTGATATCGAAGGAGTTTCCGCGGGTGGTTGCGAACAGATATTTGCCGCTCTTGGTGGTGAAAGTCACGTCACCACGGTACTTGTTCCGGGGGGGAAGACCTAGGTCAAATTAGTATCGATCGCAGAAAGCCACTATCCCAATACAATCGAGACTCGGGGGTTCGGGGGTGGTTCAGACTTACCGCCAGGAAGCAACGGGTAGGTGATGTGGGTGAAGACTGGCTTGTGGGTACGCTCGTCGATAACGTACACGCCAAGTCGGTTACCCGCCTCCATCAACACATAGAGGTATTTACCACTGGGGTGCATTTCAACCCAGCGGGGATGGTCACCCGGCGCGGGCGCCTCGAGGCAGTCAACCAACTCCAGCTGTCCCGTGGTAGCATCCTTCTTGTGTGTCCAGATCTTGTTGGCTTGCAGATCGGCCGAGTACAGATAGGTCTCCGTGGGGTCGAAGACCATGCCGTGGATGCCGGTGTTTGGCTCATACTCGTAATTCTGGATGTTCTCGCGCAGACTGCCATCCTCGTTGGTGGAGAAGACATTGCCGTAGCCGGCGTACTTGTAGAAGGGGTTGCCGTACACGTTGTAGGGGGGCTTGTGCGCGGCGAGCACGAAGATCGCACGGGTGTTGGTATCGGCGCTGGCAGCCAATTCTGCGAGGGGAAATCAGATTTCGTAAGGTTAGACGCAGCAGAGCAACGATGCCTTACCATGACCAGCCACGGGGTGGGAGGCTTGATGGACAATGTCGGTAGGGCTGTTCACAGCAAAGCTGTTCCACTTCTTCATGGCAGCGCCATAGATAGCTTTTTTGTCGTGCTTTCAAGACAGACTTAGTTTTCCGAGCCAAAACACCTTGGTAGTAAGCGAAAACATGCTTACCGAGAAAGTCATCCAAGAGATAGGCTCCGCCTCTGGAATGTCGGTCTTCTTGACCAAGTCCAGGGTCAAGGCTTCGTCATCGAATGCGACCGTGTAGATGCGTCCTGGAGGGGTCCAGGTACCGACCATGAGATGGTGCTTCATTTTCGTAGGTGGGGTTGCGGTAAAGAGGGAAGCGGAGAATCGATATGTCGGAGTATGACAGAATTGAGCACTGAAAGAACCAGCAGAGCTCGTGAGAAGGGAAGGCGATGCTGAAACGGAGGGTGCTCGAATGGATGACCAGAGACGGAGCATTATAGAACCATCACTTCTGAGACTCGAAGGCGGGGGGAAGAGTATTTCCTAGCGCTGGTTCGGCAGGGAAAAAGTCGAGGCACCGCCGACTCGGGATCTGGAGACAGCCGAAGCCAGACTAGAGCAATGAATGCGGGGAGCGGCAAAAGATTACGGCACCTTGTGTGCATTGCTGCCCCAGGCATCCAGATGGAATCTCAAGGCTCAGACATTAGCCTGGTCACTAGCTTAGCGCTTAACATGGCTAGCTTCGGCCTCAACTAGCACCAGCATTAGCCTGTCCACCGCTATCTAGTACCATGGCCCTATTACCCATCAGGCAAGGCGGACTGAGCTTCTCCAACACATCATTAGTGACGCAGACTGTTTCAAATGTCGACTGGAACAGGGTCCTCAAGGACTGCAGATCTCCGAGCCAAAAAAAAAAAAAAAGGGGGAGAAGGGGCGAAGGGTTGCACAGATATACAGGTGGAGGCGATAGAGCTCCCCATGTAACGGGTACATGCATGTGGGAGGAGGAGCTGCGGCACGTAACCAACATCCTAATCAGGATGACAACAAATGCCTCCTCCAGGTTTTCGGGAGGGATGGCGGAGTGATGGACATTTAGACACGGAGTAGAAAAATCCAGTGGCTGCCCCAGGCCAATCAGGCTGCAGCGGGCAGCGCCAAAGGCGGGGTTCCCTTCCCCGACTAACGCCATTCATGATCTCACCTTCCCTGCTTCCATCCACTGATCGTTCTGATTGTTATACAGCCTTGGGCTTAACTCCAACTGATCGCTGCCCGTTTCATCAGACCTACGACATCAGTGCGAAGACATGGCAGCCCAGACCAGCTCCAGTTCCGACGGTTTGTGCCTTTTATTTCCGTCCCTCTTCCCAAGCTCCGACCGTCCTTTCACATCACCTCTCGTGTGCTACCTCCAGCCAGCTGTCCTCTGGCGTTTCCGCTAATTCCATTTGCATATCTCTTCTCCTAAGTAACGTACTTAATAACCTTATTTGCTAATCGCTCCAATGTCGACTTCTGTAGCTACCGCGACCTCGGAACTCCAATCCTCTCTTCGTGAGCTCGCTCTCACCACCACAAGTCCCGTGAAAGACATTGCCCGCCCGTCATTACTCCCTCGCTCGGCCCTCAAGAAGAAGAAAGCGGCCCCCGTGGCAGACTCCTGGGAAGATGAGGTAGACGAGAGCGCCTCCGAGCCGGACGAGCCGGACAACAACCCCGTGCTATCGCCGTCAATCCGCGCCTCCGAAGACCCTCTCGACCCTCCCCCAACCCCGCTCTCTCCGCAAACAACCCTGAACCAACCATGGCCTTCCTACGGCAATTCCGGCTCCATGCCCCGATCATCGGACTCTAAATCTCCAGTGTCGGGCCGACGACCCGAGAAGCAGACGGCGGTAGCCAACCGAATGATTGCAGGCGCATTGGGCATTCGAGCCCCGAAGCGCACGGAAGAGCAGCGGGCATACGACCGAGCGGTGAAAGAGCAAGAGATTAAGAGGAGAAATAAAGAGCGCGAGGAAGCTGCCAAGGCTAAGGAGGATGAGGAACGGGTGAAGGCGGCTGTATGGGATGCATGATTGCTTTCAAGACTTTAATTTTGTCAATATACGGCGTTTGAATCTAATGTATCTTGATAACACACACTTACTACGCTAATCAAACCCACACATTTCAATTAGTCGTGGCCGTGGCCGAAGCTTAGATAAATAGGGAGTATGTAAGCGATTTGAGGTCTCAGGGGTGGGCTACTAAAGAATAATTCTTCGACTCTTGGTGGTTGGATGGTTGTTGGAACTAGCTGGGTTCTTCGTTTAAACAAGAGGTGAAGGCCTTTGGATCATGTGGCCGGATTACTCAGGAACGCCGACTGAGAGGGCTTGCGCACAGTGCCCAACATGGACTGCAGATCACAGGTTGATCAAGTAGCTGTTAGGACGGTCAGACCGCAGTGTCGGACTGCTGTGCTTCCATATCAAGATACTGTATTGGAGAATGGATCTACCTCTTGATGTACCCTGCTTGGAGACAAATTCACAATTTGCGAACATTTCCGGGTTATCTGTAAGCACCATGCAATACAGATAGCGGTGTCGAATCTATGAACGAGTGCTTAAGGCGGATAGGATTAGTGCATAGTCTCCTCAAACCTGATAAAAACATGTTGATTGAATTTGAGAAAACATCTGTACACTGAGAGTTGCGATATCCGTGGACAGGGAGATAGGCCATTCACACCTTCTTCCTGTGTTTCTCTAGATGTGAATTTTGCGTATAAGGAAGGGACTGCCCTTCCATTATCCGAGTAACACGGGCAAAGCGAGGCAAGCACCCTGGTCTGGACTGGTGCCTGGAGTATCAATTCAATCCTAATTCACCGCTGTCTTTCTGCTCTAGGACTATCTACCAATTGAGCATACAACTCTCCACCTCTGCCTGCACGCCTGAGTACGCTCCTTCGTCCACCAACACCAGAGCACGAACTTCAAACAGTCTGATCGCACTTTACACTTCCTCAAATCTGTTCATAAGCAACCTCAAACTACTCATTTCGATATCAAGATGGAGCAGAAAGGTCAGTCACCTGTACAAATGAGTAAGAAAAGAGTATACTGACTTTGCCATGGAGAAAGCTGCCGAGCCCGATGAGGCCTCCAAGTCATACAATCGTTGCACTCAGGAGCAGACTCGCTATCGCTGCGGGCATATAGCACCTGGCGAGTTCGTCAACTGTGTCAAACATATCGCCAAGCCAGAGCTGCGGTGCAACAGCAAGGAAATTGTGCATATTGATACCAAGGGAACTTTGCACATGTGCCGCAAGTGTTTGAAGAGCGCTTAATGAGGATAGAAGTCGACGAGTAAGTCTCTATGTTGCTTCACTGAGCTCTGCAGTGCAAGCTCTGATCAGATCTTAAGCTCCGAGCAATCATGTCGTAGGGCCTATTTTCTGCCGACGCCTGATTTATCTCTCAATTTGGCCTCAAGACCATCAAGCTCTTTCTGAGATGCCGTCGGATCGACGGTCCCTAGTGCAACTGAAGATTCAAAGTCGAGAATCTGGGCGCCTTTCTCATTTATCAGAAAATTGTACTTATTGGTGTCTTTGTGGAGGATTCCGAGGGCATGCAGTAGGCGAATAGTGCTTTTGCATTCTTCCAGATCCTCTATGTCCGGTGGATGGCCTGAAATCATCTCCATAAGGAAGCCGATTGTACGATCCTTTGTTCCCTCGTAGACGTATCCAATAAAGTGTGGGGCTAGTAGAAAGCCAGCGGACGATAGGATGGAATAGATGGATACCTCCTGCTGCAGATAGCGGACCTCATGTTTGAATCGCGCTATCTTCATAACCCACATCTCGTTGTTGTTGTCAGCCCGTACACAGGAGAGACGATCACCGATTCTCGACACTTTTGTGAAGCTTGAAAGATTGTAGAACTTGGCAGTTGAGATGTCAAGCTTTGTCAGATTCAATCCGTGTGGCTTGAATTCTTCTAGCGTGCTTTCGAGGCCATGAGTTCCGTTTCGCACGGTGAGTGTTGTCCATTCTTCCTCCCAGCGTGGTACCCTTCGCAGGTACAGAAGAATCCGATAGCTATCGGTCCTATAATCTGGAGGGATGATGCCTTCACCGAGGACCCAAACGTAGACAACCCGATTCTTTTTTCGCACCCGATAGAGGAAGTCGTTCTCCTCGAGGTCTAAAGACAGTACTTGTTCCTAGATTCCTTAGCAACAGGTGCGACGATGACGATGCACGATAGGCGAACTCACGTCTTGACAAGCTGTCAAAATGGGCTGGGGAGGAGGACTTGGTGATTCAGTGTCGCTATAGTCGCTAGCATTGGACGACATGATGGGCTAGACTCGACGCATAGTTCTAGAATGGATCAACTGATAAGGTGGCTGAGGTGGGTTTGTTGACGATAAGGAATGAGTTATCATAACCATAAGGTGAAAACCAGTACTAGCTATATGTGGTTAGTAGTAGGTGACATAGCTAATGTAATCATTTGTTTTCATTTGCACAAGTGCTGACATCATTCCTCGAAGCCAGTCGTCGGGTGAGCCAATGACAGAGGAAGACCAGACGCGGGAAAATGCAGCAGACTGGCTGGCTGCTTCCTAACGTTCCCGAGTCTGTGGCACTGACCTCTAGTCCCAGCCGTGGTGGTGCAGGAACTAATTTAGTTTGTAGGCGCATGCAATTTGCATTCTGCATCAATCTGGCTAAATCCCCATGACTGGCAGATTGCTCGAGGAGATCGCGTCCGGTTCCACTTCGACCATTGCTTTGCAACCGACTAGACCCGCCGATCGGAGGCCCATGCCAGCTCCTATGTGGGGAAGAAAGTCCATCGACTCCATCCAATCCATTCAACGCCCCTGGTACGCGGGACTACTCAACCACTAAATGTCACTAGCAGACGCCATTTGCCAGTGACTCCAGTGAGCATGGAACAGCTGAAGTTTGAGGCAAGACAAAATGGCCTCGACATCCACGGGTACGTGGGTACGCCGCTGCTTGGCAAACCTTAATACATTTCAACTCCTGCCTCTCCCTTCCGTCCCCGGGAAGTTCAAGCTCTGACCCCTCAAAAAACGGGCGCCTTCTCCTGTCGCTCCTTTCATTATTGTCATCTTCCCTTCTTCTTCTTCTCCTTCCTCATAGTGAAGCTGCTTGCTCACTTTGCAGAGCAATCAGTAATGGCAGGCAAGCAGCAATCCCCAACGGCCTCGTCCGCCACTTCTAGTGCGGATGGGCTGGCCGATCCCGGAGATTCACAATTACTTGGTGAGTAACTCGCCTCCTAATTATGCCAATAGCAATCGGCTCACGATGCCTCAGCCACCCTCGGATACAAACAAGAACTTCGTCGACAATACTCCACGGTTCAAATCTTCGCTGTCGCATTTAGCATTATGGGACTGGTGCCCTCGATAGCATCCACTCTTGCTTTCAACTTACCAGCCGGCCCCGCGGCAATGACATGGGTAATTACACCCAACTCAAGAGCCATGCTTCTTGCAGGATTCAAAATCGCTAATAATCCTAGGGTTGGCTCATTGCGAGTCTCTTCATTTTTTGCGTGGGATTAGCATTAGTATGAACCCCGTGATCACATTGTTGCTGGGAGCGCAGCTAACACTTCCATCTTGCTCCAGGCCGATATGTCGTCAGCTATGCCCACAGCCGGTGGGCTCTATTGGTGGACTCATTACTTCGCAGGCCCCAAGTATAAGAATGCGTTGAGCTTTTTGGTGGGATACAGCAACACCATGGGGCTAGTCGGGGGAATGTGCTCGGTAGACTGTGAGCAAATATTGGTTAATCATAAGTTGAGGCATTTGCTCACAGAACGACAGACACACTTACGCTCATGATTCTTGCCTGCGTCTCCATAGCACGCGACGGTGCGTGGTCGGCCTCTAACGGTGTCATCTACGGTGTATATGTTGGCCTCATCCTTGTTCACGCCTTATGCGGCATTTACACGGGCCCCATCATGCCTCGGATCCAGACATTTTGCATTTTCATCAATATCGCCATTATCATCGCCACTGTCATTGCTCTGCCGGTGGGCAAGGTGACTAACGGTGGAACACTCAACCCTGGCAGCTGGGTCTATGGACATGTGGATAACTTGACAACCTGGCCGAAAGGATGGGCTTTCATCCTCGCATTTCTCGCCCCAATTTGGTCCATTGGATTCTTCGACTCGTGCGTGCACATGAGTGAGGAAGCTTTGCATGCTGCGAAGGCCGTGCCCCTAGGCATCGTTTGGTCATCGGGATGTGCATGCGTACTGGGGTTCTTGGTGCTGAGTATCATTGCCGCCGTGATAGACCAGGATATCAGCACAACATACGATTCGATATATGGACAGCCCATGGCGCAGGTCTATTTCACGGCGCTCGGCAAGAAAGGAGCCCTGGGATTCATGGCAGTCCTGATAGTGATTCAATTCTTGATTGGGCTGAGCTTGGTACGTCTGGATAAAGCCTTCACGTGATTCGCTTCCTCTAACAATGCTTAGATTGTCGCCGCTTCTCGACAGGCCTGGGCGTTTTCCCGAGACGGAGCCCTGCCATTTTCAAATTACTTTCGGCACGTGAGCAAACGTATTCAGTATCAGCCGGTACGGGCGATGTGCGGCTTCGTGGCTGTCTGCATTGTCTTCGGATTACTGTGTTTGATCAATTCCGTCGCCGCCAACGCGCTTTTCTCGCTTTTCGTGGCCAGCAATTACGTTGCCTGGGGCACCCCGATTCTCTGCCGGTTGATCTGGGGTAAGGAGCGGTTTCGTCCGGGCGAGTTTTACACCGGGTGGTTCAGTCGACCGATTGCAACCGTGGCCGTGGTGTGGTTGATCTTTGGTTTGATCCTGTCGATGTTCCCTAGCACAGGCCCGAATCCGAGCCGTAAGTGTTTGCTTTCTTCCAATTGGGATTATTGGCTAATGATAATAATATAGCATCGGATATGAATTACACGATTGTGCTCAACGGCTTCGTCTGGGTCGCATGCATGACGTACTACTTTTTGTTTGCTCGCAAGTGGTACACTGGACCCAAGATGACCGTCGACGGGGTTGACTCTCGAGTCGCGAACGACGAGAGCCGGCCAGGAAGCAAAGACCCTTCTTCTGCCTAGCATTTGATCTGATATATAGAGCTCTGATATTCAAAACTTGAAGGATAGATAAGACATAGATTTGAAGAAATAGACATTTCTATATCTAATTTCCAATGTGCTTTCCAGTCAGTATCTTGGAGTACTACAATTGGCCATCGCATTTAAGTTTAATAAGGAGTGGTGGTGCTTTGCTACAGCAGGTCGGTGTTGCTGGCGCGTCCCGGGGCTTGTCGGTTGTGGTACGAGCATATATATCCGTGCGACTAAGGCGGCCATTTTAGCTTCTAGCGATAATGCATACCCACCTATACAACGTTATTCACCTTCTTGAACGACATGAGAACCAATAATCTCAGCCAATGGAGCGTTATATAAACAAACATCACTTACATGTGACAGACTGCGCTGCGACTTGACTGGGAAGACGAAACCCCAGTATGCCTGAGGCACCACTTGATCAAATCCATGCTGACTCATCTCCCAAATTGGGCTATCGGGCTAATTACGTATCGCGCGTTTCGAGGATGCATGTTAAGTTATAGACAATCTCCAACGATTAACAGAGAATCTCCACTCCAATCCAAATAACCATGCTCTCCAGGACCTTCTTCGCGAGAGCCGGAGCCATCCAGCGCCCAGCGGGCCTCGCGCGCCTGTTCTCCTCCACCACGCAACGGATGGACCCCGATCTGTCTTACCAAGTCTTCAAGCCCGAGAAGGACGAAGTAAGCCGGGACCCGATTATTTTCCTGCACGGCCTGTTCGGCTCAAAGCAGAACAACCGAAGCATCAGCCGGTACGCCCACCCCTTTGGTCTTATGTGGTAGCGGATAACTGACGATGAGCACGCAGCGCATTGGCCCGCGACCTCAAATGCGAGATCTTCACCGTGGTATGCATGCACATGCCCTGTTTACGGTACCTTGAGTCGCGTTGGGCTTTCTGCCAACTAGACGGTCTGAAGCCACAGGCTAGCGAATTTTGTTCTGATGTTCTGGATGGTGTTGCTAGGACCTTCGAAACCACGGCCACTCGTTCCACGCCGAGGAGCACAATTACTCCGTCATGGCGGAGGATGTGATCCGGTTCATGCAGCAGTTGAAGCTGGAGAAGGCCGCGCTGATCGGGCATTCGATGTATGAAATCACCCCGCGCGCCCCCCCCTTGCCAGCTGCCATAATCTCGCAAGTTGTTGTACTGGAGAAAGAGAACTGACCCCCTGGTCTGGTGTACAAAAGGGGCGCCAAAGCCGCCATGACCGTCGCCCTCGAATCCCCGCGTCTCGTCTCGGCGCTGGTTCCCGTGGACAACGCCCCGCGCAACGCGCCCCTCAAGAGCGACTTCGGCAAGTACGTCCGCGGCATGCAGGAAGTCGAAGCCGCCAGGGTCACCAAGCAGTCCGACGCCGATAAGATCCTGAAGGAGTATGAGGAGGTATGCTACGCCTACCCTCCCTGAGCCTTTCCCCAACACGCACCACCCGCAACCCCATTTGCCCTGCTATTCCCACGATGCAAGCAAGAACTGATAACGACGGAAAAAATAGTCCCTCCCCATCCGCCAATTCCTCCTCACGAACCTGATCCGCTCCGAGGCGGACCAGACCATGAAATTCCGCGTCCCGCTCGCCGTCCTCGGCGAGTCGCTGGTCGACATGGCCGACTTCCCGTACGCGGAGGGAGACAAGCAGTACGACGGCCCGACGCTGTTCGTCCGCGGTACCCGTAGTCGCTACGTCACGGACGACGCGGTCCCCGCGATCAAGGCGTTCTTCCCGCAGGCGCAGATCGCGGACGTGGAGGCGGGGCATTGGTTGATCTCGGAGAATCCGGAGGCGTTCCGACTTGGTATGTTTGTTTGTCCCTTTCCTTCGTGCGGGAGAGGGTTTGGTGTGCTAACGTTTGTGCTTTAGCGGTGGTTAAGTTCTTTAAGGGGTTGGATTAGGTTTTAGAGTTGAAGAGTTTGGGGGATGGGGGTGTATATAGGTAGGTTTGGGGTTGGGGGGGGATTCGTGCGCGTGATAGAGCTAGAGCTAGAGCTAGAGCTGAGGGGTTGGTTGCATATATAAAAGATCTCTTTCTTCAACGCGTTTCAATAGAAATGGTATCATCATCGTTGTTTGTTCCTCGGTAAATAAACATGCAGGAGGCGATAAATAGTAGGAAATTGTATATAACACAGGAAGAAAATCTTGCTTTTGGTCTTGCAAAAGAGAAATTCGCCGAACCCAAAAATAAGAAACCGAACCAGACCCCACGCTCACCCTGACAAGAAAGACCAGATTACAATCCTGTAGGATGGAGGAGGAGCTAATAAGACATAATCGTAGAAGGTGGGGTGGGTTAGTTAGGATAAATGTTACAGCCCACGGCGTGGTGTTTAGTCGAGGGCATCGGTAATACAGCCGTGACTGGCGTCCTTGACGAGTCTGAAGAAGGGTTGTTAGTGGGGAGTCCCAAGTTGATGGAGTGTTTCAGGAAAAAGATATACGTACTTAGCGTACTTGCCAAGAGTTCCGCGGAGGGTCAGACCAGTAGGAGGCAACTTGCCGGCAGTCTTATCAGCCTCCCACTGCTGTCTTCTTGAGGCCAGCTCTGTCTCGTCGACGTCGAGATCGAGGACACGCTTCTCAGCGTCGATGGTGATCACATCGCCGTCCTTGACCAGACCGATGGGACCGCCGACGGCAGCCTCGGGGACGATGTGGCCGATGAGGAATCCGTGGGAACCGCCAGAGAAGCGTCCGTCGGTGATCAGGGCGCAGGAGTTACCGAGACCGGCTCCCATCAGGGCGGAAGAGGGCTTCAGCATTTCTAGAGGACATATTTTATTAGCGAGGTCCCGAGAACGTTCAAAAAGAAATACTGGTTGTAGTCACTTACCAGGCATGCCGGGGCCTCCCTTGGGACCGCAGTAGCGGATGACAACAACGGTCTTATCCTCCTTCTTGATCTCATTGCGCTCGAGGGCGGCAATGAAGTCGTCCTCCTCATCGAAGACGCGCGCCTTACCGGTGAAGACGAGACCCTCCTTACCGGTGATCTTACCAACACTGCCACCAGGGGCCAGAGAACCCTTCAAGATCTGGATGTGACCGGTGGGTTTGATGGGGTTGGACAAGGGACGGATGATCTTCTGGTCCTCGGGGAAGTCGGGAACCTTCTCCAAGTTCTTGGCCAGGGTCTGACCGGTAACAGTCATACCGGAACCATCAATGATACCCTCCTTGAGCAGGAACTTAAGCAGGGAAGGAGTACCACCAATGTTGTGCAGATCGGCCATGACGTACTTGCCGGAAGGCTTCAAGTCGGCCAGGAAGGGTGTGCGGTCGGAAACAGCCTGGAAATCTTCGATGTCGAGCTTGATGCCGACGGAGTCCGCGATGGCGATCAAGTGGAGAACAGCGTTGGTGGAACCACCGGTGATGTTGACGACAATCATGGCGTTCTCGAAAGCCTGGCGGGTCAGGATGTCGCGGGGGCGGATGTCCTCCTTGAGAAGGGTCTTGATGGCCTCACCGGCTGCGAGACACTCAAGGTACTTGGCCTGGGACTCGGCAGGGTTGGAAGAGGAACCGGTCAGGGTCATACCCATAACTTCGATGGCGGTGGCCATGGTGTTGGCAGTGTACATACCACCGCAAGCACCGCCACCAGGGCAGGCGTTGCGGATGATGTCAAAGCGCTCGGGCTCGGTGATTTCCTTGCTCAAGAACTGGCCGTAGGCCTGGAAGGCGGAGACAATGTCGATATCCGCGTTGTTCTGCATCGAGGCGCAACCGGGCTTGATGGTACCTCCGTAAACCATCAAACTGGGCCGGTTGACTCTGCCCATCGCCATCAACACACCAGGCATGTTCTTGTCACAGCCGGGAATGCTGATGTTGGCGTCATACCACTGACCGCCCATGACCGTCTCGATGGAATCCGCAATCAGGTCACGGCTCTGCAGGGAGAAGCGCATACCCTTGGTACCCATACTGATACCGTCACTGACACCGACGGTGTTGAATTGGAAACCGACCAGTCCAGCCTTCTGGACACCCTCACGGACGCGGTTGTTCAGGTCCATCAGGTGCATGTTGCAGGGGTTACCGTTGTACCACACGGACGAAATTCCAACCTGAGCCTTGTTCATGTCCGCCTCGCTGAGACCAGTGGCGTACAACATCGCCTGGGAGGCACCCTGCGAGATGGGCTGGGTGATATGGCGGGAGACCTTGTTGAGGCCGGCATCCTTGTCGTCGGCATTCTGGTGTCTGGGAAGGGTGGTGGACAGCGAGCGGCTATATATTGCAAAGGCATGGGTCAGTATTCAGTATGTGTTAAGCACCATGCAAAGAGCTAGACAACAATGGTATCACTCACCTGTTCAAGGAGCGCTGGCTGAGGCTCCGGAGAGCGGCAGGCATACGCCCGCGGGTCTGTGAGAGAAGCATTGCCGGATCGAGAGCACGCAACTCACGGGGTATCAATCGGAAGCTTGAGTGAGAGGAGAAGGGTCGGATGAGGGGTAAGAGAGAAGTTTAGAAACCCTGGGCCATAACACAAACAGGAATAATATAAGGGAGCATCCGGAGGTCAAGCAGAGAGTCACACACAGCTGGGAAAAATGGGCCGGGGTGCCTCCGCAGCGAAGTCGGGGCCGGAGTTGGTCAGATTCTCCCCGCCACCCAATCCTTGTCCATCGTTTGTCATCCATTACCCAATCATCGGCCCGGCTGGGATGACTCAGGCCGGTCTCGACTGCTTTCCGTGGCAGTTTTCTGGGGAGCTCCCCCCAGCTAGCTGTTCTGGGCTTAGTGCTCCGGTATCTCAATTCCACCGCTTCCGACACAGCGGTGATGTAAGTTACGTTACTGCCAGGTCACGGTACGCTTGCCTCAAATAGGCCGAGGTTCTTGCCGCCTTAGTAGCTTGCTGTAGAACAGAAGCTTGCTGCTGTGATACTTACCTGTCTTTCCTGGTATACTCTTGGTGTTGTATGCTCAATAAGAGCGACGACCCTCTCAGAGCCAATTCTGAGTCTTCTTCATGCTAAATTGCCACATTACTATCCCATACTCCTGCTGGAATAGTATACACATTGCCTTGCTTACGCACAAGATGATGCTCCCGTGCGACAAACTATATACGATGCTTACAACCAGCTTCAGATTTATTGAGCCAGTCTGAAAAGCTAGTACTACATGCGACATGCATACAATATATCTGTCTGTGATCGACCACGGAAACCTGTCAGTAGGGTCATGTGTAATCAATGGCGAGCTCAAGTGTTACACTGTGCGCCGTCGTCTGGCAGAAGGACAATATTAACCTCGCACATGATCAAAGCGGATCTTGTGAGCATTTAATCAGAGACTCTCTCTGAGAACTAGCCTATTCCTTTCTTGATCGTTATTGTGGTCAAAATATTTACTGGAAGCATTACTGCCTTCCTTGATTTCGCAAGCAAGGGAACGCGGCAGGAATGCAGATGGTATGCACGCCCTGCAGCACCCTTGCCATTAGCCAGGAACCGACCTCTGCGCGTCTACTCTGGCCTGTCTTCTTGTTTACTCTGTCGCACCTATCACCTCACCTTTGTCACCTGTGTCGACAAATCGCACCTACCGAGGTGCTAAGGTTCCATGCGGGATGACATTCAGTCGCGAAATGGCGTCCATTGCGATTGACGCCTTGGGTCTTTCGCTAATAACTGCTTGTACGGTACCAGCACTGCTCACGATAACCCGTCGATTTCGAGAACCGAAGATCGACTGTGCATCCGATTCACCAGACACACCTGAGACGCCACTCTTCGGTCTGGCGAGTTTTGAAGATCAGGACGGAACAGCCACACGAGAGTCACTGGAAGCATTCTCAGCTTCGTGGCAGCGAGTCGCTATAGTACTCTCATCGGTCATTGGATTTGGGGTATCATTATCACAGGCTATCATATCGATAGAATCGGGCCAACACCAATATGTTATTCCCTTCTGGTTGCAGATGGGAGGATGGGTACGTCCTCAATCGCTATCAGCGCACCCATTGACCTCACTAGCATAGCTTTGGTCTGTTCTAACAGTTAATAGATGGTGCTTTGTCTACAATCCGCTAGCTTCTTCCTCGAATCGGCACCGATCCAACGATATATTCTCGGGATATACGCGTCTGCGGCTAGCTGTGCTATGATAATGATGCCATGCGTGGATCTCGGGCTTCTCTGGCGCTCTGAAGAGTTCAATAAACTTGGCCGCTTGTCCACGAGTCTCATAACGAGCCAGATTGGCATTGCCTGTTTACGAGGCTTCTTCAGCGTCTTGATACCCAGGCGTCCTAATGTATATCACCAAGGACAGGTGGTAGACCAAGAAAAGAGCGTGAGCATCTTTGGCAGAATAACGTTCAGCTGGGTCAACGGTCTCTTGCGATTTGTGGCGACGAACAAGACTTTAGAAATTGACGACCTCCCAAAGTTACCTTTAAGCGCTCGCGCCCAAACTCTCCATGCACGGCTTGAAAGAATGCGCAGCTCTCGGGAGCTGTGGAAGGCGCTCATACTGGGACATGCCCGGCCTCTTATGCTACAAGGCACGCTAAGCATAATTCAATGTCTGCTTGGATTTGGACCTCAGGTAGCTCTGTTTGGGATACTGAAGTCACTCGAGGATCGCTTTTCTTCTCCAGGTGACGCAAACCCAACATGGGTCTGGGTTCTTGGGCTGGGAGTAGTTCTTGTTCTGTCTTCCAGCATTGAATCCTGGTTATGGTGGATTATTTATTCCCAGTTATGGATTCCGATTTATGAAGGAATCTCAGCTCTAGTGTTTGCCAAATCATTGCGGTGCAAGGACGTGAAGCAGCTAAGCCACTACAGTGAAGCAGACGAAAACGCTGATGACGGTGAAGAGATAGAGGAGATGGAGCAACAAGGAAGCCGCCAAACTGTTATCAACCTGGCTACCGTAGACTCCAAGCGCATCGCTGACTTTGTCATGTATAACTACCTGATTCCGTCCTGCATTCTTCGACTGGTCATCGCGTCTGCCTTTCCGGTTCAACTGATCGGATGGAGAAGTTTACTGGCTGGTGGTTTCGCGGCAATTCTGGTAACACCGATGAACACTCACTTGACCAAGAAATATTCGGCAGCGCAGAAAGATTTCATGAACGCTAGCGACAAGCGAATGAGTGCAGTTGCGGAAGTTCTGCATGGGATACGACAAATCAAGTTTTCAGCTCTGGAACAGCAATGGCAGGATCGAGTGTCAGAAAAACGCCGTATCGAGCTCAAATACCTATGGAAGACGTCCCTATACACCACTGGACTGGTCTCTGTCTGGATCATGGGACCGCTCTTGTTGTCTGCAGTGTCGTTGACCGTGTACGCGCTGACCCATGGCGAATTGTCTGCGTCAGTAGCATTCACAGCTCTTTCTGTCTTTGGATCCTTAGAATCTGCCTTGGCGAGCTTGCCTGATCTCATGTCCAAAGCAATGGAGGCTAAAATTAGTGCCTCTCGCATTGACCAATATTTGAACTCGGCAGAAAAAGCTCCCTATGCATCCGACGTCGAAGAGATATCGTTCGATAACGCCACGATTGCATGGCCGGCACAGGATGACGAAGACGAGCAATCTGGTTGGGACGATGAAGAGCGATTCTGCCTTCGCAACCTCAACCTTCGATTTCCGCTCAAAGGATTGAGTGTCATTGCTGGCAAGACTGGCTCCGGGAAGAGCTTGCTTCTGGCCTCAATCCTAGGGGAATGCGATGTCTTGGGTGGAATGGTGGCTATTCCGCATAGCCCCCCGTCTGCTGAACGATTTGATGAGAGGGCAACACGCCATGACTGGATTATTGACACAGCTGTGGCTTATGTGGCCCAGAACCCATGGATGGAGAATGCGACAATCAAGGATAACATTCTTTTTGGTCTTCCTTACGATCGTTACCGATACCGCAAAGTCCTCCGTGCGGTTGCATTGCAGAAGGATATAGATATGCTCCCAGATGGTGACTATACGGATATTGGTGCTAATGGAATCAATCTTAGCGGCGGTCAGCGGTGGCGTATATCATTCGCGCGTGCTCTATACTCGCGAGCAGGAATCCTGATCATGGATGATATTTTCAGCGCGGTTGATGCTGAAACAGGACGTCACCTTTATGAGCGTGCCCTGACAGGAGAACTCGGTCAGAATAGGACTCGGATTCTCGTCACTCACCATGTGGGCCTTTGCCTGCCTCGGACAGATTATTGTGTTCTCCTTGCGGATGGAATCATGATCCACGCCGGTACGAAGGAGGAGTTGGCCGCAAGCCAAAATCTGGTCGACTTTCTGGATCAGACTGCGGAAACAACAGTGCCTGAAACGCCGACAGAAGTGCAGGGACCCAAAGTATTTTCGAAGCGTGTGTCCACGAACTCGCGAAAATCCACGAACTCGCGTCTCTCAACGGCTACTAGCATTCACACCCTCAGGAGGTTCACTGAAGATGAGAAGCGTGAGAGGGGGGCTGTTTCTACCAAGGTCTACGTTGCGTATCTGACCAAGGGAAACTGTCTCCGTCTGTGGACAGTGGTCTTCCTGGCGTACAGCGCTTTCATGGCTCTTCTCGTCGGTCGGGTATGGAAATCTCTGATAACTCGCAAAATCTCGGTTCTTGATAGCTAACAGTACTAGTCCTGGTGGGTCGGCGTCTGGACAAGTGCGTCCACCCCGTCATCTGATGCAACGAATCTCCCGCGTGTTCGCGACCACACCAGCAATCAAATCTGGACATTCGAAGCTGACGAGGATTTGATGTTCTATCTTACGGTGTATATTGGCTTCTCTGTCGCCGCATGTATAGTGGGCACAATCCGCACACTAGCTCTTGCCTTTGCCTCGCTCGAATCCTCCCGCCAACTGTTTAATGATCTACTGTACACTGTCCTGAGGTCTCCTCTGCGATGGCTGGATACTATGCCTACTGGTCGCATTCTCAACCGATTCACATCTGACATCAACATTCTTGATTGGAGGCTCGGATACGACATCGGCCACCTTGTCTACAAAATCTTGGAGCTGATAGGGATTCTCGCTGCTGGACTGTTAGTGTCACCTCTTCTCTTGGTGTTCGCTTGTATTCTGCTAGCTCTGTGTTTTCAGCTGTCGAAGGTTTATCTGGTTGGCATGCGAGAGATCAAACGACTGGAGAGCACTTCAAAAAGTCCGGTTTTAGAGCGATTTGGATCTACCTTGGTCGGATTGGGGACCATTCGTGCATTTAACAAGACGGAGGTATACATCAAAGACATGTATGCTCGAATTGACCGACACGCGCAAACCGCTTGGTACCTTTGGCTCCTGGATCGCTGGCTTGGTATCCGGATGAGTATTGCGGGCGCCCTTCTGTCAACGATTACAGCGGCGCTAGTGGTGTATATTCCCCACATCACACCTGCTCTGGCAGGGTTTGCAATGAGCTTCGCGCTACAGTATAACTACGCTGTGGCTATGGGGCTGCGCTTTTACGCGAATGTGGAGACAGACATGAACTCCACAGAGCGTGTGCTGGAATACTCTGGTATTGACATGGAAGACCAGGGCGGTGTAGAGCCACCTGCAGCTTGGCCAACTCGTGGGAGAGTAGAAGTGGAAGATCTGGTGGTGGGATATGCGCCCGATCTACCTCCAGTGCTCAGCGGGCTCAACTTCAGCCTGGAGCATAACCAACGCTTGGGGGTGGTAGGACGTACCGGGGCTGGGAAATCTTCGCTAACCTTGGCGTTGTTCCGTTTCTTAGAGGCTCGACGTGGTCGAATTTTTGTTGATGGCCTGGACATCTCTCAGATCAAGTTGCAGGCTCTGCGGAGCCGTCTTGCTATCATCCCACAGGACCCCGTGCTCTTTTCGGGCACCTTGCGGTCAAACTTGGATCCATTCCACGAACACACTGACATGGAGCTCTACAATGCGCTAGAGCGAGTACACCTAGTCTCCTTTGAGGATACCCTGACTCTGGCCTCACATTCCAGCCACGAGCCTTTCAGCGACAGCAGCACATTGCCATCCTCGTCTGCCTCTTCAACCACGGGCCCCCTCAAGACAGTGAATTTCTTTGCTTCCCTGTCATCGATGGTCTCTGAGGGTGGCCTCAACCTTTCCCAAGGGCAGAGACAGCTTCTCTGTCTTGCTCGAGCCATTGTCTCCCAACCAAAAATTATGGTCCTGGATGAGGCAACTTCCGCCGTTGATATGGAAACCGAGACGTTGATTCAACGGTCAATCCGGGAGGAATTCGGGCGAAATGCGACATCTCTTCTCGTCATCGCGCATCGCCTCAGCACCGTTGCTGATTTCGACAAAATCCTGGTTCTGGACGCGGGCAAGGCGGCCGAGTTCGGCACACCGCAGGAGTTGATGGCTATCGAGGGGGGTGTATTTCGAAATCTGGTGCAGAACAGTGGGGAGAGAGCAGTGCTGGAAGAGATGATTTGGGGAACGGAGAGGGAAGGAGTATAAATTGATGGAATTTGTTCATTGGCATGGCGTGATTCGATGTTGCAGGCTGTATATACCTCGCCTTGCTGTTGGAGAGTTCAACTAGAGCTTGATGTTGATTACTGTACCCATTAGGTTTACACCATATACCACCGCACCAACGTTGCATGTACAAAACCTACCAACCTCTCTGAAGCAACAAACTCAGCAGCAGACCTCGCCTTCGAATCACGCCCAGGTTCAGGGAATAGATTCCTCGTAAGAAAACCAGACCAAGTTAGCCACCCCACCATATCTACTACAACATTCAAGAATATCAAATTACCGCTCCGTCACAGTGCTGTAAATACTAGCCAATACTCAAATTCCAGCAGGTGGATGACAAATGCATTGAAACGCCAAGAGTGGAGCCTGCAGAACGGACTGTTGGGCTTCTCATTGGCCACATGGCCACTTAAGGTGCAGACCGGTTACCGGAATTTCTGATGGGCCGGGGGGCCGGTGGGCTTCTTTGCACGTAGTGGGAGGGTGGTGCGTCATGCTTTTATTCTAAGAAGCAATATTTGACCTTGTTATACCAGAGCCTGGAGCCTAGAACGTGTACATGGAATGATCTAGCTTGGAGCATCGGGCGGAGAATGACGCAGGTTGCAGGACAGATGGATAACACCTAACACCACAACGCAAAGAAGGATCCTACGCTGTACAGTACATTGGACATTTACAAACCCCCCCCCCCACCGGGTAGTCAAATATCACAAATACCGTAAGAGCAACTTCTCGCCCCTCCGCGCCCGCCACCGGTTCGTACTGGCTAACAACTCCGCGCACCCGCGCACCACCCACGGCCACTTCCGCAGAAAGCCCTCGGTGATCTCCCAGTTCCCGGGGTCCGACGGCTCCCCCCACACGAGCAGACTGTACGTCTGCGTGGGCGAGTCCCAGAACCCCATGATGTCCAGGCAAAGCTCCTCGTCGTCGAAGCGGTCGGCCATGGCGACGAGGTTGTCGCGCAGCCGCGGCAGGGGGAAGAAGTCCAGCCACGGGTGGTGCGGGACGGTCTGCTGGAGTTTCGTGGGGCGCAGGTGCAGCGGCAGCGAGGTCGGGTCGAGGGCGCTGTGCGGCTGGAGGGTCGTGAAGGGGGAGAGGGCGTCGTCGTGCATCCACTCGGCGCCGATGCCCATGCCCAGCGTGGCCATGTTGGTGGCGAAGGCGCGGTAGACGTTCATGCGGCTAAGCGTCAGCAGGTGGTCGAGGGTCGGGGAGCCGTGGATGTAGGAGGCGTAGGCGACGCGGGTGAAGTCGGTGAGCAGGGCTTGGAGGTTTCCTTGGGTGGTCAGGTCGGTGCAGGGTTTGCGGTCGGGGTGCGGGCTCGTGCTGGTGCTGGTGCGCGTGTGCGATTCGGGCAGTGGTCGTGTTGAGAAGGAAAAGGATGTGGATGTGGATGATAATGTAGATGTGGAAGGAGATGTAGAGGGACTCGTGGTCGAGTTGGGAGAGGAGGTCGATGGGGAAAGGATCGTGATCATCTGTTCGTCGCTGCTGCTCGTGGGTTCCTTTTTGACCCTTCGTATTACTTGACTCGGTGGCTGAGTCTGTGTTTGCCGTGTGGCTTGTTTGCGTTTTCCTTGGGAAGGTGGTGTCAGTACATGTGATAGTGATAGTGATAGATGAGCAGTTTACTGTAGGCCCGCTGGTTAAGACGATTCTGTCGTCGTCGTCGTTCTTTGCGATCTCCCATGCCAGCCCAGTCATCTTCAGGGTCCACCTCGGAACTGGCCGTAACAATCGAGATAGGAGCGCGGGTGCGCTCTTCCTTCACCAGATGCATTTCCGAATCCGACCCCATCCGGTTGGGAAGGTATGAAGTACGTATCCTCTGTGGTGTGGGAACCGAAGCGGCGATGGTAGGAGGGAGAGGGTGAAATGCAACAATGCAATGGCTGATTTAAGGTTACTAGGTTAGTAGTTGAAAGATAAGAAGTTCAGAAGAAGGATCAACTGTAACCCAGGCTGGATCCGGCCGGGGGTTTTATGTGTGGAGGAAGTCGGAGCTAAACTTAAACCCGTTGGCTCTCCACCCGCCCGTTTCGTCCTGTCATTACCAGCCAGTCTCATTTCCTGTCATTAATTTCAGGTAAGTAGAAGTCATCTCTGGTGTTGTAGGGATACAAGTTGAGTTCGACAACTTCCCAGCAGAAAGGCATAAGAAAGTGATGTCTGAAGGAGAGGATAGTATATGATGAGGTAGTTACGGGAGTCTATGTTCTAATTAGTCTAGCAGCGGCATCTTTCAGCTCAAATGCTCTATATCAAACCTACCAAGCGAGATACCCCCTCAGCACATCAACTACCTCCATCGGATCATCTGGACAAGCCTGAAACACCGTCAGAATATGCTGATCCGGACGGACCAACACCGCCCGTTCCTGCGCCAGCTTCATTAGCCCCAACCACTTCTCGCCCGCCTCATCAGGCTGAAGATCGAAATCCCTGCCCCTCGCGACTAAATCAACCCTCAGACCCGGAGGAAGCATGTCCGCAGCCTTCTCAAGCACGCCTCTCCACGGATCTGCGTGCTCTATATCGACAAATAGCGTGAGCGCATTGAAAGCGCACAGATCCAATACCGAAAACCGCCTACACTCCACCTCCTCCGCCGACAACTCCCCCACATACGACGAATCAATCGGCCCCATCAGCTGATCAGTCACGGTCTTTGAAGGCTTAATCCACGCGTGGGGGATCCGCGCCCCCGATACACATTTTGCCTGATAGACGGATGCGCAGCCGGGAACCCGGGTCTCCCCGTACACATACCCGATGTGTAGACCCAGGTTATCGAAGTGCTCGCGCTGGCCATCGATGCCTTCGTGCACAGCCGAGGCACGTTTGGGGTCGGCGACGGTGCAGTAGAGGTTCTCACGCGCGACGTGCACGTTCGGGTCGGTTGCGCCCAGCGTCTTCAGCAGGCGAAAGATCTGTTGGCCGTTTTTGACGCTCTGGGCTGCGTTGACGAGCGCGACGGGGCGGCGCTCGGATTCGTAGGTGTCAAGGAGGGCAGAGCCGGCGTGGCCGTGGTGAATGGCGGCGAGCTTGAAGGCGAGGTTGTGGACGTCGCCCAGGCCGCTGTTTAGGCCTAGGCCGCCGGTTGGGGGGAAGGAGTGGGCGGCGTCGCCGGCTCTGTCATGGGGTCAGCTTTTGCTTTGGAATTGGTGAGGAAGCCTGGAGTTTACTGACAGGAGTACGCGGTTTATGCGATAGGACTTGGCCACTTTCCGGCTGAGGATCCAGGGTCGGTAGCTCAGAACGTCGTAGGGGATGTGGGTGCCTATGGCGGCGTCGACTGTCTTGCGGCAGAGGGACTCGTTCCAGGATTCCACTGGGTGTTTTTGGGACTAGTTCGTCAGTCAAGCCATCCTTGGTCGTGAGCGTGAAGAGTAAACAAAGACGTACATCAAAATTGCAAATCAGCACTTGATTCCCTCCAAGGTCATAGCCGATAATGAAGCCCGATACCTCGGGATCCATCACCCAGTGCAGCATGCCCACCCTATCCGTTACGATCGGGTAGAGGTTAGCGTTGATATGGATGGTCATCATCGTCTCGTCTAGATGCCATGCGTCAGTGTCTGGCTTTCAGGAGGGGATCCTCCACAAACAAGAGTCCTCTCCCTCACTCTCCACCTTCAGAAACCGTCGCACAGCACTCTTTGCCCCATCACAAGCGACCAGGTGCTTGCACTTAACATGGTATTCTCGCTGCGCAGCACGATCCTCGATCGACGCAATTACAAAATCTCCAAGCTTGTCAATTGTCAGCGTATCGCCACTTAGGCTCTCACCGCAATCCAGGAGGAGAGAGGCAACTTACATCCTCAAGCTTGACGAATGAATGATTCTTGCGCATCTCCACCAACGGGTTCTTCACCAGTTGCTTCCGCACGTAGTCTTCAAAGTCCGGCTGCGGGATGTTGTGGATCATCTAGCCTTCAGCAATTAGCTTGCTCGGTTCCTCGAGCTTGTGCTTGCTGAAGCCGAGCATACCGTAGGGGTATCATCCAGCACCCCCGGATCCATCCGCTCATAAGGCAGCCGTCCCACCTGCTGCCCACTCAGATGTGTCACGAAGTTCACCCAGAAAGCATCCTGGCGGCAGGTGCCCAGGCAACGGATCTCGTTTACGTCAAGGCCGAACTGACGACATAGCTCGAGTGTTCTGGGGGACAACGCGTGCGCTTTTGGGGCGTCGAGTCGTGCTGGGTAGCGTTCGCAGAGCAGGGATTTAACTTTGCAAATAACGTTAGTAAGATATCCTCGTTTCTAATGCTATTGACCAGCTAGCAAAACAATAGAGGAAGGAAAGAAAAGGTACCTCCCAACTGAGCAAGTAAGTATGCCTGGAGTAGACCGCATGGGCCGCCTCCGATGATCAGTACGGGGACGTCGTCGGCGATCTCGTGATCTTGTCTTGCAGGTGACATTTTGATGTTTTCGAGGAGCTTAGATGTGAGGTTGTAAGTGGTGGGCTGCTCACCTTTATGTACAGGCTGGGGGTAGAGGTAGAGGGAAGCAATGCAGGGTCTTTAGCCAGTAAGTGGATTGTTTGTTGTTCAGCCTGATACTTCTCATCCTTCCCCACCCCCACTTCAGGTGGGATGTGCGGGCCGCGGAGACAAAGCAGTCGCGTCCCCACTTGCTTCCCCGCAAATATGGCCAGTTTGAGGATTTTCCTCGATGGTTGGAAGTTGTATCCCAGTGTTCGAGAAGGGTTCCAAGTCTGGTGGTGATGATGTAGTGCATGTTGGGCTGATGACAGTTCTGGAGGGGTTGGAGGTAGAAGGTTTTGGTGATGTTCTGACATGATACAAGTATCGGGTTGACTGCTCCTTGAGACTGAGTGATAGATGCTGCCTAACCCTTTCGCTTCCTATGATGACAACACATAGAGCAGATTTTCACAACATGCTCTGGGATTAGTTGTTCTTATGTACTGCATATCTCGAGGCTAAACGCCAGATTTGTTGACAGAATCTAGGACGGTCTTTTGCTAACATACAATAGTCAGAACATTGAGCTAGAAGTATTAGTACACCCACCATCGGAGTCCCAAGAACAGATTTGCCAGAGGTACGCTAAGCATGTATCGTCCTGTCAATGATGTGCAATCCAATGACTCAAAAGGACAGTTAGTCATAAGACAATTTAGTGCAGTGGAATCATCTTCCGTCCACACCCGTCATGATTATCGTCATCTGGAATGACTGGAGCTGCATCTTATCCAGGAGAAGATCTTTTCCTACACTTACCACCACGCACTACAAAGACCTGTCAATATATGGGATCAGCAAACAGCACTTTTGGTCTGTCTCTAGATTCCTTATTCCTGCAAGAATCTTATATCCATCATGTGTCACAACAACAGCCTTATTCGGGAGCTGGCGCTGGTTGCTTTTCTGCCGTGGTAGCGTTCTTGCTTTTTGCATGCCTTGGCTGAGATTGATCACCAGGACCTTGTAAGCAGTCTGCAACTTGGGGCTCGGCCATCTATTTCCAACAAGAGTTAACAGCCGTGCTTGCGTGGCTTAAGGTATTGGAACCAGCAGGATTAAGATGGATTATTAAGCCATACTTTTATTTTAGGCTGCAGCAGGTTGTAGAGAATATATATGCTTAATGAAAATAGATACACTAATGGCAATCATATTAAATATATATTATTTCTATGAAACCTAGTAATAGTTTTAACTGTATAAATAGCCAGCCCTACTGAACCCCTAAGAGACAAAAAAAAAAAAACAGTTTTATAATACTACTATTATTAATAATAGTTGCTGAGGCTTTAAAAAGCAATTATTTAGCTATAATATTAAACTATTGTTAAGGTACAGGCTTGTTGCACAATACCTACCGGCTGCAGCCACCTCTTCTAAAGTTGATACTGATTTATAAGGCTTCTGGTTTTATACTTATATTGCGAGATACGTGCTTTCAGAGCGACGCCTCTTATCGAGGAGAAGATTACAGGACGATGAAAAGCAATTGTGCACCCAAGCTACTCTGCCTGATCATCCAGCCACGGACCCTGGAGTATTTCCTTCGCTGTTTTCCTAATCTCAGGCCGCCACTGGAGCATCCCTCTCATGCGAACCAAGAACATCTCTTTATTCCTTCCTTCAAGGAACTGTTCCGACTGCTCCAGACTGACACCCGTCGGGATCACTATGTCTTGCTCCATTTGCCTGCATTGACCATCGTCAGAAAAACTTTGCAAGAATGATGAAGGGAGAGATGATAATACTTACCATCTTCAGTGAAGAATTCATGACTTCGTTTCCCACGCCTGAGCATATCCAGAGGAGGCGGCCCCCGAAGACCCATAACCTCTGCCAGATGCGCCCGCATCGAGTATCCCTTGCCGTTAGGGTCATCACCGCAAAACATATGTCTCCCCTCAAACAAATCCCACACCTATTGTTCCCGACTCGTTAATACATGATACCATTAGAGAGCAAATGAAGCATACCATAGCCCCGACGTTCCATATATCAACCAAATAACTCCAATCAGTCTTGAGCATCACTTCCGGCGATCTATAAACATTAGGCTGCGCATCGTGATTTCGCTTCTCATCTTCTCGTACGGCTGAGCCGAAATCACTCAGCACTGCCCGTCCGAACACTTTTGGCAAGTCGAAACGTCGGGAAGCGTAGACCGGTAAGCCGTTAACGAACTTGCGAGGTGAGGGGTTCGTCAACTCAGCCTGGGCAAAGCTTTTCAGAATAGACTTGTCCTCTATATCTTGGAGAATGTTGTCGCTTTTAATGTCTATTCAATCATATATTCGGGCGATGCTTTCCAGACGAGGCCATACGGTAATATTACCAGTGTGTACAAGCTTGCATTCGGTATGCAGGTAGTCAAGTGCCTGAAGAATCTGCAAAAGGCCAGCTTTGAATAGATCCTCGCTGAATCGATGAGTGGGGTTGCGATGAAGTAAATCTCGGAAACTTTCTCACATCGGCTTCTGAACGAGACATGGATGGTCACCGCCCGAACGGGGAATTGTGAAGATATCCAGTGCTTTTCGTATATGAGCATGACCAGGCTGCCATGAACTACCTGATTCAGTTGCTTATAGATTTGGAGTTCTTCCTGATTGCCTTCGTCTTGTGTGTGAATCTTGAGTGACACATATTGATGACCTCTGGTTGGGTGGGTGGGTCAACGTATAGTTCGCATAGGCAGAACCACCCGAACTTACTCCAAACCACGAGCGAGTCATTCCGTTGAAGTAGTCCCAAAACCCAGTTTGCCAACTATGTGTTACTTGGCATTAAGCACGTCGCCAATATTAGCAGGATAGTATCGACCATTTCCAATATGCTCGAACCGTTCCTCCTCGAATATTTCCGATGAAGGGACAATGTTGAAACCGCTGGTGGGGAAGCGCATGGGAGGGCACGGGACCCTCCGAAACGGCTTCATGGCCCATTTCATGAGTTTAGCCATGATAGACTTTTGGTTGGGTGAGCCAGTCAGGAATGCAAGCAAGAACCTTTCCTTTCCGCTAGGCCACCCATCTCAGACGAGTTAATCTGCCCCACCGATAACCTGTCAGCCTTCCGAGTAGGCTTGGACTAGCGGACTCGGGGCTACTCCGTACACCTCCACGAGTTCACAATGACGTCCCCAAGAAGCTTACTTGGGCGAAAATCGTCACCTCTGGAGCAGAGACGTGTCGCTGCTGGAAGACGCGTGTACGCTGTCAACGAACAGGGCGGCGCGGAATGTTGACTCTGGCGGTGGACGAAAGCAGCATGTGAGGACGGTTTGCACGAGATAACCGATAAACATAGTGTCGTGTACGGATACATCGGCGGGAATTGACGGCGGGAATTATCACCTGCATGCTGCCGATCATGCTGTGCGCCGTGCTGAATACCGACAATTCTATGCGAGATGTGGCATGCATTACTATACAACCAGGGCGGTCGCCAATTGACCCGTCAATTATTCATGTTGGTGGTTTCGTAGGATGACGTACACTCATGACGAGTGGGTTCTTGGCGGGCAGAATTGGAAGACAGTGGCGCCTCAACCGACCGACGATACCTGTGCGAGCTTGTATTGAAGTCATTCGAGGGGGACCAAAGTAGCAGTGGACTCTCTCCGGTGGGCCATCACCCATAATGCGCCCGTTCGCGGAGGCTGGATCTCCAGACTGGCGTGGAATACAATCGCATGCAGATGATAAGGAGGGCTAGGTAACTTACTAGCTATGGTCCAAGCCGGAATAGTGCCGAGGTGGCCAGCCATGGGGCGAGACCTTGGCGGGTTCCACCGGAATCCAGATCCTGGCGATTGAGTGGCCCGGGACTGACTGATTTTGACCAGTTGCAGTTTAGTGTCCCATGCCCCTTACGTGGAAATGGGCCATGGCGTACTGATTTGGGACTGATTTGGGGTGCTTGGAGTGCTGCTTGTGCCCGTTATGAGTTTAGCACTGCTTAGCACTGCTGCACTTCCAGGTCCGGCCTGAGCCTCTCATTATTATTCGTCTTGATTTGTCCTGTGGGCTTGCAAAATGCCCGCTGCCATCGACTTCACTACCTTGACAATTAGTTTAGTTAGAATTCGATTGTGCTGAACAAGACAAGGCAATTCATCTAGTTGTCGGCTGTTCTTTCCTTTCCCTTCTTCTCCTCCTCCTCTCTCCCCTCTTCTTCCCGCTCCCCTTTCCTCCTCTCCTCTCCTCTCCTATCTCTCTGTCTCGTGAATCCCTGTCCGTCCTTGCGGTCGCCTTCAAACCTCGCGAGAGGTGAATCCCCTCCCCCTCCCCCTCTCCTCTCCCCCGTCCTCAATGTCGAAGAGGCGGCTATTTCGCTGGCCTGCCCGCCGCACCGCCGCCCTCGGAATTTTGGCGCTGCTGGTTACCTCCGTTCTCTCATGGCTCATCTGCGGCGGTGATTCCTACGACCCCCAACCAGGTATGTCATCGTTCGGACCTACCTCCGCCCCGGCCTCTCTCTCCGGGACAATAGGTTGACCGCACGCAAATCAACAACCACAGTAGAAGAATACTTCAACCCGATTCACGAGCAGTTATCGGAAATCACAAAGACGTACGACAATGCGACCAGCGAGATTGGTCTAGTATTGGCCGCGACGCGGGCGGAGGATCTGACTTGGCTTTTGGATTACTGCAACGACCAGTATGGCGCGCCACCCCGCGGATTACGAACCTTCATTATGCTTTGTGTTTATATGGCTGACGTTGGTAATCCTCCCGCAGCGGAACAATCCCATTCATTTACAGCACCGACGTCGAACCCGCGCCGAATCTCCTAGTTCCTTACACTATCCGCGGTCGCGAGGCCACCGCCTACCTCTCCTTCGTCGTCGAGTTCTACAACCAATTGCCGAAATACACGATCTTTATTCACTCGAACTACGATCAATGGCACAATGACCTTTTCGGACCCCACACCGGGCCGGCACTGCGAAACCTCCGCTTAGAGGCTGTCGACGCGCAAGGTTATGTCAACCTGCGCTGCGAGCACGATCCCGGCTGCCCGACGAGCGTCCACCCGTGGAGCCCCACGCAAATCGATATCGAGAACGATGACATTCGCGCATTCTTTCCTCAGGTTTACCAGACGCTGCTTAATGTCCCTGCGAAGAAGGTTCCAGAACACATTGGCAATGTTTGCTGTGGCCAATTCGCTGTCAGCCGCCAGCGGATTCTCGAACGACCCCGGTCGGACTACGAGCGCATGTTGCGGTGGGCCGACGAGACGGAATTGACGGACAGCTTTGGCGTGGGATGGGTATATGAGAAAATTTGGCATATCATCTTCGGCATGGATGAGATTTAGTGAGTGACGGTCGCGCGGGCGTGATAGGGGTCTGATTGCAGCGGCGCAGAGGACTAACTTGATAATTAGTTGTCCGCGATACGAACAATGCCGGTGCGACGCGTACGGATGGTGCGGGCCGTTGGCCTCGGGCGAGACACTGCAGGCAGTGCGAGCGAATCCGGGTTCCACGATGGGGCCGTCGTTCTAATCATAATGGATGAATCTGGTTCTAAGCGTTTAATGCATGATGTATACTATCATGATTGGGGACATTTTGAGCACCCCAAGTCGGTCTGGCTACGATTTCTCAATTGCAATCTAATTGTACAGTTAGATGATGGACTGTTGTTTTGTTATGTTCCGCTATCTCAGGGTATATTTGTTGGGCCGTGCTAACCCACAGTTTCCGGAAGTCTCGTCAATCATGCTTCGTGACGCGCCGTCATACGCGACAATTCGCCAATTACTCGTGGTTGATTGGTTGCTGGTGCGTCCCTCGCACGGGCCCAGCGTCCAGCTCATACAATCCTCTATGCGCGACCGGACTGGCCGGTACTTCATGCACGTTTCCACTATCCAATAATGGGACGTCCGTTTCAGATGGCCTCCGCCGGGGGATGGCATGCAGGAACAACGCGTTTTGGTCATCAGCCGTCGGGACAGAGCTGGACGAGCTTTCTGTGCCGGAAATCAAAGCAGCCGGTACCGGGGGAGAAGGTGGCGAGATTGTTGATATTGTGCGATGTGTGTCGTTCGACAACGATGGTGGAGGCGGCGAGAGTGGCTTCCGTGGAATGCTGTTCAGGTTGATCGTCTGATCGGGCTCATGCGGCTCCGACACTCGAGGTTTCAATTTCTCTTCCATATTTGAGATATTGCGATCATGTGACAACCCTACTCCAACAGCTGTGTATTCAGATTTGCCCTCGTCTTGGTCCGCGTTCCGCCGTTTGCGTCTTGACCGGTTCCGACGCATTAATACCCATACGAGGAGGAAAATCAGCAGCACGAGCACGATCACGCCGATCGCAATTCCCGCTTTGGCTCCCGAACTCAGCCCGCTGCTGGAGCCGTCAGAGCAGCTGTAGGACCCCCTGAACACGCCATTGCTGTTGCTGTTATTGTTGCTGTCGTCATCGTCATCGTCATCATCCCCATTTCGGAGGGAGTTCAAACTCGAGCAGCGAAATGATCCACCGTGCGACCGGATACTCGTCTTGCCGTTGACATGCTTGAGGTCACTAAATGATATCCTTTTGCATTTTGAGAGTCAGTCTCGCTGCGCTCGCAAATTATGGTCCAACCCATCCCGAACGCGATGCGAACCAGGGAAACAAAAGAGGAATTACCCACCGATCAAATTTCCCACTTAGGACCAACGCTCCATTCACATACTGCAAATCATCCAACACCAAATCTCTGAGCTGCGAATTATCCTCGGCATCCAGCTCTCCGCTGACCTTTTGCAGATTTGACAGCGTAAGGGTGCTCAACTGAGCATTATTCCTGATGGTAAACTGTCCGTTGACGGTTTCGAGGTTCGCCGCGGAGAAAGCCGTCAGCGCGGAGGCATTTTGTATGGTGAGACCTGCGTTGAGCGTCTCAAGTTGTTTGAGGGTGATGGTGCCGGTGACGGACGGGGAGATGGTCAAGGTGCCGTGGATGGTGGAGCAGGAGGAGAGACGGTTATCGGCATCGGCTTGCGAAGTTATCGTTGTGCTGGAGGTACCTTTTTAATTACCTGTGAGCACTTGATCTCGATGGAGAGTATGTATAGTACGACCAGGATAGTGAATGAGGGATAGAGCATAGAGTATAGAGTATAGAGTATAGAGAGTGATGACCGGCGTAAAACTCACAGTTGGTGCTCGAATCCGAGTCAGCCGCGACGGGCGGAGATACCAGGCATAGCAGGTACAAGAACACGGACACGGCTTTCATATTTGGAAGTCCAGTAAGTTCGTGAAATCCAGGTGATGGCTCACGAGTTAGAATCAAATGCTCTGGGTCGCGAATCCGATCATTGGGACATTACTTTATTGTTTTTGAAGTCTCAATGCTTGTAATAGACGTCCAGCAATCCGTCCCAGCGAGTCAGTCAGTCCGTCCCCTTAGCTCCGAGGCGGGGACAGCTGGTGGTTAAGTATTTAGCTCTAAGCCTCTAGCAGAATGCAAAGAAACGGCAGAGAAATATGACAGCCTAAATTTCTACTGCAGGGTTCGACTAAGATCCTTTCGGGGATAATTCCTTGCTATTATAGGTAGTCTAGCTAGATTTCTTTGGCTTTTCCTTTCTTTTCTTTTTGACCCTCTGTGTTTTCGATGGCCTGGGGGGTTTTCTTTTTTGCCGAGACCCTCTCCTGTGGTCTGCGGTTGTGGTGGAGAGTCCATCGGAGCTATCGGGACGGTGATAGTTGCCGTGGTTGATCTGGCTTCTAAGTTACGAGACTAGGATTTCAATGCGGAATTTGGGAGGGCAGAGATTGTGTCATACTTATGACTGCCCAGAGTTCTGAAAGGGGATGGATGTACAGTACCGTAGGCCAAAGCATTTGCCAAACTGCACTACAACTAGGTGTAGCGGCAGAGAATCCCTGTCACTGTCACTGTCACTGTCACTGTCACTGTCAACTTTCCAAGCACTGGCCGCTGGCAGCGTGCGAAAAGTATCCAAACCAAGTATCTCCGAACACTGCCTCTTTTGCTGCAGCGCTGCAGTGCCGATCCCCAATTTTTTTTGTCTGGAGCGTGGACTGATTCCAACGTACTGTACCTCCACTTGAGCGGAGTTTTCTACTTGTGTAGTTAGCGTAGGGTTCAATCTTCTTATTGTGTGGTGTGCACGCCTTTATCGCCGAGGATTTTAGGTGGGAATACCGGGTTGGAGCTCGGATTTAGATCTAATCACTTACTGGGTTACTGGGTTACTGGGTGCTTACTGTCGTGTAGCACCGCCGAGGGGCGGGGGAAAATCATCTGATTTGTTGTCTGGCTCGTGCATTGGGGTGTGTTTGTTCTATTTTTATCTGTGATGCACTCTTCTTCTGGTGCTTGTTCAGGCACCAGAGTTTTTTTGTCCGAGTCAGGTGTTGATCTGGGCTTGCGCTCTGAGAGAAGATGGGGACCTGGGAGTTTGGGGATGGAGTATGACTTGATCACTTCGACGCTTTTGTTCTCTTCGTGGCTGGGTTGTGTGCTTCACCTCGTTTCTTCTGGGGATACTGCTTAGTAGTAGTAGCACATGTAAAGGCTTTGAATGGTGCTTTTCCGACTAAATGGTGTATGTCGATATCGTCTGTGTGGGTTGGGATTCGTTCGGTCGCGTTCATCAACTCGAACATGTCTCGTTCTGTGTGTGTTTGTTAGCCGCATAAAATAACGAGAGATGAATTGTACTGCACTGGACTATCGGGATTCGGGAGTCTTTGTGCATGCGATTCGCAATAGGCGGTCGGGGGATGAAGGATGTTGGCTGATGCAGGCCAAGCCGGCTGGCGGATGAGCCTGCCCTGTCCGGCGGGTCGGATCGGGGGCTGGTCCCTGATGCCACAACTTTATCTCGAGGTTCGTTCTGGAGTATAGATGGACGGATCAGCAACGGAACCAAATTGCAGCAATGTGTAGCCTTCTAGACTTGCTTAATTTGTCTAATCGTGACCCGAGCTTTCTGTTTGATGAGGTGGTTTCCTGTGGGGAGGATGAAGGTCGTTTTGCTTGTGGTGGTTTAGGGGCGTGATTCGTTACGTCGGTGGATCTGCGATCTGAATCTCGCGAGAAGTACAGATCTGTAGAAATTTGTAGTCTCTTGCTATCGCTTTATCCATCTGCTCAATTCTGTCTCTCCAATGTGACAAGATTGTTTCCTTCGTTCGCTCGGTTTGTGGTGGTTTATGGGCGTGGCTCGTTCGTTTCGGCAGATTTGCGATCTGGATATCGCGAGTTGTTTTGGGAACTGCAGCCACGTACAAATTAGCTATCTCGATGCAAGTTCAAGCCAGGAATGTTTGACAACCTGCAGTTGCTGTAGCTGTCAAAGCTAGCATTGGAGTAGATGGAGAGTCTTTGAGAAAGGGCTGCCAGGGTGCGTGTATCTCGTCTCCTGGGCGGTGGATGCGCGTTGCTCGGGTTCCTTCTCTGACAAGATTGACTTTAGAAGAGGTCAACACTACTTGCGGTGCTTGAAGCGACGACGAGAGAAAGAGATGAATTCCTTGTCTTCCTGTATGTGGGCATCGTGTCCAGGTTCTAGGGAACTGCTTCGTAGCGTGGACAAATCTTGCCGTAGGCCGGAGAGGTGTAGCACAAACATTTGGTACGCTATTTGAACTTGCTCTCGACTGTATAGCCATATCATAATCATCATTTTGAACACCTTATGGAGAAGCAAGAGCAGGCGCCTCGAATAGACACTACACGACAGATACTACGTTTCTTCTCGTGGCATAGAACTTCTTTGGTATACGTGGACTCGTTTCTGCATCGCTCGAGGCCTGCCCCTTTCCATATCCTACTGCTAACAACCGATGTACACCCCCAGACCCCCTACCACCGGTCATGTATGTCATGCTTGTTCTTGGATCTTGCCACCTGATTCCGTGAAATGTGTAATATCAAATTCTGCTCCAGGCAGCCACTCGCTTATCAGTCAGCGAGACCTTCGTTCGATGTAGGATCACGTTCTTTTTAATATCAAGTTTTAACACAGCCAATCAGGCCACCGGATTACTCTGGCTCCTTATCATTCATGTAAAGGGTGTCATATTCACTTTCGAAGCTCCAGGCAGCCACTCGCTTACCGGCCAACCATGTAGCTGATTGTCCATTCATTTTGATATCAAGCGTTTCATAATAGCTGGTTCTTGATCATTCACTGATGATTTCAGCCGCCCAGATCACACTTCTCCCTCTTCCCATGAACATAAATACCCCTCCCCCCTCCCTCCTCCCTCTTTCTTTCCTCCTCTCTCTCCTCTCCTCCTCTCTTCTCCAACCTTTCTCTTCCTCTCTCCCCTAACCTTTCCTTCCTTCCCCTCCTCTTTCCTTCTTCATCTCTCAACTCTGCGTCCGGGTGGGCTGGCGCTATGTACCCTCACTGGCCAACACCAGTGTCGATTACCTTCCAGCCTAGACGGACGGAGGTCACAGAGTTGCGAGGCTCTGAAAGCAGGCGACGTCTTTGTTGCAAAACCAGACGACCAGCTTCACATCCTCACTACTCGTCTTCCCAATCTTTTGTTCTTCTCTTTCTTTTCTCATCTCTTTCATCTGTGAAGTCCTCACTCATCGAGCGTGGATGGAGAGAGTCGAGATGTTTTCAATATTTGGGAAGTTTTCTGAAAGCGCTGAACTTCAGCGTTTTTAATCCACACACTCTCTTGTCTTGACCAATCCCAATGATGATGTTGGCTTTTACTGCCTCTCACTGCAAAGACCAGGTTGCTTTGATGCAGTATCGGTCTTCTTGCAACGGTCACACCAACATTGCTGGATCTGAGGAGGCCTGCCTGATCTTCCTATTCATTTCCGCCCTCCCCTACCTTCTCTGCCCTTTTCACTCTTTTTTTTGACCAGTCCCAATGATGATGTTGGCTTTACTGTCTCTCGATGCAGAATCTAGGCTGTTTTGACACAGTACTGACCTACTTGCAAAGGTGCACCTTTGCTTGATCTGAGGAGGCGTGCCTAGTTTGTGGGTGGGGGTGTTTTTTCGTGGTTTTTCTCCTTGTTTCTTTTCACACACATTCCCAATGATGATATTGGCCTCTACTGCCTCGCGTTGTAAATTCTAGGTTGCTCTGATGCAGTGTTGGCCTTCGAGCATATGAAGTTCAAATGCTGTCCTTCGCTTTGCGAAAGACAGCCACTGAACATACTTGCTTCAGATCTGAGGAGGCTTGCCTAGTTCGTGGGTTGCTGGCTCTTTTCCTTTTGTCTTTCCTTTGTCTTTCTTCTGTTTTTCCTTTTCCCCTGTACCCCGATGATGAAGCTTACTTTTGTTGCAACCTTGGACGCTGATTCTACCCTGTGGCGAGGCGACCGGTTCCGATCGGTTGCTTACCTTGCGTGGTGGGATTGTAGGCTCGGGCTTGCTCGCAATCTTGGATGCTGATCCTGCCCTCTGGCGAGGAGACTGGCTGCGGTCGGCTTTTTGCCTTGCGTGGTGGAATTGTAGGCTCGGATTCGCTTGCAGCCTTGGACGCTGATTCTGCCCCCTGGTGAAGCGATCGGCTCCGGCTGGTGCCTTGCCTTGGGTGGGATTGTAGGCTCGGGTCCGTTTCAATCTGCTCTGAGGAGACCCCCTCTTTTGTTCGTTTCCTTCTTCCTGTGCCCTCGATGATGAAAACCTCACTTGTCGCAACCTTGGATGCTGATTCCTTCCTCGGCGGGGAGACCGGTACCGGCTGGTTACTTGCCTTTTGAGGTTGGGAATTGTAGGCTCGGGTCTGCTACTTGCTCTGAGGGGGCTCCTCTCTCTTGTTTGTCTTCTTTTTTTTTTTTCTTTTTTCCTTTTCTCGTAGACTTGGCCCTCGATGATGAAAACCACATTTGCTGCAGCCTTGGACGCTGATTCCTTCCTCGGCGGGGAGACCGGTACCGGCTGGTTACTCGCCTTGAGGTTGGAGTTGTAGGCTCGGGCTTGCTACTGCTCTGAGGGGGCCGCTCTCCTTGACTTTTCTTCTCGCTATTCTTTTAATCTTTGGCTGGTGGTGTCGGTGGTTGTAGCTTGTTGTTGTTCTCGCGTGCTTGATGGAGTTCACGTCGCTGGTGGTCTGAGGAGTTAATGTTCTAGTCGCGCTTCTCCTTCTCTTTGTGGTCCGAAGATGTGTGTGCTACATGTTGATTAGAATCCGAATCGAAACTCCCGTTCGCATTTCTCCTTGCTATCCTCGCCCTCCTGAGTATGTACAGCATGGCTGGTCATCGCCATTAGCAGCGGAGATGCGCTATCGAAGACGAAAGGTACGCCGTGACTACAGTTGAGAACAGATTCGGCGTGAGATCAGGCTAACTTGCGCTTCTTGGATGCAGATCACACGTTCGGTCTACGAGGCGAAGCGTACGATTTACGTCGGACGAGAGGTCGGCAGCCAAGAACAAACGAACGAGCAAGCGAGCGAGAAAGAAACAAAAAGGCTTCAAAAGTGTGGAGAAACATGATACTACAGTATTGGTGAAGGCAGAGGCGTACAAGAAGACTATGGATGGTGGGGGTTTTGATGGTGTTATCTTTCCGGTAGCAGGGGAGAGGGACGGTTGGACGAGCGGTGCCATTGCCATCATGGCGATTTGTGACAGCAGAGAAGACGAGCAAGATAGTCCGTACGTTCGTGTTGAAAGATATCGTTCGAAGCCTGGGGGTTCCGCGGGGATCCAGTTTCCGTTCTAATATGGCCTTTGCAAGGACATATGAACAAGAACAGTCATAACGTCGTGAGATTGTAAACGTAAAAGGTATCGCTAGATATACACTCTAAGAAAAGGAACACATCCCGAGACGCCCACCGACCGACTGACCGACCGTCCATCCGTCTATTGTCCCTCTCACCGTCTATCCGTCTCCCCAAGTAGTATCTAATGTTTGAAGTTCCTTCCATTGGGTTTCGAGCTCGCGGATCACCCACCCCGTACGCCAGCCTACTGTCTTCTCCATCCGGCGGAGGAATTCTAGGGAGCCTTGTTGCTCGGCTGTGTGGCGGAGACAGTATCCGTCTGTGGGGAGGAGGCTTAGTAAGAAAGGCAGAAGAGATGGAAAAGGGTGAGGAAGCGTACAGCGATGGAGGAGATGGCAGGCCATGAAGTATGCATTTTCGACGGTTTCATTGGACATCGAGAGGCCGATGACCTTGACGAGGTGGGATGAGATTGTTCTCTGTTTAAGATGCGGAGGCTAGGTTAGTTGATTTGTGGGCAGACGTGTTAAGGAATAGGTGCGGGACAATCATGGAAGGAATAAACAAAGGGACGATGAGAGGGTTGATGAGAGAGACGACGAGAGAGACGACAAGAGAACAACAAGAGGGAACAACAAATAGAGCGACAAGAGGGAGCGATGAAAACGATAACAAGACAGACCATGAGAGTAAACAACAAGAGAGACAACAAGAGGAAACAACAGATGGAGCAACAGATGGAACGATGAGAGGAACGACGAAGGATGATGAGAGCAAAGACGAAAAAAGATGACGAACCTCCTCCACACGCTTGAGTCGCGCAAGCTCGTAGTCACTGACTACACTCCAGTGTCGGTCGGAAGCACTCAGAAAGATGCACGCTGTATGATAATATTGCAGTCCCACAGCTAGAAGTTCGAAATCAAAGATCAGCCAAGCTTCTTGATAATATAGGACGACAGCAAGTCGTTGGCAAACTTACCCGCCTGCGGCGAGATCATCCACATCTCAGGAAACGGGCGATCCTCCTTCGGATTCGCATCCTTGTACTGTAGTGGCTGCCAGCTGACCGGTCGCGCCTGGTACCATTGCTCTACGCTATCGACCAGATGCTGCCACTCCGTCTCATCAACAGGACTGCAGTGCGAGCCCGACCATAACCGCAAGATCTTGGCGCAGTAGAAGATGATGACGTTCGCATATGAGGCGTCGTCGCGCCGGCGGAAGACAACCGACCGCTCGTAGTTCGCCAGGTTGAGTTGCATCGGTTGGTGCTGCACGACGCAGGCGTAGATGGCCTGGCGGAGGAACTGCCAGCTGACGGCTTCGGCGAGCCCGCCCGAGGAGGCGGAGTTGGACATCCGGTTGAGCAGTCGATTAGATCCGACCCAGTGGCACTTCTCGTCGGTCGCGAGCTCGAGCTCTTCATACATCCGTAGGATCACGACCGTGAAGAGGAGATTGTCATCGTAGGTCTCTTCTGGGAGGGCCAGAGCTGCGATCAGGAGTGCGAGGCACTGGCCGTGGTACTCTGATGCTTCCCAATCACTAGCCCCTTTTACAATGGCGTCATGTCGAGCGGCAAGGGCGAGGACAGCTTTGAGAACCATTGGATATCGGAGGGCGCGGCGAGGGACTTCGGTCCCGAAGTGAGAGCGGAGATCGCAGATGTCGGCCTTAAATAATGTTAGCTTCTATGCAAAATGAAGCTAATGGATTGAAAGAGAACTTGGTTGAACATACCCATGGCGCAAGCTTCTGAATGAAGAGACGGAGAAGGTGAGCTTCGCGAGGTGAGAGTGATGACGAGCTGCCTTGTCTGGGGCTGACCGCACTCGTCGGCGATGCTGCGCTCGTCCAAGTACTTGCGGATGCTATCGGAGAGAGCATAGGAATGGCTTGGGGTGACAGGCTTGAGGATGTGCCGGGGAAGGGTTGTACTTCGGCAATTGGGGGTGTCGTGGGGTGTGGTGCTGGATTGTCGGCATCATGATGTCCTCGTGGGCTCTCATCCTGAGAATACATAATCTCTGGAAAAGGGAGATGGGACAGTACAGTATAGAATTGCGGGATGTCTTGCGGCGTCTCATTTGAGGGGACATGATCATCCCCCCGAGGGACCAGCGGAACGTCGCTTATATTGTCATCGTCGGAGTCGTCAGATGATTCTTGCACGAAGGTTACTGAGGCAAAATCAGTACTGCGAGAAACAGATGTGCATCTGAGCAAGGAGGTAGGCACATACACGAGTGAGGAACCTTTACCCAAGTCTGCTGAGAATCCCAGGCTAGCTCAAACTTGGATGCCGTGCCGTTGCTCTTCTGGTAAACATGACGCACAGATTTGAAGCGAAACGGCGGATCTAGGCGACAAGCTCGCCCCAGGCGAGTGCAGGCGTTACACGAAGACGCCCCGGCGCGAGTAGTACATCTTATATGGCGCAAACGACAACGTTCACATCCCCTTCCAATTCTCATGGCAAGCAATTGCGGGGCAAAGGCCCTTGAGCGTTGATCGCTGCGGGGGAGGTACAGCAGGCAAAGAGGGACATCGGCGTGTTCGTCGGGTTCATCCAGGCGACTGGATACAAGCGGCAACGGGAATCGCCAGGGAGAGGAAAGGAAGTGGTTGCTGATAAGAGAAGCCAAGGGAAAAATGTGAAGCAGAGTAGATGTGCGGCGAGAGGAAAGGGCCGTCGGTTATTGATCTTTTCGAGATGCGGAGAGACTGCTGGCCTGTGCTGGGGCTTAGTCACTCTCCCCCGCATTTCCCCGTCCCGGGGTAGTAGTAATTAACTAGTAGACCTAGCCAGTTCAGGAGAATGCGTTCCACATATTGACGCGAGCCAAGCCTCCCTCCTCACCTCGTATCTCCCACTTGATCCAATGGTATCTAGACCATGCTGGAGTACTGAGTTCGTGCATTGACGGATCGGTGTTGTGGTGTAGTGTAAGGCTGTTGCGCCCCAGAGCTCGTCTCGATGCCCCTTCTTCACATTCAGAAATACTACCCGGTCACTGGCTCGGTAGATCATACCCTGGAAAAGTGAATGTCCTATTGTGAATCTAGCTCGTGGTGACCATAGCTTATCTCTTACTTGTAAAATTTGAAGACACACAGGTCTGCTGCCCCTTGCTGTATGTATTTTTATCTGTTGCATTGATTTTCTATATGTTGGAAAGCATGTATCAACATGCAGTGGATGCGAATCTCCGGGTTTTCTGAGCAATACAATGGTTGCACGGAAAGCCGCGCGAAGCGCAACTCGTAGAAAGGCGACATGCGTAGCTGGACATGGATGATCGACCTTGAATATACTATTTCTGGCTCTATGTGCAGCAACATGCATCACCCTGCGCTCCTGGGTATACATGGCCATCGAGCTACAATATGGATGCCATGGATGGTTTCTACCACATATTGTATCAAAAAGACCGTCATTGATTCTAATTCATCAGATACTAAAGTCATAAAAAGTGGTATAAACGCAACCCCAACTACCTGTATGCTATCGTCGAATTCACACTTTTGTATTCCTCGTTTAAACGCTGATCGTCTTGAAGACACTGCACAAATTGTTAGCATCTAACCCTCGAAATACATCTGAAAAGCATCACTTACCCAAAGCCGCCGCCGCCGGTAGCCATGATGGTGCCAGGCATCTGGGCCTGCCAGTGTACCTCCTTGACTGAGTCCATGTAGTGAACGAACAACAACTGCGGGGGAACCTCTTGCATTGCGGCATCCCGGTTCTCCTCTTCATCCAACTCGACGGCCAAATCCCACAGCGTGACGGTGTTATCGGCAGAACCGACCGCGACAACACTGTCGTCGGTGGGGTGCCACTCAATACTCGTGACAGGTTCCCGGTGGAAGTCGAACGACGCGACCGGAGAAGCCTTAGTCGGGGCGGAGGAAGCGCTGGGCTTCCAATGTCTAAGATCCCAGACGGCCCACTGACCGTCATCAGCGCCGGTTGCGAGCAGGTGAAAAGTCTGGTTCGACCAGCTCATGACGTTCACATCGGTGTTCGAAACCTGCACATCAACGGCGGGCTTGCGCGACTTAGAACGAACATCCCAGACCTTGACGGTTCCGTCACTGCTGGCGGAGGCGAAGACGTTCTTCTCGTTCGGGGACCACTGGAGCTCTTCGACGGAGGATCGGTGACCGGTGAAGGGACGGGTGTCGGTCACCCAGCCACCTCCTTCAGTACGAGTCGTCACGTAGATCAAGCCGTCGTTGTCACCAGTCAACAGCTTGCCAAGGGGTTGCAACGGAGACCAGTCAAGGGCGTAACCTTCCGACTTGTGCATGCGCAAGGTAGAGAGGGGCTTGGATGCGGAGGGAGGGAGCATAGTACCGGGGACATCGAAGCTGGTGAGATGAGGGGTGACATCGTGAATGACGACTTGCGAGTTCTCAAGCATAGTGGCGGTGATGGTTTGAGGCGGCTTGGAGTAATCACCCGACTGGTTGGGAGTCTGGTGAGCGCGGATCCGGTTGGTTGTCGATCCGAGAGGAATGCTCTTGTGCTCAAGGATGGCTTCGCCCATGTCGTCGTCGGAATCCGAGTCGCTCTCGGAGTCCGTCTCGTTGTCTTTCTCCATCTTGCTCAATCCGCTCAGCTTAAGAACCATCAGCTCGTTCTCCTTGGCGCGCTTGCCCTCGGCTTGTGTACCCGCAACGGCGTAGACGGTCGCGGGGTAGGTCTTGCGGTTGTCGCCCAGGTTGTCGCGGACGATATCGAAGGAGAGGCAGGGCCATGGTGTGCTGAGGGTGTGAAGCATGTCGTACGTGGTCGGGTCGGGCGAAAGGACCTCTCCGGGGGCGAGCTTCGTTCTTCCGGGAATGAAAGTCTGCTTGTCGACATCCATGGCTTCTGCGGGGAGCGTCTGTTGTTAGGACTTTCTGGACGGCTGAAAGTGGTTCAGGAGATAATTGTAGCGTACCCTTTTCCTCTTCCTCGCGCTCCGCATCCGGACGACCATCCACACCGGCCTCAAGAATCTCATCTTCACTCTCGAACTCGTCCTCGTACTCGTCCTCAAACTCTCCCATCTCATCGGGAGGGTTCTCAGTGATCGGGCGCTCACCGGCCTTGAGCGCGGCGGACTGCTCGTCGGAGGCGTCGGCGGATCTCTTCGACATTGTGTTGAGGGTGATGTGTAGAATCTGTCGAAGGGAAGGAACAGCTGTCGACGAGCCAGTCGTGCAGCGGGCGATAGGGAGGGAGAAGAGGAGGCCGGGGGGGGGGGAGGGGGGGGGGGGGGGTAAAGTGGGAGGCGTAATGGCCGACAGAAGGGGGGGGGGGGGGGGTGGAAAATTGACTGATTAGGGTTCGGGGAACAATTTTTCCATGATTTTTTTCTGTTGCGCCGCGGCGAAATTCACGGGACAGGCACACTTTACCTATCGCGGACTAGCGGCGATCGGAGAATGGCTGCCCGCTTTTCTGCTGGGCAGCGGCTGGCTGTGAAAGACTGAGAGACTGAGAGTGACAGACACACTGAGAGAGAACCAACCTCCATCGAAAGCTGAGCTGAGGCTTCCATTTCCCTTCTTGCCGCTTGCTTCCACACCCACTCTTCCCACCCCCCTCCCCCCCTCAAGGGGCTACTACTACTAATTATTCTCTCAGCTCTGCCCAGCACAGCTCATTCATCCCCGTCAACCATCACCTGTCTCTCTGTTTACTTTCCTATCCAAGGCGTTTATCCCATTTTTGTTTTCCTTTTCATCTCTCTGGTTTGTTGCTTGGACCGTTTCCTTCCTTGAAGCTCCGTCGTCCCATGGCTGCGTGCCTTGGCTGCTAGTGCACCTGTCACATTACCTGGGCTCCTCCTGCAACAAAAGGTGCATACTAATTGATCACTCTATCAACAATACCCCTCCCTCCCCCCCGTCTCTCTAGGGACCCTCCCTCCTTGAAGAACCTTCAACCCTTGCAACTCACTGTTGACTCGCCAACATGGCGCTGACAAATTTGTCTGACAATTTGGCAGTCCTATCCTTTGCGACCGGATTTCGATACATGCGTTTCCGACCAAACATTGCTCTGATCTCACGCCCACAAATTTGGTTGGTCTTAGCATCCCCGCTCCACCGTCTCCGTCCGGACCTCGACCGTGTTTACGTCCAGCGCTAACCAAACCACGCCATCCAGGAACACCCTCCAGACCTCCATCCACACATTTCCCCGTTATGGATACGTCACAATTTAACATGGCTGGTGCCTCCGAGCCCGCCGACCAGCTCGAGCAGGACCAGGCGCAGAGCATGGATCTCCCTACACCCACTCAGCATGGCATGGTCGCCGGTGCGGACGAGACCACGATCGCAAATGGTTACAGCAGCGACTCCCGCGCCCACTACTCTTCCCACGACTTCCAGTCCCCCGCGCGAGATTACCACTCGCAAGACGGCGAAGCCCCTCGATCGAACTATCCCTCGCAATTGCCTTCCTCTTCAAGGCCCAGCTCCGGCCACTCCAACCATCCAGACCGTCTCATATCACAACCGTCACAGGATGTCAGCCACAAGCAAACATCGTCGCAAGCGAAGAACAGTGTGGTGATTAAGGTGGGGATGGTCGGGGATGCTCAGATCGGAAAGACGAGTCTTATGGTGAAATATGTGGAAGGCAGCTGGGATGAGGATTACATTCAGACTTTGGGTATGTGGGGATGAAATCGTGTTCACCCCCAATTTGTGAGCCGTGCTGATGGATGACAAGGTGTCAACTTCATGGAGAAGACCATCTCGATCCGGAATACGGAGATCACATTCTCGATTTGGGATCTTGGTGGCCAGCGCGAGTTTGTCAACATGCTTCCTCTCGTCTGTAATGACGCAGTGGCGATTCTCTTCATGTTTGACCTCACGCGCAAGAGCACCCTGAACTCGATCAAGGAGTGGTATCGCCAAGGTCGTGGATTCAACAAGACTGCCATTCCCTTTTTGATTGGCACCAAGTATGATCACTTTGTCAACTTTCCCCGGGAGGACCAGGAAGAAATTTCCATTCAGGTGAGCTACTGCGGGTCCCTAGTCTGGAAACGTCTGCTAACAGCGCACAGGCCAAGCGCTTCGCCAAGGCCATGAAAGCCAGCCTGATCTTTAGCAGCACTAGCCATAGCATCAATGTCCAGAAGGTCAATCACGAACTTTTCTTCCCTTCTCTTGTTCGTACTCGTCTAACCCAGATCGCAGATCTTCAAGATCGTCCTCGCCAAAGCTTTTGACCTGAAGTGTACCATCCCTGAAATCGAAAATATTGGCGAGCCTCTGTTGTTGTACAAAAATGTTTGAAAGACACGACAAAAACGAAGTGGGATGAACGATTACGTGCCTAGGACGACGTGATGTTGATGAACGAAGTTTTCCCTCCTCTGGGTGGTAAGATACGGTGGCTCCTTCTGCCGGATCCTCGAGGATCAGAGCTAGACTGGTCCGTGTTGGTGTTCTTTTTCAATCCTGTTTTTTTTTTTTCAATCACCCTCTCTTATTTCCATCTTGTCCTTCATAAGCATTGGGGTGCGCCTGGATTTTCCTTCATTTCGTCGCTTGACTTACTACTTTCACAGTGTGTTGAATTCCCCACCTGTTCATTATTTCATTTTTTCAAGCGCTCATTTGCGGGCTGTCTGTGAATATTTTTTTTTCAGTCTGGGTCGTTGCACGATAGAGCAAGAGTGCTCGGTCCCAGCATTTGTCTGATATGTTCTTCTGTTCGTGTTGTTTGCAGCTCCTCGAGGAGATACCTTTCCTTTGTTGATAATATAATTTGACGTATGTCAGTTTAAATGAGTAGATACTACCAACGTACCTTCCATGGAGGCTCCATGTCGGGGACCATTGATTGATTTGCCCACACCCATCTTGATAACGAATTGTGGAGAGAATTCAGACAGTCGGATCTGCGCGACACACAGGTCTTGCTGACACAGGAATAGAGAATCATATGTTGCACTATAATCATGGAAGACTTAGACCAAGCTGGTAACCATAGCACGCCGTAGGTCAGGATCGGAGAGTGTCAGTATACTACCTAGTAGCCCATTAATGGAGTTATTGGGCTACAGTGAGTTGCTGTACAGTAAGGACTACAGAGAGCGCTTGCCTTATCGCAACGTGAGTCTCGGACCCGGGTTCGGCCTCGGCCTTGATTTCGGAGATGGCAATTCCCCGCGCCCAGTTCTCGGGATTTTCAGCCTTGTTTGTTAGCTGGACTCCACATCCATAGCTCTCCAATCTCCATGCCTATCCCAGCCTCCCAGGGTCTGCTCCACTTGCTTCAGGAGCTATACGAGATACGGTCCCCGAGTTATCGTGGGGGTTCGGTATCCCCGAATTACCCGGCCACCTAAGATTTATCTCCGTCGATCGGCTAAGATGAGGAACTATATATTCGTTATCCCATCGGAGGATCATCCTAACCAAGCCCCACATCACAGAGTCGCAGACTTCAACCAAATCAGCACAATGAGCCATTCCGACCTTCTTCGACTTGTCAGCTCTCTGGCCAACTATCCAGCACTGGAAACCGTTGACGAGCCCACGCGAAAGCAACTCCTCGAGAGCATCGAGAAGCTGCGACGCAAAGTCGAGACTCCGACCGATTTCACCATTCGGACTGTCTTCGGGGTATGTTTGTGATCCATTTCCACAAGATGGGAATCAAGACTGACACACCACAGAGCCACCAAGCAATGGTACTACGACTCGCCGTGGATCTGGGACTTTTCGACGCCATCGCCCAACAAGGAGGCACGGCCACCACAGCCCAGCTAGCTGAATCCACTGGAGGCGACGAGCTCCTAGTTTGTACGTTCAACCACAGGATCTACTTATACTCCAGCCTCGTCCTCAAACTAACACCGCCTCCCAGCCCGAATCATGCGCTTCCTCGCCGCCATCAACATTTTCGAAGAACTCGGCCCATCCACCTACAAAACCACACCTCTGGCTGCAGCATACACCTCGCAATCCCCTCTCTCCGCCATCGTGATCCACGCGTACGTCCAGTCAAGCCCCACTGCCTCTAACCTCTAAATCACCTTTCACAATGCCACTGCCCTCAACCCCTAAATCACCCTTCTAATGCGAGTCCAACAGAACATACACCCTAGTAACCATGTCCCAACTCCCGTCCTACTTCGCTGAAACCGCCTGGAAAAGCCCAGACGACGCCACGAACGGGCCCTTCCAGCACACGCACCGCACCACACAGACCTTCTTCGAGCACCTCGGCGACCACCCGCACCTCCAGCAGGCCTTCAACGCAGTCATGTCTCTGGACTTCCGGCGCAGCAGCTCGGCCAAACAATGGTTCGAGCTGTACCCGGTCGAATCGAAACTCTTCCCTGCCACCGAAAATGAAGACCTCAACCGCGCAACACTAGTCGACGTCGGCGGCTCACAGGGCAAAGACCTCCTAGCCCTGAGCCAGCATCTCTCCACGCAATCACCACCGACATCCGACCCAACCCTCACGCAACCCCAACCAAAACTGATCCTCCAGGACCTCCCCGCCGTCATCGCCTCCATCCCGCCGTCCACGGTCAAAGCCTTCCCGGGGTGCATCACCCTTCAACCGCACGATTTCTTCGATGAGCAGCCCGTCCGCCACGCGCGGGCGTATTTCCTGCGCACCGTCCTGCACGACTGGCCCGATAGGCAGGCGCTACAGATTTTGGGGCGGCTGCGCGACGCGATGGCCGAGGACTCGGTGCTGCTCGTCAATGAGGGGGTGGTGCCCGAGACGCGCGCGGGGTTGATGGCCGTGCAGACGGATTTCATTATGATGTGTAACTACGGGGCGTTGGAACGGACGAAGGCGCAGTGGGTGGATTTGTTGGGGCGAGGTGGGTTTGAGGTCTGTGGGGTTTATGGGGAGGAGGAACTGCGGCGGCAGCAGCAGCAGCAGCAGGGGGGGCATGTGGTTTTTGAGGCGAGGGTGAAGCGGTCTTCTTCGTGAGATGGTTCTGGGATGAGTTTTGGGGGGGATGGGGAAGGGGAGAGGGAGAGGTGAATGGTGTTTGGTGGTTTAGGCTGAATTAATTCGGTTTTGTAGATATAGAGGATAGATGACCTGTGTCAATGGTAAGAGAGAGATATACGAAAGCATGGCTGAGCTGTAGCGCCATACTGTCTATAATTACTAAACTCAATGTTCGTGCTATCGTGATACTATACTATATAAGTCTGCTAAGTGTTTCCTTTTATCCTTTTTTTTTCCCGTTTCTGTTTTGGATTATCTTGCACTATACCCTCAATCAGGGAACCCCTCGCCGGGCATCTTGGTCGATTTTTGTTCAAGTCACTATAACCTGGTGCCACTCGTCACCCAGAATATCAAGATGCAATATGCTGGTGAAAAAAGTCCACGTAGTCAAAGAAGCTCCGCTTGTACTGGCGCTCGAACCGGCCGTCGGTGCGGTTGACCGTCTGCAGGCCGTACATGTTGGCGTAGCTGCCGAACTCGTCGTTGTCGAGGACACTCCACGCCAGTGCGCCGATCACGTTAATGCCATCCTCATGGATGGCCGTGAGGACCTCGCGCAGGAAGAAGTGGTAGTACAGCGTGCGCTCGAGATCGTAGCGCTGCGCGTTGAGCGAGCGGTTGGCGTCGGCGAACGGGTTGAAGCCGTACTCCGCCACCAGGATCCCCTTGGGTCGGAACGTGTTCCACAGGTAGCCGAGCTGCTGCCGCACGTACTGCGGCGCGATGTAGGCGTAGTCGTTGGATGCATCGCCCATGAGCCAGCCATTGGCCTGGACGTTCGTGAGCGTGGCGCAGGACGGCCAGAGCGGGTGGCTGGAGTTGGCGGCGCAGGCCTCGATGCCCTCGAGCGCCGGAGAGGCGAACTGTGCGGTGTATGGGTCGATGGAGATGAAGTCGACGGTGTCCTTCACCGTGGCGAGCTCCTCGGCTGTCAGCGCCTCGATCGTGATGTTGGGCGTGCTGAGCACCTCGGACGGGATCTGCTCGCCGAGGAGGAGCGGGTTACCCATGATGCCGAGAATAAAGGCCTGGTAGCGCTGGGCGCTGGCGGTGTGGGTGCTGTTGGTCGGGTCAAGAGGCAGCGCGAGGTTGTTGGCGAATTTCAGCGTGATTTGAGCTGTGCCGCCTAAGGTCTCCTTGTACCAGTGGTACGCCGCAGCGTGTGCGAGTAGAATGTCCTTGAGAATGCTGTAGGATTTCGCAACGCTGCCCACCGAGATGTTGGGCTCATTGAAGGTGACCCAGTATGGCACCCGGTCGGCGTACCGGGTCATCACTTGTTTGGCATAGTATAGATAGTGCGTGGTCAGGTTGCCCATGTCTGCAACCACAGACGGTGGATAGTCGGCATGGACTAGTGTCACGATAGGAGTGACCCCGAATTCTACACAGGTGTTAATCACGTCGTCGTAATGGGCCAGACCCTCGGTATTCACAGGCGAGCCAGCAACCCCAAACGGAACAATGCGGCTCCAGGAGATGGAAAAGGAATAGTAAGGAACACCCAGAGCAGCCAGTCGGGCGATGTCCTGTTTGTACAGATAATAATTCATGGTGGCCACATTGGCATCGCTAGCACTGTCGTTCGATTGGATTGCTCCAATGGTGTCCAGGATACTTGGTCCTCGGCCTCCCAGCTGAAGGCCCTCTTCAATCTGCCATGCACTGCCTGCAACGCCCCAGATGAAGTTCTCAGGAAGCTTCTTTCTCGGGTTGGCGAGGTACGGAGTCAGAGCAGGTGGAAACACCAATTCACTGCTTGGAACAGGGGTAGGAGAGACTGTCGTGGTGAAGGGAGGCGCCGAGGAGTAGGATAACGATGTCCAGAGCTCGTCGTATGCTTGCTGGCAATACGCGTCTGTCTCTGACTCCGTAGCAGCCGTTGTGGTAGGATTGAGGCTATAGGTAGTGTAGGTGACTCCTGTAGGCAGGAGGGTCGATGCTTCACTGAACGGTGGGGCAAAGGTGGTAGGAAAAGAGATAGGAGAAGGCAGTGGTGTTGCGTAACGGTCGGATGTGAGCTGAGTATAACTGAACGAACTGTACCGGTAGGATGGAGTCTCGAAAGATGCAGTCAAGGTGGGAGAAGCATTCGGAGAACCGGAACGCGCCACAAATGCTTCTCCCAGGTGGCTTCCCACCAAAACCGTGGTAAGAACAGTGGTTCTGAGGAACATAGTAGCTAAATTGACTAGACCTGCCGGTTCAAGTGTCCTGCCAAGTCGGAGTTGCAGAGACTCTTCACTGATGTCCTAGGCATGTTCTTTCCTAGGCAGGTTCTTTCCTTGATTTATAGTCATGGTCGAGCAACATTCTCTCCCGAGCTGATCCGCTATAGCAGGGCCAGCCTCACATCGGGAAATGATCGGTGTCTGCAGATTGAAATGCGACCTTGAAATCGTTGCAGTGTGGGGGCGAAGACGCCCTTGTGAGCCGTGGCCATGACGAGCCTGGAGATCGGCCTCTTTCCCCACGTTTCCCCGCTGCTTGAGTGAGAGTGAATCGACAGATGGTCAGCTCATGTTCCGAGGTGTTGCCGATGATAAGCCGAGAAGAGAGCATCGGACAATCCGGGGGAGGTAAAGTAAACGACGAGACTCGAGCTTTGGTGGTGATTGTGTCCCGTGTCTGACGGTGGATTGTGGGGGTGATGCGGGGAGGAGGAGGAGTGCAGAGGTAGCAGAGGTGGAAGACCCTGATTGCTACAACAGGCAAGTCAATCTCGGCCCCGCCCCGTCGGACCATCTTCACCCGAAAGTCCTCCCCAGCGAGAGATCGCCTTGGTTCAAACCTCCCCACGTCATTATATCAATGCTGATTTGAACCAGCTTGAGGCGTCTACGTCGACACGGCACATGTTCTATATTTGCAGCCTCTCGTCTATGTATTCCCCTTACCCAAGTACAGGTCTTCGGTCAGGTCTTCCTACATGCGACAACGAATCGGACAGCAAGCAAAGTTTCTTCCGACAAGCAGCTCCCTACAGCACCACATCTACTAGGAGAGTGAGAACCATCATCTCTGAGCTTGGAGCTCGAGAATACAGACAAAGGGGGTGTATCCCACATTTTATGGTTTATGTTTGTATACCAGGCCTCGTCCGCGCGTATCCATACTCGAGAGCACAGGTTGCAGCGAGCCCTTAAATATCTGCCACATCCCACCTTCTTCTTTTATCCACGAAAGAAAGCTGCCTTGTTATTCGAAGGTCGGATAAATCGAATCGATCTCGACCCCGCAAATGCTTTGACTGCAGCCCGCAAATCAGGGCCTGGGCGCGCCTCCGCAGGAAATATGCCCGAAGCAGGACAAGCCACGCGAGAGTCGAGGTTGACATCCAAGCTGCCGGTAACTTAGCCATCATGAGTCGAGAGATCAGCCGCTGGGACAACCAGATGCATGTTGAATCCCACCAATCTTCCGTAGCAAATATTGCCATATGGCTCAGAATCACTGCAAGCTGAGGTGGCGCCCAATTCCTCGACATGGCTATGGTTTCCCCACTGATAGAGGCATAAAATGATCTGGAGCCCCCGGTTTCTCCACATTCTCCACGGCCTCCACAGCGATAAGCTTGACGTACTCATCAGATCCGAGGTCTTTAACAAGATGAAACCGAAGGTCTACCAATTTGTGGTGGCTCTTTTTGCTGCTTTCGGATCCTTCCTTTACGGTTATGATCTGGGTGTCATCGCCTCTGTCGTTGCATCAGATTCCTTTGTTGATAAGTTCTTGACGCATAATGGAAGCGTTATCTCCGGAACAGTTGTGTCCTTGTTCACGGCTGGTAAGCCATAGCACTCTACCCCAGCAGGTGCTTGCAGCTAATCCTGCACAGGAGCGTTCTTTGGGGCCCTAGGAGCGGGCTACACTGACCCACTCGGTCGTCGCGCAACCCTTGTATTGGGATCCGTGTTGTTCTGTATCGGAGGCATTCTCCAGACCGCAGCGGTCAACGTTGGCATGTTGCTGTTCTCACGCATCTTTGCAGGTTTTGGGATAGGTATTCTTGTCGAAACCGTCCCTATGTTCCAGGCAGAAATTGCACATGCCAGCATCCGAGGTATTTTAGGGTCACTTCAGCAGACCATGCTGGGCATCGGCGCATTGTCCGCGTCCTGGATTGGATACGGTTGTGAAAAGTCTTGGGCCAATACTGGCGATAGTGTTCAGTGGCGACTTCCGTAAGCGACACTCCCTCGGTAGACTAGGAATTGCCTAACAAAACACTTTCGGACAGTCTGGCACTTCAGCTGGTTCCTGCTATTGGCCTAGCTTCATGCATCTACTTCTTCCCAGAGTCGCCTCGCTGGCTTATCGACCACGATCGTCATGAAGAAGGATTGCACAACCTGGCTCGCCTGCACGCCAACGGTAACATTGACGACGCATATGTCCGGGCCGAATATGAATTGATCCAGCGTCAAATCGAGGAGGAACATCAGCACGCTGCCAAGTCTTACAAGGAACTGTTTGCCAACCGTTCCAATACGCGTCGCATCATTCTTGCCTGTGCCTGTCAAGCATCCAGCCAAATGTGAGCCTCCCTCCTACTCACCCTTCAAGTATCGTGTCTAACCATCTCTCAGGACCGGCGTCTCCGCCATTCAATACTTCTCCCCGGCCATCTTCGCACAAATTGGAATCTCCACCTCGAAGACCCTCCTTTACCAAGGAATCAACTCCATCATCGGCGAGCTCGCGCAGTTCATCTTCTTCTTCCTCATCGACCGCGTTGGCCGTCGCCCGTTGCAAATTGGCGGCAACATCGCCTGTGGGGTTGCCTTTATCATCGGTGCCTCGCTCCTATCGCAGTACCCTCCCGATTCCACCAACACGGCCGCTCACTGGGCCTTCATTGTCGCCAGCACCTGGGTCTTCAACTTCTGCTTCTGCGCCTCGGGGACCATGTCCTGGATTATTCCCGCCGAGATCTTCAACACCGCCACCCGTGCCAAAGGCATCTCGCTGGCGACCATGGTCTCGTTCGCGTTCAACACGATGATCGCCCAGGTCACGCCCATCGCGCTGGAGCGCATCGGCTGGCGCTATTACCTGCTGTTTATCGTGTGTGACTTTGGCAATGCGCTGTTCTTCTATATGTTCCTGCCGGAAACAAAAGGTCTCTCGCTAGAGGTGATGGACGATCTGTTCACCAACGCCCCGTTGTTGGTGCCCGGCAGCCGGTGGGAGGTGTCGCCGGAGGTCAATATTGAGAAGGCATTGGCGCAGGAGGCTGCTGCGGTGGAGTTGGCGGATCGCTTTTCGGTCAAGGGGGATGAGAAAGAGGGGCCTGTATCGATGAGGGTGGAGGCGGTTTGAGGGGAGAAGAGTGGCTACGAAGAGCCCATATCGGTTCATATCATGTTGTGTCAACTCAATTCAGCCCGTCTAGGCAGCTAAACTGTGCAAGCGCTCGCCTTACATGCCTGAAATCTCCGAAGATTTCGAATGACTGAAGCAAGCTAAGAACCAAACAATGGGTTGACTGCCTACACAACTCTTATATGTGAAGAGATTTTCTTTGGGACAGTTGATGGGCGAGCTCCTATACTTGTGGGCCTATCTATACGAATTCTGACTGTCAACTGAATCATTCATTGCGTCCGTTATTCAAGAGCTATTAATCCCCCTGGTTGCTGAACAAGCAAGCGTGTATAGGGGGTGTAACAAATTAAAGATAGTAAGGAACCCCAACCATAAGGGGCAAGGGAGACAGATGTTCTCAATGCTCTTCCAGACAAGCACAAAGAAACCAACAAAGAGAGGCCAAAAGATAAAGCAAACCGCGGCCTAACAAGGCCCATCGGTGCGTTTGCACACCGTCGCATAGCCGCAGGTACAGTAATCCTGATCAAAGATGGTGACCAGGTTGGGCAGGAGGTAGGTCTGACCGACGGTGACGTTGGAGAGGGTGGCGTTGACGGTGTTGATCCAGCAGGGGCTGTCCTCGAAGGGATCGAGGCCGGAGACGGGGACGAGGGTGAGCACGGGCAGGTTGTAGCAGCAGGTGGGCAGGACGCCGGAGCTGGCGACGGCGGTGATGCTGACGGACTGGGAGCCGAAGTACACGCCGGTGGCGTTCTGGCAGGCCTCGGAGTTGGTTAGCAGCTCCTCGATGTCGATGCCGTAGCCGCGGAGGTCGGTGAGGGTGGCGTTGGTGGCCGGGGTGTTGTGGGCCTCGCCCTGCGTGCAGTCGGCGGCGCCCACCAGGTTCATGCGGATGGTCGCGTTGATGCTGTTCTGCATGTCGTACCAGGTCGTGCTGTCGATCCCGAACAGCGGCTTCACGTTGTAGAAGAAGTTGGCGGCGGCATGCGTGAACGGACCCGTCGTCAGCGAGCACGAGTCCCCAGAGACAACATCGTAGGTATAACACGTTCCATTAGCATAGGGTGATGGAGCAAAATCGGAAAGAGTGCCTGGTGAGCAACAGACATACTGGCCTACGGCAAGGGTTGAACAGAGGTCGCTGGCGGTGTTGTAATCATAGAACTCATCGGATGTGATGCCGCACTCCTCAACAAGAGAAGCGCAAGAATCTCCTGATACCACCTGCACATACGAACAAGTAGAACGACGATGGGTGTGAAGCACGGAGTGTGTATGGGAGATGCCTGACTGGCTGAAGGACCGAGCATGGACGGTGCTGTTTGTCACAGCCAGCGACGAAGAATTGAAAATGAGTGTGTTTGTCAAGGCAAGCTCGGCGCTCCCTGTTTGGGTGGTGGTAAAACCAGAAACACATTGCCCATCGCTCCAAGTGCGGACATACTGTTGCACAGCTGCCAAGTCGCCATTCAAATCGACTGCAAGTCCCAGAGTGCGATTGGAGTTGATTCCACAGTATTGCCACACTCCACTGTCAAAAGCCTGCAAAGTCTGAAGCAAGTCCGAAACATCGTCCATAATAGCATCGATATTGTGAGCATGTTGGAGACTCCCTCCAATATAAATACCCGCGGCCACTTTGTCAACTTCCGAAAAAGCAAAGATAGTCGACTTCTGACAGTTACCCAATTGCAACGGTCTGGTTAGACTGGGATTTTGGAAGAGCTGTCGCAGAATCCCCGGCACTCCACAGACCGAACTCGTAGGTAGCCTTCAAGTTTTGCATTCGAGTCGGCACAGGTGGTGCCATCCAAAGCGCTTTCCAGAGCATCTGAGGCATTTGCCCTGCAGCTATAGATTGTATGTCGAGAGTTGGTGTCGTTCAAAGGGGTATTAACCATGAAGTCCAAGAGCATTGTCTGATTGCATTTCGCAACTCGACTGGTACTCGGATACACGAACCACTGGCTGGTATCGAAGCCTTCCTTGCAAGCGCGTATTCTCCCAAGCGCAACCATCATCCTATACCCTCCATCTTTCCAACTTCAGCATCCACCACTGTTCTATACCATCCCCTTCTAGCATCAAAGACATCCATCAATCTCCTATACTAGATCAACGAGATTGTCTACTTGGCAGCCTTTTCTCTTTTACAAATGTCTTTGACAATCGAAATCTATATTGAAGCACCCCGAAGACCATAAAACTGCCTGGGATACGCTAGAACGGATCAAAAAGCTCCCCATCATCGTCATTACGAGCCCTAACTTCCGAGTTAATAAAGCGCATGTTTAACCTTAAACATCGTACAATGATTCCATTTTCGATGCGAACGACATCAAGCCGTTGACTTTTGTATCCTGAGAATAGCCTTGCTTGGTCTATGCTAATTCCTGATGCGCAACAGGAAGAATCCTAGACCATTATGAAGTCGTCATGACGGCTCGCCACTCTTTTATAAATCTCGTTACGTATCAATTCGAAGTATTGTTGCAGTTGCCTTGGCTCGATCACTGGGATGAGGATGAAACTACATTTGTCCGGCAAGAGTCATTATACTTTATTGCATAACAAGCTCGAGGCTATGGAGATGGATCTTGTGGTCATTGAAACAAAAAGAAGAGGAGTTCCAGGTGTCTAGCGGGCCATTGCCTGCATGGGTAAGTTCCTCTCTCTTCCGCTGTGGTGCATGTGATGCTTTACTGTGACCACTGACACAGATATAGCGATGCTGCATCAAGCGAGAATAACGTGTCACTACTCCGATACATCAGTCAGTCTGGGGTATATCTACTCATAGTCTTGACTGGTCTTTCATACACAAAGACCAAGAGGGGAAGGTAAGAATGCTCTTCCTATAGCTGGATTGTCTCTTAACCATCTTAGTATGTCTTTCAGATTTTGATATGGGAGGCGCAAGCACCCGAACTTGTGGCTTTGATAGCACAAGTCACGGAACTGTCATCTCGGGTGTCGGCAGATCTCTTGAGGCATCTCACAGACTCACGGAAGAGTTTAGCGAGATAGACGCTCATTTCTCAAGTCGGTATGCACCTACCAATGCACCCATTCGCTACATAGACACTCTCACACACCGTGGAAGTGAAGGCAGGTCCACAAAGGGTGGCTTAGCTTGCATAAACATGCCAAGAATTTGGGATTGAGAACTCCGAGAGCCCAGATCCGAATGGGACGGCGCGATCATGTGTCCTTAGATTTTGGCAGCCAGTGGCAATCCATCGATTTGCAGAAATAAGGAACAGTGGGATAGCGAAGGGGGCAATCATTGCTGATGCAGTGGGGTTAGGAAAAACATGCAGTGAGCAGCAACTCAAATCATCCAAAATTTGTATTGGAAGATATTGGAGCTCCAGTCAGCATAAGACGGCGTCCTTTTTCGGTTTCCTAGCGACCCATTGATTAGTGTTTGCTCGCCAAATCATCCATGTCCGACTGCTATAGCGGCAAGTAATCTGATGTCTACGATTGCAGCTTTCTCAGCCATGACTGCGTCTCCTTGATCCATCCATAGCACTACTAAGGGGATATTGATTGCCTGGTGTCTTCTGCTGGCCATCAATTGCGCCTGGTGGCTTGGTATTTACGAGCTCCTACTTCTGCAAGCGGAGCAAGTCAGTATAGAGAGATAGATCCGAAGAGGTGTGCGTAATATGCGTGTGTCTTTATCATTGTACGTATTAGACAGTATAGATCAGAATACATTTTCTTAACCTTGGACTCATGACCATCTAGCGTAGAACTGCCAAGGTCATTATTTCTTTATCTTGTCGGTTGGTAGCGGGATAAATATCGGCTATTTCACAATGACGCTTTATCTCGATATGCATGCACACAGCAAAGCGCATTGTCACTCTCCAGCAAATCCGAGTCCAACCTCGGGACGTCTATGGAACTTGAAAGGGAAGAGCACTTGTACCTTTGACCAAGAGGCCTTTCACAGGGTAGCTACTCCTTTCAAATTGGTCCCGAGTTCGAAAGCGTTTGCAAAGGATAACGAATATACGTTCAATGCATTCTTTATACAAACTATTACTTCTTTGATTACATTGTATAACAACCCTCCCAGAAGCAGGCATTTTCCCTGCGGCTCTTTATATGATTGATCCCTTTATCCCAGAGGTAACAAGCATCAGGATACAGAAGAAGAGACCCGTCCACGCCAAGCACCGATGTATAAATAGGGCCATGAATCCCGACACCAATTGAATCATCATCACCCCCACTCACCCAGACCTTCACCCTTTCATCACCCAACCTTCCACTTTCAAAAGTGCTCGTGCACGACAGCATCCCAAAATGCCCAACCACGTCGAACCAACAATCACCCAGACCACCCCTCACGGGGAGGTCACGATCTACGCCATGACCTTGACCCCCGGCGGTACCTACATCGTGGTGATCGAGTCCCGGGACCCCCGATTCAAGGCCGATAACTGGGGGCCAGCCCTCGAGATTCTCCAAGAGCGATGGAGGAGCAAGCGCGAGGAGTATGATGAGCGCCAGGAATATCGCGACAGCCCGATGGGTGGGATGATCCGGGTCGACGGCCGCTTCCGACTGTACAGGGAATCCTTGGCTGCGGATGGCGGCACCGGCCCGGCCCGGCGCTGCAATCATCACGGCCGCAACGAGTTCCCCGAGTTCGGGCCGCACGTGGACCCCGTTGAGAACCTGCACCCGCTGCTGAAATTCCTGCGGTCTCTGCACCCGAGCCCGCCTCGAGGTGATGCGTCGCAGGGGGAGGGGGGTGAATCCGATCAGGAGGACGGTCCTCGGTTCACTTTGGAGGAGTGTGTGAGGTCGCTAACGCTGAGGTTGCAGGCTCGAGGCCAGCGGGCGGGAGAGCCCTGTGAGCGGTGTCAGTGCTCTGGTACTCATAGCTCTAGCTCGTAGGCTTTTTAGCTTCCCTTTCCTTTCTCTTTCTTGAATGTAAGAAAAAAAGACCACCAAAAAATATTCTCAGATATATCATATCAATATGAATGCTCATAACAACTACCAATTTTCTCCTCTAAATAGACCAAGTAATGCTTCAAAAACGCTCCCAAACAGGGAGCAGGAACTGCCATCGGGAATCACTACAGCCCTTCGGTCTGCTCCTTAAATCATCCTAAGCGTGGAGAGGGAGGGTTGCAATTCACCCGGACCGGCCTTTGCCCCTGTGTTCCCAGTAAGAATCGACGAAACTATTTTTGCTCGAAAGCGCATGCCGTCCCAGCGTTGATCCATCCTGCCCCAAGACAGAGACCTCTCCTTCTGCCGCTACTCGGACGGCATGATTGCCGCCTATAAACCCAGTTTCAAAGGTTCTGGCGCCTGCAGATCAGGTGAGCCTGGTATGATGCACCGCACTGGGCGGGCTAGAGTCCACAGCAGTAAGGAGCACCATGTACAATAGTCCTAGATGGTAGACTATTGGCTCCCGCGATGCCTCATATCCGGCTAAACTCCAAGAAACGGGTTGTCGAGCTCTCTGTGATAGGGTTGGATGAGTTGTCGTGTCTCGGGATTTTTGGGTTCGCTGGGCGCCGAGTGATACACGCGCGGCGTCGGAACGGAGTTCAGCAACTCGCATCGGAAAGAGCTGTTGGAAGCTTCATCGAGTACGAACGGGGCAATGGTGAGAGAGTATACGCCGCCCAGCTGGCTTCGTTTCCGATGAACGACGCTTTCTTGTCATTAGGTCTGCGTGAGGTCCCAGCGGGGTTGAGGCTGTAGGGGCCGGTCTTTTTCCAGCAGCTAACATCAGTATTATCGTTAGCGATGCACCGGGCTAGGAAGATAGAGACTCAAAGCAAGTTATATACTGTAGCTGCCATCGCACTTAGTCTGGGGTCAAGAAGACGCGTTTTTGGAGGGAAGGCATGCAGACGAGACGAGATCACAATAGACATAACAGACACGTTGAGCGCATGTCAAGGGAATAAATAGATAGGATATTCAGATGGAGAAAGAATCTTTCAGGGACTCAAAGAACCGTGAGAACATTAGTTATGCGATCGACAAAGTTGTTGCAAAAGTGAGGCCCCGCGGTATCGACACTTGACGTGCTGTGTTGTGAAAGGGGAACGTGGTGTCGTGGTTGCTGTGTATACTACACTTACACCCTCATCCACCCACCCGAAAAAAACCAAACCACCACATAGAGAAACAAAAAGCTCACACTGCCAAGATGCAGCCCAGGATTGTTAAATCCCTCCAAGGGGCCACACCTCTCATTCCAGTGCTACGAAAACCCTTTTTTTTCTCAGGGTTTTCTAACCCAGTCCGCCCCCGTACCGGAGGAGGGAGAAGCATCCTGCCACCGACTAGGGTGGAATCGCCTTCCACTACGCCATCGGCCCGCTGGGCTGCTAGACGGATCCCGCATTATAATTATAAAGAATTAAAAGATATCCCAAAGAAGTGAATGTTCCCGATTTAACGCCGTGAATCTTTTGGTTTGGTTTATGGTTTGCACCACCCGTGGTACTTGTGCTTAGTTGCCTGGTTATATTCTGTGCTGTTTATAACGTTGATGGGTTCTCGCTCTCTTTCTAATACATAACATGTCTATCTAAGCGGCGCCAGACTTTGGTGCTGCATGATTTATGAGCTATCATCGCCTTGCCTCTGTTATTTCCTAAAACAGCCGCAGCAAGCATTAAATGCTCCGCAGGCAGTTGGTCGAAAGGTTTCTCGAGCGAGACAATGTGCAATCAGCATAGCCTCCCAATTCAGCTGATTATTCTCCATGAGTAGAAGCATTTTCTTTCATGCTCCAAGGTATTCGGCAGAATGCTCTACCTCCAGCCAACAGACACAAAAAGCCCATAAGATATCACCCGATACAATGTCCCAATCAGCAAAAGTAGTCTACCAGCGCGTCAGTCGTGCGAATAATCATTATGTGTCTTGGTTATGATTCTTACCCGATATCAAATCCAGTCCGGTGATTCTTGTAACCGATAAAATCCGACGCGCCGTTCAATTGGTACAGATAGGCGAACGGCGAAGTGTTTTCGTTGTAGAAAGCCTCGGAAAACCATGTCTATTACCAGAGTTTAGACGCTGCTCACTCGACAACTGAGTCAAATGAGCACTCACCGCAGGCCAAAGATACCAGAACCAGCCTAGATGCCACGTCTTCACCAAGGCCAGCCGGGGTGCACAGCCCCCGAGGGCAGAGATGACAAGGCAGCTCAACATGCAGACTAGTGGACCGTCTTCGCGTCGCGTGATGGCGGCCACGATGCAGCCTAGACCGTACATACCTGTATTCTTCAGCCAGCTGTCCGTTATATAGAGAGAGACAGAGAGGGTACGGACAGTAGAAGTACAGAAAGTCAATCGCCAGCTGAAATCCGAAGGAGATCGTCGGGGTCGCTAGAATCATATAGATGGTAGTGTAGTGCAAGGACGACAGGAACATGCGCAGAAGCACGGAGAGATTCTTGCCCAGGAAATAGGCGCTCCGGGAATGGCCGGATTGCTGTTCGCGGCGGAAGATCAACTCTTAAGGGTTGGTCAGCAGGTGCGCTATGGAGGAAACGTGGCTTGACATACTCTCTTCACCCAGTAGCTTCACGCCTGGAGGGCCGGCTGCACATGCTACGTGCGGAGGCAAGTGTAAGCGGATCCGGCTCGATTCGATTTTCGAAGGCAGGAGCGAGCACTCACCTATGCCCAAGCACGAAAGCAACCCCTGCTCGGCAACCATGCGGTAGTTCACCGCGCTGGAGAGCAACTCGAATGGAGGATGATAAATCCCTTGGAAGATGTGGCCGTGATACTCGAAGACCGTCAGGCCGATCATGACCCCGATGACGGAGCCCGATACTATCTCCAAGCAGAAACTCGCGGTCTGTCGGGTCTGTTGCACTGTTCCGCGGCAAAACGATAGCCAGACTTGTCGCGCCCACGAAGCTTTGCGCTGGCGAATCGAGAGGAGAATGCTCGGGACATGCTGTGGAGTGTCGGATGCTTCGCCCGAGTCGGCATCAGAAATGCCTGTTACTGGCATGCAGGATTTCCCTTCCTTGGCTGGCAGACCTGTCTCCTCCCAGGGATGACTGGGGAGGATGTCCATGATGATATCCGCCGGATTGCAGAAGGAAGGAAACTCATAGCCAAGGTCTGTGAAGTAGGCTTGAGCGGTGGCGGCTTCGCCAAAATAGACCTGGTTCCCTGAGTTCAGAAGCATGAGAGTATCCAAAAGAGCGAAGATCTCAGCCCTGGGCTGGTGAATCACACAGATGACCATGATTCCGCAACGCGAGATTGAACGCAGCAACCTCATTAAGGACAGTGCCGCGGTCGCGTCGAGGCCCGAAGTCGGTTCATCGAGGATCAACACTTTGGGAGCGGCGGCGAGTTCAAGGCCGATACTCACCCGTTTGCATTCGCCCCCAGACAATCCTCTTTGTGCAACATTGCCCACCATCTGATCTTGCACCTTTCCAAGTCCCAGAGAGGCAATCAAAGATTCAACATAGTCTTGAATTTCATGGTCGGCCAGTTGCCCGCCTAGCATGACGCGAGCCGAGTGCAGTAGGTTCTCTCGAACGGTCAGCTCAGGGAGGACAAGATCATCTTGAGGGACAAATCCCATCAGCGCTCGCAGTCTGTCAAACCACAGTCAGTTCCAAAACATAGAGGAGAGGGGTTAGAGTATTGGTGCTCATACTCTGCAGGCTTCATTTTATAACCATTGAGACAGATCTCGCCGGTGCTAGCCTTATTCTTTCCGCCCAGAATGTTGACGAAACTCGCTACGAGAAACACTTAGCCTCAACAACACCCACAAGCAAGCACATCCATAGCCTGTGCGCTACCTACATTTCCCTGAGCCAGAGGGGCCCATGACTCCCAGGATCGAGCCAGCTTTGCATGATCCATGCAGACCAGATAGAATGTCGGTCGGTCTGCCTCGGATTTTGAAGCTCAAATCTGTAAAGGTAATTTCCAACGGCTGCGTTGAGGTATCATCCACTGACAGGAATGGGAATCTCAACAGTTGCGGCACATCTTTCTCCTCGTCTCCTGTCTCCTGCGAGTCCCCGACTATACCCTCCTTATCTCTGCATTGATGCGCACTCGGAAGCCTGGACCATGACCTTAGCTTTGTCAAGTCGGATGACAGAGAAAAGCGCCGCATCCAGAGCAGAACCACTAAAATGTCCAGCAGGATACACAAGAGAATACCGACCAGATCACGCTGGTGTGAGCTCCCTTCCGGACAGAGGGAGAGGGTGCGGCACTTGATGGGGTTGGCAGTCCCCACGGGGCAGAAGGAGCCCTGCGGACAGGGCACAGGTGGTGCTCCCCCGGGCGCGCAATAATTGCCCTCGGGGCAGATCACGGGCTCGAGCGCGCCCTGTGGCTTGTCGCAGAAATTCCAGCCTTCCTGGAGGCGTTTGATGAGGCACTCGAACGTTGGGGTGCAATGTTCGGGTGGGAGGTTATCCTCGCTTGATTGGCCTGTTTGCGACTCGTGAGCTTTGGGCTGTCACCGGCATTTTAGGGGAATCGCACAGTAGAAGCCGTCATTGCAGGTGGGCGAAGAGGCGAGCCAGGCTGCTTGCTGCCCTGAGAGGCAGGTATCATTGGATGGCGCCACACCTATTACGCCAGGTTTCGAACTATTCATATCGTTGTGCTGAGGATGGAACTTGAACTTCGCTTGGTCGCGTTGTGGTGAGATATACGGTGACGAACGACATGGCAAAAGGGGAAGTCCCAGCAGCCAGGAACCTTACAGGATGAGATGCAAGGTCCCGCAGATGATGCATCTCATGCATGCCAGACTAGGGTGGGCGATAGGCATCCCCCTGCAGCACTGGGCATATTCTGTCTCCTGTACCAGTGACATGTCAGAAGACGCGATGCCGGGGCCGGCTGCGTTCCATGCTGATATTTCGACTGGTTCGTTTGCGGATCGGTCCTCATCCAAATTCGACATTCTTTAAGCCAGAGCCGCGGCTTGCCTGCTGGCCAGAAATATGGTCGCGCATGCGACTCAAGGTTGTTTACCCCTTACATGTCAGCCAAATCTTATCTCAAATAGCGCTTGATGACTTGCTGGATATCGCATCCGCACTTCCTTGTACATTCCATGCCTTGAATCGTCGAACTCAACAAATTTCCTGTTTCTTGTTCTTCCAAAGGCCAGCTATGATGTCCCAGCCGTAGTAATGCATACTGAACGGGACTTGAGATAGTTACTGTGCATACAGTCATACTTTATACAACAACATCCAAAATCAACCCTTATAGTCTTCATCCCCATCCTCGTCCTCGTCCTCCCCCTCTTCCACAACCCCATACTCCGCCCTCAACTCGTGGAACCTCTTCTCCGTCCAATCAAAGACATTATCCCACTCAAACCGCCGCCTCGCAAACAGCTTCCGAAACCAGCCCCGTAACAACTCATAGTCCGGCAGCTGATTATACCGCAGCCCATTCACATGGTCGAAATACCACTCAAACTCCTCCGGCAACCCGCGACACAGCTCCTGAACCGTGATTCGACTCTTGGCCTCCCCGATGGGCCGATGCTTCGAATGGCCCAGATATTCCCAGGGGAGTTCACCCTGGAGGAACTCGACAAGCGTATACCCGACACATTCCATATCATCGCGGTAGGTTTGATCTGCCGCCATCGAGTAGAAAGTTAGCCCCAATTCATCAATTCAAAACCGAAACCCGTTATATCCCCCTCACATCAACCTCACACCCCCCCCCTCAAAAGCAGACAACCAAGCAAAGAGGAGAACATACAATGCCTCGAATGCGCCGCGCGACTCGCGTACACCACCGTGCCAACGACATCCTTCTCCAGCTGCCCGCGGTAGCACTTGACGTTCCGTCGACTCATGAACTTCTTCTTCGCCAGCCCGAAGTCGTTGATGTACAGGGTATTGCCCTTCCGGCCGCGCCCCATCAGCAGGTTCTCGGGCTTGATGTCCTGGTGGATGTACCCCGCGGCGTGGATGTGCTGCATGCGCAGCAGCAGCTGGTCGGCGATCATCAGCACCGTCTTGAGGGTGAACTGGCGGTGGCAGTAGTTGAAGAGATCTTCGAGGGTGGGGCCGAGGAGTTCAATGGCCAGGAGCCGGTAGTCGTCGATGGACGGGTGGTAGAAGTAGACTTTGGGGATCCCGGGGCCTTTGATCGCGGTGTAAATCGTGTGTTCTTGTTCGAGGGTGTCGCGCGTTTTCAGAGGTTCGAGTTTGAGGGCGACGGTTGTTTTGGTTTGGAGGTCTTGGGCTTGTGGTTGTTAGTTTTGGTGGAGGGGGAGGGGGCTGCTGGGCTGGGAAAGGGTGGGATGGGATGATCGCACCGAGGAAGACTTCGCCGTAGCCGCCTCCTCCTAGGTAGCGGAGGAGTTTGAAGCGGTTGGCGACGGTGATGTTCTGTGTGATGGTTAGTGTTGTTGCTATCGCTGGTGTTGCGATGTCTGGGTAGCTTAAGGCTAAGGGCTTACGAGTTGCTCGGTCGGCATGAGGAGACTCTGTGTAGTCTGCTTGACGTATGATGGACATCATGATGATGATGATGATGACCGGAAGTGGAGGTTGTTATGGACTATGTAGGATTGTTCTTTGTTGCGTTGGTTGATTCTGAGTAGAGTTGTTGTTGGTGGTTATTGGCTTTAGAATGTCGCGGATGCTGCGCTGGGCTGGTGTCATGCTTTGTCCTGTTTGGCTATAATTACCACAGATCCATCAAAGGACTAATCACAATTGTGTCTGTTCTGTGAAAGCAACATTGATTGTATCATCCCTGGCGCCGCCGTTAGGAGGTGAGTTCTTTCACAAAGCAACAGTGTCTTTGTCTCCTCCGTTGCGTACAATCTCATACAACTACTCTTTGTTCGTCCTGTTTCTGATACAGATAGATTCATACCATAATGCAAGGGCACAAGGGGAATTCGCTTGAGACTATGTCTTCTGTTCAAACAAAAACAGTGGAAGATATACCTTGTAAGGCGATCTCAATCTTCAACGATTCAACAACAATTCATGGAATCAATAATCTCGCGCAAAACAGCAATCCATAGCAACCATCTTCATGCTACAATCATACAGCATCTTGCGCACATTCTTCAACTTAGGAAGCTTAATACTCAATATCATAGACGAAGCGCACTTCAGCACCGCGGGCAGCGACCGGATGCCTTGCATTATCGAGCAGAGCACAGGCGGATCCGCATCTGCTGCGCACTCGGGCAGCTTCGACGATATGTACGAAATCGAACCCAAGTACTGGGACGATCTTCCCTACATCTACCTGAGTCACCGGGCGATCGTGGAGTTCCGCAAACGCGAAAAGGCCATTGCCGAAGAGGCCGAACAAGAGAAGGAGAAACAAACCAGGGCAAATCGCAAAAGACTGCGGCTACCGCACAAGTTACGCAGTCTGAAGGACTTTGCCAGGGATGGTGGACCGGATTTATCTGGGATTGGGAGTGTATGCTGAATTCTCGCCCACAAAACAAGTTTTGAAACCTCGACACTAACGGACTGATGTTACATAGTTCGATTGGTCTGAGTCGGCGCAAGCCTGCAATTCGACCTCACTCTACGACGGCAACTGCCGCAACTTCCTCAAGCTCCACGGCATCGCAGCGCGATCGCACACTCACCACCGGCCGCGCAACGACTCTTCCTTGCAGGCACGACTCCGGGAGACTCGCCCATCTGTCCAGCGACTGGACCGCACCGACCAAAAGGTCTGGCTCAAAGCCTGCCGCAATTTCGGAAAGCGCCGTGCCAAGCTCAACGATGCGCTCGACATACTGCTGGGCGAGGCCTCCGAGACGGTCCTCACCTACGAGAGCGAGCCGATCACCGGCCTAGACCCGCTGGTGGAAGGGATGTTCCTGGCGCAGCCGAGCTACTTCGACTGCGGCGACTTCTACGCGCTCGACGCGGGCGGCCGGGTCGCCAACGACCTGAAGGAGTACATCCTGCCTGCGACGGACGCGTACGGCGTGGTGCCAAACTTCTTCGTGCAGCTGCAGCTCGACGACAATGCCGATGAGCCCGCGGCGGAGCTGCGGGCGATGCACTATGGGGCCCTGGGGGCGCGCGCGGTGCAGAAGCTGCGCTTCCATGCGCGCGCGGATGAGGCGTGGATGGACGAGAACGCGTACTCCATCGTCGTCGTCGTGTTCGAAGGGTCGGTGACGATCTATGGGGTTTATATGATGAGGTCCGAGGATGAATCCAGAGAGGCGGATTATCAGCTGACGGACCTCTATTATAGCCGTTTTGATCGCGGAGTGGGTCATTTTCGGAAGGCTGTGGCGGCGGTGCGGAACGCTAGGGACGTTGCGAAAGAGTGGAGAGAGTATTTCATGGAGATGGCCACGCGGGCGCTGGAGGGCGATTCTCACGACCTGTCGCAGGGAAGTCCGATGTCAGTGGATGAGACGCCGAACGACAATCATAGCGAGGGCCCTGGTGGGATGGCTCGTATACCCTCTCTGAGTGACGACCAGAGCTCAGCCAGTAGTGACGGTGCCTCCTCTGGCCTCAAAAGGCGCAGAAGTGACTACAAGCTGCAGTATCCAAGCCTGGGCGAAGAGCTCCCACGTGTCAAGCGCCCTAGATCTGTGAGCAGTGGCAGTGATAGTCCGCGGTTTAGTTAGTATGTTCGAAAGAGTGGGTTCTCAAATAGAATATTGAAGGCAGAGATGATGTAGGATTGGTTAGTTGAGTAGGCAACAATGATCGATCTGAGATAGACAAGACGCTGGGCAAACTACGTGACAAGGCGGTTTGCCGCTCTTCTGAAAAGACTGTGTGACATCGGTCTAGTTCATACTTCGCTCGAAAGATTCCTGATCTTGTCACTGTAATTTAGACAAAGGCAGGAGTTCTGCAAGCACACTGTTAGCTTCCAAGAGGCTTCTGCTACTTGAAAGAACTTCCAGATGAATGCAGCTAATGCTTATGCTTCAGGTTCCTTCATAAGAGTAGTAGTAGTAGTTAACTGATTTGAAACTACTATCCCTTATTAGCTACTATAAAATCCATCAAGAAAGGGCTCCCCAAGTCTGCCATTGCATCGATGTCATACAGAAAGAACTAGAAGATTTGCAAATCTGTTGCTTTACAGATAATCATCCTCACAGAAGTCATCAAATATCCAATTTGCTTCTATCCTCATTCTCTCTTCTGCTGACTCAGCCGCGTCCAGGGTATCCTCCTTCAATGTCAGTGCACGTGCCCTGGCTCCCTCATACTGATCTATAGGTACCCAACCCTCAGTTCCAACTCCGACCAAATTCTGACAAATCTTGAGTTGCTCATCTGCTTCTGCCTGTGCGTGTAAGAGTCTCAAGCATTCGTTCGCCTCGGCCTCTGAGTATACAAGTGGACAGGGTGGTGTATCACCACCATTGATATCGGCCCACTTTTGTGACAACGTGATTAGATTTGACTTTAGTGTAGTATTATCACCCTCCCATGGATCACTTGCGTAGTGAAATAGTCGCCGTCTTAGCATGCTGAAATCATGTGCCAAGGCGTTGTAGTGTTCAGGGTTCATCTCCGAAGTTGTTTTCACGTAGAGGTAGTGAAGCTGACGCCTGCGAAAGAGTTCGGCCTGTTGATTTTGCTCTTCTAGTTCCAGCTCATTGAAATTGCTGGGGAGGCTTGGTTCCTGAAGAGATTCAGAGGTGTCGTCGCCGTAATTTTGCAAACTATTGGGAATGCCGCAACGCAGGAAACGGGGGAGAATCGTGCTGTGCTGCCAGTCAATCAACCCGCTGATTTCCATATCATCAGAAACGAATATATTATTCGGTTGAAGGTCGGGATGTCATAAGACAGGCCGATGAAGAGCTGGTTTGTCGCGAGGTACAAGACTAGGTGCAATCTGAAGATATTGTTCGAGAGTCGCGATGTGATCAAGATGTGATTGTGGCTGGTAGTTGTAAGACTCTCTGCGAAGACGCTTGAAGGGTTGAAGCGGCTGCCCGAATCTCGAAAGATACACAATCTCCTTTCTGGCGCCGGCATTGAGGACTGCGAGGCAGTCTTGATCTGCAATGTATCAACTCCTGATCCTCCTTTCGTTTCAATCCTCAATGTTGAACGCAGTAAATACTCACATGGTCCACGCTCTACTGGCAAGTGAAGCCTTCTTCCGTACATAGTCCAAGTGATGTATCAGGACCAATGCAGAAGCGGCCTTCGTTGCTTGGCGAAGAGCTCGGAATGATGGCCTTGGTGCTCCCTGGCAAATCGGAGCAGTAATACGATCAGCTTGGTCCTCTTCTCTTTAGGGAGATCGAACCAAATATCGCCCAGATTCTGTCCTTGGATGAGTTCCATGAAGATATATTCCGTTTGAGCTGGATTATTCGCATTAGCTGAGTAGCCGTAGACTTTCGGAACCGGCATGCCATGCGAGCGAAGAAAATCCATGGTCGCTACTTCACTCGCGATCACTAAACTCTTTGGCTGGGTTACTGGATATGGAATGCGGGCAACAAATTGGAATTTATCCCGCATAGTGATCAAGAAGCTTCTATTGAACCCTCCCTCGGCAAGCTTCTGAAAACCGACTACATCTTCTTCCTTCTGGCGGATTGATGAAGCCGCCAGACGCTTTAGCTCTGGAATATTAAGGACCCGCCTCCGCTCCCGGTGCCGTAAGGCGTCATTATAGCTATACATATGAGTTAGTCAAAGCCAGCAATCGCGAACGGCCCGCATGGAGGAACATGCATCCATCGCCCAGATGTGTACTCGAATAAGTCGGAACATGAAGACATGATATGGCCCGTAGAGAAGAGACGGGTTCTAATCAGGCCTGCCTTATGGGGGCTGATGAAAGTTGCAAAAGGCAGTGGTACGGAGGCTAGATGTAGACGCCTGGCCATGCTTTAATTCGGAGAGGGGACATAAGTCACACCCACACTCACCAGCAGGCAACGCGCAAGGGTTTATATGGTTATGTTGGTAGGTTCACCTTCTGCCTCTTAGTGATACGGCCGGCGCCGGCGGCATGCGGCCCTAAGCCCGAAATGGAATTGTTACCAAGGTGGTACCGTGCGGCCCAGCTAAGACTATAACAATACTTATGGTACCGTACAGTACTTGAAGGGCGGCTCGTCGAATCTGTAACAGCAGAAAATACTTGTACAAGACAGGGTATAGGATTTTGCTTAGCTAGCGGTCATCTTCGCTACATGTCATAGACGGACGGAGGCATAACTCTTCTTACTCTACCAATAAGATCCTTTAACCAGAACCTTTCACACACCTTACTCTACAGCAGCTGCGGCTTCGTACAATCCCTTCTCCACGTCCTCTTTGGTGCCATCTTTCCTCACCAGGGCAGGCAGTGGCCATCACCGCAAGAGTGCCACCATTGCCTTCTCGCCACCTTTTGATAGATGAGGGGACCTGGCAAAGGGAAGGAGGTGAGGAGAAGACCGGTCTCGCGAGCGAGGGCTTCGAAAGCATAGTCTGCGAGAGCACCTCGGCTGGGGTGAGATGGACGCCTAAAACACCTGAGTCAGCACCTGTTCACAGTCAATCAGAACATGGTGCAGTAAAAAGAGTGACCCCGGGTTTTGTCTACCCTGTAGCCAAGAAAGATACCTTTCGACTTATGCCATTTATTGATCGAACAGTAACCAAACGATTACTGTAATATCTAAGTCTGTAAGTGCTAGAAACCGAAAATTGGATGAGTACAGTCCATTGATTTAGAAGCTACTTATCGTTAATTCCTTTAAGAATAACCCAGATCTACTCCAGAAATCCAGGCGAGACGTGCTTGTTGACAGCATAGACAAGACTGCGGGGTGACACGGGTATTTCCTTCCCCGGGCTGAAATGTCCCTCACCCCAACACAATTTGGCATCTCCCTTCGCTATCTCCCTATCACCCATGCAATCAAGCATTCTAACTCGTCCCTTTTCCGTGCAGTTACCTGCGCGCATTCTCAAAATGGCACCCAAGGTCGCAGTCCTCGACGACTACCAAAATATCAGCCCGCGCCACTTCGAGCATCTCACCTCCCGCGTCGAGTTCAGCTACTTCCCCGACACGCTGAACCCCCGCCTGGCCGACCAACAGCAACAACTCATCGAGCGACTCCGACCGTTCGAAATCATCGTCTCCCAGCGCGAACGCACCCCCTTCTCCAAGGAAACGCTCTCCGCGCTTCCGAACCTCAAACTGCTCCTCACGACCGGCACGCGCAACCTCGCCATCGACAGCCAGTACTGCGCCGAGCGGGCGATCCCCGTCGGCGGCACGCAGACCCGGCCCGCGGGGCTGAACTCCACCGTGCAGCACACCTGGGCGCTGATCCTGAACGCGGCGCGCCACGTCGCGCGCGACGATGCGGCGATCAAGCGCGGCGAGTGGCAGGGGTCGCTGGGGATGACGCTGGCGGGGAAGACGTTGGGATTGTTGGGGTTGGGGAAACTGGGGGCTCAGGTGGGCAGGATCGCGGTGCAGGGGTTTGGGCTGGATGTGATCGCGTGGTCGACGAACCTGACGCAGGAAAAGGCGGACGAGCAGGCCCAGGCGATGGGCCTACCGGCGGGGAGCTTTCGGGCGGTGTCCGACAAACTGGCCTTCTTCCGGGAGGCCGACGTGGTGAGCGTGCATAGCGTGCTGTCGGAGCGTAGTCGGGGCATTGTGGGTCGGGAGGAGCTGGCGGCCATGAAGCAGACGGCGCTGCTGGTCAACACGTCCCGAGGTCCGTTGGTGGACGAGGCGGCGCTGCTGGAGACGCTGAACAGCGGCGCGATCGCGGGCGCGGCGCTGGACGTCTTCGAGCCCGAACCGCTGCCGGCGGATAGTCCCTGGCGCACCACGGCCTGGGGCAAGGATGGCCGCAGTGAGGTCTTGCTGACGCCGCACACGGGGTACGCGGATGAACAGATCCACGGGTGGTACCAGGAGGTCGCGGACAACCTGGAGCGGTGGTTGAATGGCCAGGAAATGACCGTCCGGCTGAATTAGTGTTCCGTCTATCTATCGCAAACAGACTAAGAGTTCTTAGACATCTGACGATGACGCTGTCTCCAGCTTTCTTCAGAGTTACCTAGGTAAATCCAATTCCACCTGCCGCTATTACGTGATGGAGTCATTCACCGACCCATGACCAGCCCCGGACGTAAGGCCGTGGAATTGAACCTCGGTCGTTCCCGCGGATCCCATTCCTTTCCTTTCCTTTACTGCCCGCCTGCCAACCTTGCCTTTCCCCACTACCCCGCGCCCATATAATGTAGCCCCTCTGCTCCAAGAGTCGTCACAATGGCCTCTTCTCAACGAATGTTTCCTACTGTCCTTGCATAGACTTCCCCAAATACTACACCCACCTCGACCATCATCCCTCCCCACATCAAACCAACCCAACAATGTCCACCACCACCACCACCACCACCACCACCACTACAACAACGAAAGAACAACCCCCCGCATCCCCACCCACCCACCCAACCCTAATCCACGTCCACCGCAGCCCCATCCCCTTCGCCAGCGGCGCCTACTCCCTCGTCTCGCTGCCGGCGGGCTCCCTCTTCTGCAAGATCACGGGCACGACCCCAGCCCAAAAAGCGTACACCTCCGTGCAGACGGCGCGCGACGCGCACATCGAGCTCAACTCCGACCTCGTCTACTGCAACCACTCGTGCGCGCCGACGGTGGACTTCGACATGCACCGCATGGAGGTGCGCGTTGTGGCGGACCGCGACCTGCAGGCCGGCGACCCCTTGACCTTCTTCTATCCCCAGTCGGAGTGGGAGATGGATCAGCCGTTCCAGTGCACGTGTGGGGCTGGTGCGCGGTGTCGGGGCGTTATCGATGGGGCGAAGAAGATGGAGGCTGGGGTGTTAAGGGAGTATTGGTTGAATCCGCATATTGAGGAGATGGTGAGGGAGAGGGAGGAGGCGGGGTCGGTGTCAGTGTCGGTTTGAGTTGATGATGGATTTTAGAGGTGGGATGGGTGGGTAGGTGTTTTGGAAATGATAGAGATAGATAGAGTTGTATAGATCGGGGAATAGATGAGATGAGTGAGTTATGGCTGTTTCCTCTATTTCTGATTCTGGGTGTGCTGTTGTAGGGTTCTGCATTCTATGGATCATGTTTAAGATGTTGTCGATATCAATCCTGGAGTGGTACGCAGCAGGCGATTGTAGGCTGGCCATCCAGTGAGTGCAGCTCCCCTCTAGAGAGAATGATAATAGCTACAAACCATAACATTCATACCGTCAAACACAGCAATCGTATTCCGACGCGCCCCGCCAAATGCAGCAGCCTACGCATCGACCAAAATGCTATATACAGTACAACAACCTCCGATCCGCTGCCACCTTCACAATCCGAACCCTCACACCACGCATCCCCAAACCCACACCCAGTCAACCCACCCTTCACCACTCTTACCTAAAAGCAACCAAGCACCCAACTAAATACTCCTCCAAATCTCCCGCAACGACACAACCGTACTAACCACCATCCCCACCCCAACCCCCAACGGCCCAACCCCCATCCACCCAAGATAAGTCCCCGGAATCAGCAAATCGCACCCATCAACGACCACCCTCTTGAGGAGCGCGGACGTACTTGCAGCAGCCCCAGCCCTCCCCTTCACCTTTCCAGCACCAGCACCAGCACCAGCACCACCCCGCCTCCCTTTCTTCGGCCCCTTAGCCACAGAACCCGCACCCCCAACGCACCACTCCCAGAACGCCCCAAACAGCGACAGCGCCAGCGCATAGTACCAGAACTTGAACGCCTCGACAGTCACCGTCTTCGCCCACGGGACGGGGTAGATTTCCGCGACGTGGAGCTTTGCGTCATGTTAGTTAATCCACATCCACCCTCGAGGGATTGCCGAGGAAACGGATAGGGCATAGAAGAATCTGGGTGTCAAGCAACCCGCGGAGACAACAAAGATAACCACCCCGACATGAATCACGAGCCAAGAGACTCCAATCAGGGTAAAGAAGGGTAAGCAACAGAAGGAGGTGAAAGGGCAACGCACCAACGTCAAATCCTCGAGGAGGAAATACACCCCGAAGCAACTCCACTTCGCGACCTCTAGCAACCACAGGAACCCCGTGGGCGAGGTAGTAGTAGTAGTGTGGTTGTTCTTGCGGGGATTAGGGGCATCTTGCCCGAGGAGCCCGGAGACGCGGTTGAAGCAGTCCAGGAAATTCCAAAAGCGGATACAGCGGCGGGCTGTGGTCATAATTCAGTATTTGTTGGCAGTTTGGTAGGGGTCTAAAGGAGAGGCAGGGGGGGGCGGGGGAACGAACTCAATGCTAATTGGGCTTTAGCGGCTGATACTCGTTTGGTCGTGATGCTGTCCAGAGAGCCGATTTCCAGTGCCACGAGGCATAATGCTTGGATTAGACGGAGGGTCTTTTCGTAGCCTGTGTTGAGGCGATAGAAGCGCGAGAGGCGGTCGAGCATTGGGGTGAGTGTTGGTGGTGCAGGGGTGGAATTAAGATTAAGATGGTTATTCTAATAGATAATGGGAGGGATGGACGAAGGGATTGAGTGGGTGGCAAACTTATTTACAGAGATTCATTGAAGAAGTGATGAAAGAAAATGAGCAATCGGCACTGTTCACCCACCCAGATCAGATACGCGTTAGCGGATCAAGCTATTTGATACGGCGTCTGCTAGGCTAATTAATTACTGGCGATATCGGGATCGCGCATCCCGCTTATCTACATTCCTCGCATTCCACTGCATATTTACTGGCCCCGTTGGTGAAGAACTAACAATACTAGTTACCCGCTACACACAAGAACGCTGGTTTAAAAAGGTCACGCTGGAACTACCGTCTACCGTCCCTTTCCGCCAGAGATGTCCTGTCCCAGGCGGTATCCGCCAACCTTCTCCCACTCGACCTTCTGCCGTGTAATGGGCAACTGTCTGCGCAATCCCTTGAACGATCCTTCAGCCATCTGTACGAAAGCCCGGTTCAAGTCTTCTTGGTAGTCCCGCTCTGCTCCGGCAATGCGCGAGACGATGGCCCCCGCATCCGAAGACGTCACGGACAGGCTGATCGGCTTGGCCGTGTTGAGCGCCACGTTTCCATCCTCATAGTAGTGCACATCCACCTGGATCTTACCCGAGATCGTGGTCGACTCCGACGAGACGGGAACGGTGTAGATCGAGCGGAAGCGACCGTTCCTGGTATTTCCGGTTAGAAAGCGAGCCTTGGCGGTCGGACAGTATGAATGTATCTCACCAGAAGTTGTTAGGGGAGTAGCGGTTGGCTACAAGGACGATAGCGACGGCGCTATCCTCCTCAATTGGGTAGACACCGTACGAGCAATTCCGATAGTGTTCGAGGGCGTGGGCGCCAAGAGACTTGAGGAGAGATTTGCTGTGTCGCGACGGGTTAGCGCTGCACTCCAAATCACATGGCCCAGAATGCAGCTCGAACTCACATCAAGTCGGCGTTCTGCGACTCGAGAACATATGATTGCGCAGCGGAGGCTTCCTACAGTGATACCACAAGTTCAGCCGTCAAGCCACCCCACCACGCACAATGCAGTGACCAACCTGAGTGACATGGTCCACCTCAAAAGACGTCTGGCTCTCCACATCAAAGTATCGGTTCCCTTCCAATTTGTTGTATTCGGAGATCAAGACCTGTGAGCACGCTGTCAGATCGTACTCCATTCAGGGGTATCACCGACGCAGCCGCACCTCCTGACTGGCGCCTGGAAGCTTCACGGTGGCCAACTGTGTCTCATTGTAGCGCTCGAAGGCCGGGGCCAGAGAGGGGATAATATCGGGGCCGTCGGAGGTCAGGGACTTGACATCTGTTCTTGTTCAGTTCTGGGCTGGTTGCCGTGGGGGGTGAGATGCGGGGTGACGACGTGGGACGTGACGGGAGTAGGGACGGGATGCAGCAAGGACTGGGCGTACCTGCGACAACATCTGCAAGCTATTTCAAGTCAAGGTTAGCTTGGGCAAGTTCACCATAACAGGTGGATTGAACTCTTGTGGACTGGGGGGTTGTCCTACCTCTCCGGGCGGGGCACCCTCGATGAAAGAGGATGCGATGTCAACGGTGGAGGCCATGGGGACTAGGCAATTATTATACAAGGTGTGAAGCTAAATTGCAGGGAGGTAGTGGTTTGAGAGGTGAACAAGAAACAATATGCTCGCCAGCGTGCAGGTGGGATGAATGCAACTGCCTGATAATTAGATCATGGACAGCTCCCCGATGTCAACACGGAGGTCTAGCGCGATAACCGCCGGGGGGTCGCACGTGGCCACTGAGAGCCAGCGTTGCGGCTGTCGATACCAATCAACAAGGTGATGTGTTCAATAAACATAAGCAGTGATTTCTGTCGTTACAACTCATACAAGCTCAATATGGCCTTCCTATATGTGTTTTTTCAAAGTCAATAATAAACAATCATCGAGGCCTCGCTAAAACTCAGCTTCGTTGCTTCATTCGTGCCTGTGGTTTCAGGCATCAAACGGCACGGGGTAAAGGTAACTCCCATCTCCGCTCTTATCGACCCGGCGATGACTCGGACTAGCATCTCGATAAGCCTCGTCTTGTCTTCCCCTCACCTCGCTGATTAAAGGTCAAATTACACCAAGAAAAAGCGCTTATCCGGTGATTTAGCCTGTCTAATCATTCGGTACTACCCGCAGATTCGATTGGCCCGTTGCAGCACAGCTGTTTGCCCCTCCAAAACTTTTCCTGAAGACGTCTGCTGTCCCAGGTATTGCCACAGCAAGCGGCATCAAAATTGCTTGTCCTACTGCCTGGCGAAGATTTGCTCAGGTCAATCAGCCGGTTTTTGGCTTCTGGAGACTCTCAGAATCTAACAATTCGGCCATGTAAAAGGATCACCGGTCGGATGCCGCGCAAGAAGGCTGCAGACCGCGTGGGTCCGGTCAAGACCCGAAGTCGTGGCGGCTGTAAAGAATGCCGCGCGAGTCGAGTTCGCTGCGACACGAAGAAGCCAATATGCACTCGGTGCTTGGAGAAAGGCTTGGTCTGTACGACTCAACTAGTGCTCAAATGGGAATCCGAATTCTTGAGCCGTGGCCTCGCCTTTGGCCGAGCCGGCGTCTGGAGTAAGGCCCGGGCTACCGGTGGGCCTTCCCCAAAGCCGTCGCCCGGGGCATTGCCCTCTACCTTCATTGACGATCAGGAATGGTGTCCTGTCCCGCTTATAGAATCGTGGGGCTTTGTCAATAGCGGGGTCGCAACATTTGATCAGCCATACGAAGTCGACGTTGCGTGCGACGAGCTGAACGCCCTGATCGTTCGCGACAAGGGCTATCACCACTTTCCACGCTATGTCAGTGATATTAGTCTCGATTCGCCGCTTTCGATGAACGTGCTGGATACTTCGTTCATTCATCCGGAGCCTGTCGGACTATCTCCCTCGTTGTCATTGTTTCCGCCCATGTCTGCATCCGAGGATCGATTCCTCTTTGACTACTACCTTCAACAGGTGTGTCCTCGGACCACCGCAAGCTCTAAGCTCTCGTCGCCCTTCGCGTCGATTATTCTGCCCTTCTGCTTGTCCGCGTCTCCGCTCATGTTTACTGCGATACAAGCTCTTGGGGCCTGTCACTGGGCACGCTTTGATTCTACGTACAGTGTCATTGGGCTTCGGCTCAAAGCACAAGCATTGCGGGGCCTGCGTCACCGGCTTGCAACCGAAGGCCCTTTAATATGCTCCGGAGACCCTGAGGTGCTAGCTATTATGATGATGTTGTGTCTCTATGAGATTGTCGACAACTGCGATCAACGTTGGACCATTCATCTCAAGGGGGCCAAGGATCTGATTCGTCTTCGCAGACAGCGACAGAACTCTTCCCTTGCGACATCCCGCGATACCCTGGACTCTGTGTCTGCCTTTGCGGAGCTATTTTTTGCATTCCAGGATGTCATGGGCCGCACTGCATGCGGGGAAGAAGTGAGCTTTGGAACGGATTATTGGCACGAAAACGAACGGAACATCGATCTATGGATGGGATGTAGTCCTGAGTTGGTCTCTATTCTGTCTTCGATCACGGAAATGAGCCGGACCAGACGGAGTTTGACCACCCATGCAGCCCGGGCATCCTTCTCGCAAAGGGCAGCGTCCTTAGTGCGCAAGCTCGAGAACCTTGTGCAAGAAGTCAACGATGACGACGACAGCAACCTCGAATCAGCTGCTGAGCTGAAGCGTCTTGCAGCCGTTTTATACCTTCATTGCGCCTTGTATGGGGCGTCTCCATCCACGCCATTAGTGGTGGGCTACGTTCGGAAGATCTTACGGCTTGTGTCGGACCTACTCGACTCGGGCTCGCTGGTGAGCATGACCTGGCCTGTTTTCGTGGCCGCAGTTGAATTGGATCCAGGCCAGGATGAGGTTTGGAGAGACAACCGTGGTGAGACGGTGGTCCACGGACGGCCCTTGGTCTTGCGGGCATTAGCCGCGATGGCGGAGTCCAGCGTTTCCAACGTTGCCCGGACTCGAGCGGTCATTGTCAAGGTTTGGCAGGCACGAGACAGCGATATGGTCAAAGGCTCGCCTGTAGATGCCTCGGATGATATTCAGGGTTGCAACGACTGGGAGTGGTATGTTGCACCGATAAGCAACGCGATGAGCTTGGCATGAGGCGCGATTGGAGCTGTCTGCCTATGATGGGCACGACCTTGGAGGAGTTACTTTGTAGGATAGTGGTGGCTTTTCTTTTCTTTTCTTTTTTTGTTTGGCAGGTGTTTTGCGGATGGATGGCTTCAGTGCATATACCTGGTTAGAGTTAGTAGTTAATGTGATCATGGATGTGATCGGACACTGGGATGTTCAGGGTCCGGCTGAGGCTTTCCAGTTAGAGGCGGGGCAGACTGGGTGTGATTCGCCGGATTGGGGCAAGTTGAACGTCAGCGCGCCGATCCGAAACCAGAACGCGCCCAGCATTTCAATTCCCATTCACTCTCCGAGGTTCCAGTCCCGATCGCCTTGTCTCGCCTGCCGCCCGTGAATCTTCCTTATCCTTATTCCCTGGTACTTCTTTTTTGCATATATGAGTCTATGATCCTACAGCGTTACATCCATCGAGAACATAACCAAAAAGACTCAACTAGTCCTCAAACGCTTGTCTCTCCACCTCGAACCGACCGAGCCCCCTTCGCCCTTTCAGCGGCATTACGTCGATCTGCCCGAGTACGAACGGACCTGACGGTGCTTCTCGAAGAATACCCGCCACCAGATCGATTGTCACCATGATTCCTCTCGTCGAATGATTACAGCTGCAGCATTGACACGTGTTTGGAAATACTCATCGCTACTATGTCATCATCGCAAGCCCCTTCGAGCTTGTCGCACAGCCTGGCCATACCTTTTGCGAGTCGGCTGAGCGAACAACTGTCTCAGCGGACCGAAAACACTAAATCAGGCATCGACACCGACCATGCGGTCGACAGGAGCAGGTCGCTAGGACCCCCTCTACGCCCATCGCCGGCCTCACGCTCTCTCTCCGACGCTGCAAAGCCGGTTTCCGCGACCCCCCACCATCCCATCGATTCCCGACCTCCTAGTAAGGATGATTCTTCGCTTTCATCCACCCCGGAGACCCCTCATCGACCGTCTATGCACAGTTTTCCCTTGAACCTGCCCTCCAAAACACCCGGCTCCAGCTCCTTGTCCGCGTCCAACCGTGCCCCGCTTTCGCCAAAGCTCGATTCCTCCCAAATCTATAGCTCGCCGGGCTCAGTGCTGCCCCGCCGCTCACGAGGCCTCGACTTCTCCCGTGCCTGTACCAACCTTCACCATTCCACACTTGCTGAAGCATCGCCAGACTCTTCGCCTACGGTCGGTGGGCGCGGAGTAAATATTCCACAACGTCGCGGGTCGTTGGGATCGGCATCCGCTCATCCGTTCTCAACCTCGAACCCCGGCGACCGAACCGCGATCTCGAGCTCCGTCTCAAGCATCAACATGATGGAGTCGGACACCAGCAGTAGCGAGGAGGATGACGAGCCCATGATTGGCGATCGCGACGACTTCATGATCACCAACACACCGCAAGCGAAGAAGTTTGGAGGCGGAGTGAGCCCTTTCGCGGTGGGCAATGTGTCTAGTCCCGGAAGTGAATGGATGGGTGGCTATTCGCAGGCGGCGGCTAGCCTTATGAGCTTTCAGCGTGCTCGTTTCCGGAAAGGACGCAGTCGGCATAGTTCCAGCAGTGGCAGCTCCAAGCAGAGTCCTGGTCCATTGTCCCCTCCAGTGATGAAAAGTATCGAGAATCCAAACGGCGGTTATTTCGCTGCCCGAGGCAGTGTCTCGTCGCGACGGGGAAGTCTGAGCTTGGGGACGCGGGACTTACGCTTGTCAGACGTCAGTGATGAAGGGGAGCATCGCGGCGTGCGGGGGCAGAGTCCCAATGCATCGAACTCCGAGGGCGGGCCTCTGGGAGTTATACGTCGTGCTGTTACTCGCCGAGGCAGTCTACTGGTAGGTGATTCGGCATTTGATGTAGAGAGACCAGCTACTAACGGTGTATTCCAGCCAAAAACTAAGACTTTCGCCCGCATCAGAGCCGCGTTGATGGAAGAAGGCGCTCCGATCGACAGCGAAGCCAAGCGTGAAGCGGAAGTGATTCGACAAGTTCGAGAGAGTGAACCCGATGTACCGCCCAAATCACCATCGGGAGCTCTTCCATCTCTCGAATCCTTCATGCCATCCACCACCCCACACCTTCCCGAAGACCGACCTGAAACTGCCGGGGCCACCGCAGCCACCCCCGACGAGCCCAAGTTCAGTGACCAAGCCCATCGGAACTCGGGCGGGATCAACTTCTGGAACTCGTTCGACGAGCGATACCGCACTCCGCCGCCCCCGCCCCGCCAGCACGGGGCCTCCTCGGTCTCCGAAGACGACCTACCCATGGACTTCACCCCGTCCACGACGACCACCCAGAATCACAACCACCACGAGTTCGCCAAACCGCACGAACGACCCGGGTCGCGCAGCGAAGCCTCCTCGTCGCACCCCACGCAGACCGGCTTCCTCGGGGAGCAGATCAAGCGCAAACGCCGGCGCGACGACGACTTCGACCCCAACCTGTTCAAACGCCGCGCCGTGTCGCCCAGCATGAGCGCACAGAGCAGCCCGATCATGCCAAACTCGCCCGCCGTGAAGGACACCAGCCCGAATATCTGGGGGGCGCCCCGCTCGAACCTGGGGTCGTTGTTCGCCGACCGGCCCAGCGTCAGCGAGCACGGCGCCCGCCCCACGACCAGCGGCCACTCGGGGAATCCCAAACGAGTAGGCTTACAGGGGATGAACGAGACGAACGACGGGCTCATGAACATGAGTATCGAGTAGCTGTTTTGTGGCGGGAAGAATAAGTTGCATTATGCTGGAGAATTGGGGATGTATCCTGTTACATGGTATTTATCTTCATTTAGCGGGTCCTTGCTTTGTTTTCGGTCGTTTTTGCTGGGTGTTTGGGAAAGGCGTTGGCGGATCTTCTCTGGGTTGTTGCGCATGCGGCGCGTCACTTTCAGTCACTAGTATATATACGCCGCAAATATGTACCCGGCAGAAATAATCTCACTACCTCCATCGACCCTCACAATTCCACTAAACAATTTTGTCCTAGTTCGTGCGCAATTAATCCACTGGCCTAACCTTGTGCGTAGTAGACGAACGGACCAAGGTCGCAGGAGGCTGATGGCCCCGGATTATAAGCGCCATCGTCTCGCATGAGGACTAGGTAGGCTCGTACGTAGTCCACGACACGAGCACTTTCTGACACAACTTTTCGCTCCCTTCTAGAAGGATCCCTTCCCCCCCATCATAACCCATGAGGTCCCTCAAACCCAAACCAACTTCGGGCAGATATACATTCAGAAAGTCTCACCCCCAAACCCGCGGCCCAAACGTCGTCTCATTCCCGCGCAGCTCCAACCACGGCGTCCCCTTGCCGTCGACCGTCCCGCCGCTGACGGTATTACCCCACCAGCTGAATGTGAAACCGGGCAGGGTCAGGGCGAAGAAGATAACGATGGCGGCGACGGCGACGCCCGAGTCCAGCGCCGCCGAGAGCACGTAGTTGTATTTGGCCCACCAGTGGGGGCGCCGGTTCTTTATCAACTGTCACCCGTGGACTTTGTTAGTCGTGTTGCGTTGCGTTTCGGTTTCATCTAGGAAATAAAGTGATGAAGAGGTGATGGAAAGGCTTACCTTGTTGAAGATGAAACTCACCACGAAGGCGGTGGAGTAGTTTATCCCGGTCTACGATTCATCAGTATGGGGTATTTCCGGCGACGGGATAGTGGTTCAGATAGTGACAGGGGAGAGGGGGGGTGGGAAAGGGGGACATACAGCAGGAGGCAGATTGCCCGTCCCCGCGAAGAAAATCGGCCAGTGGATGGCTTTCAGAAGTTTCGAGTTGGGGTACTTCTTGCGGGCGAAGAAGGTCAGGATCGGGAGGAGCGCGCCCAGCCAGAAGAAGTGCAGGAGGCCCGAGTACATGGCTCCGATGTTGTAGAGGCGTGCGGGGCCGATGGCTTTCATGGTGTCTTCATCAGTACTTGCGATTCTGCGGGGAGCAGGGGGTTTTATGGCTCGGGGTTCGAGCTTACCTCCCCAGAAGACGGCGCTGTTGTAGTTGACTCGGCCCTGCGGGCAGGTGAAGTTGTCGGGTTGGTCCTCGGAGCACACGTCTTTGACGTGGCCGAGCATCCAGAGGAGGACGCCGTCTATATTTGGGTTAGTTGAAGGGAGAGGTGGTGGGTTGGGAGGGTGGATGCCGTACTCTGGGTTAGGGTGCCGAGGATGCAGGCGATGAGCTGCGCGACGAAGAGGGTCCGGCGCGGGATCTTCATATATAGCCCCAGCTATACGAGGTGTTCCTTAGATAGGTTCGAGGAGAAAGGATGTGTGGACGCACCTTCATGTCTGCTGCGTAGTACATTGCTTGGCTCAAGCCGGTGTACGCGTAGAACTGGCATTATCAGCATAATACCACAACCCTGGCTGGGCTGCTTACCTTGAAAATCAGCAGCACAAGGGGCTTTCCCTGAAGAAGGTATCCGCAGATAATCTCGCCTAATCCCGTCAAGTTGTTGCTGTTCAGATTGGCAATTGCATACACCGTGCCGACGGGAATCACGTAGATAACCGCCAGAGCCAGTGTGATGAAGAGACCCCAGAAGGGAAGTCCCGTGTGCCAAACGTACTGGGTCATGATGGAAAGACCCACGATTACAACCTGGACACGTTAGACAACCGAGACGCACGAATGGCAGTACTGTACGTACCGTGAGCACCGCATACCACCACCAGGGCACATCGGGATATCGGGACAGCAGTCTCGCGTGGATATCCTTCTTGCTCTGGCCTTTGAACGTGCTGATGATGTCTTTCGTATGGTGCAGCAGGACGTGCGTGATCAGGCAGCTCAAGACAGCGAAACCCACTCCATAGCTGAGCGAGAAGGTGACGGGCAGGAAGATGGGGCTGTACGCTTTGTACTTCGCCTCGTCGAACGTCCCGGTCTCGTCCAGGATACGGCTTGAGTTGTAGAGATTGCCAGTGTTGTCGTACGCGTCAGAGCTCGTCAGAGGCAGGTACGCGGTATACCAGGTGTTGGTGTAGTAGAGAATGGGCGCTACCACGGCGAAGAGGCAGAACCAGCCCGCGAATACGTTGGCCTGAGCCCAGAATGGAATAGTCAGCGGTGAAGTATTGTATGCAATCTGGCTCCAGTCGAACGTGGTGGGTAAATAGCCCAGACCGGTCGTCATTCCAAATAGGTTGTTCAATACTTTGTTGTCTAAAGTAGTGTTAGTGGGCTTTGCCGGTTTGGGGGGTTAGTGGCATACGTACTAGGAGCCGCCCAGCAGACAAAGGCGAAAGTACTGAGTCCCGTGAAGATATACCCAGGGAACCAATACCAGCAGAAGCTTCCGATGCAGACGTACAAGAAGAACCTGTATCGAGAGATCTTCCACCCGTCGGCTATAGGGTTAGCTCCACTGTGCAGTGTTTGGAAAAGTGCGACATTGGCAAGTGTTGAAGGCCAGATCTGATGATCACCATTAGCCAGCCCGTGAGACACCAAACTACCCAGCAATACATACCATCTGCGGTGGCTCAACGATATACCGATAGGTCAAGCCAGCAAGACCCAGCCCGAACAATTGCATGGTCAGGGAGAGGAGAATCTGGTAGCCGACTGGGGTCGACATGTTGAGGTACACTTTCTGTGCTTGGATGATCGCACTGGCCTGGTTTGAGTGCTAGCGTCAGTTACCCCTCAAATACAGACTGCCGAGAGCCGAAGAATCCATACCCAAGATTGATTGAAACTGAGATTCGACATGATCGTGATCACCGCATGTTCCTTGATATTGAAATGATGGTCCGGGTTGATATCCAGCTCCCAGCGACCAATTCTGTACTTCATGATGGGTAGAGCCTTCGCGACGGCGCAACCCACCGGATAACTGATAAGCTGCGCCACGAGCGAGGTGATGGTCACACTAGGGTATCGCATGGAGAAGAACTGGTTCACACCAGTGCCGATCTTGGATGACAGTTAGTATACAAGCTAGATCTCAGCGAGGGGGCAGTACATACCAGAGTGAAAACAACGCCAAGGAACCACATTCGAAATGTGTTGACGGGCAGTGTGGGGTCGTCAGTATTCGGCACATTTGCCCGTACCTCCAAGTATGGGGAGTTGTCGGAGTCAATGGTGTATTCGACGGTACTACTCTCGCCGATGGCGATCTCCAAGGCATCGGCACTATTCAAGGGCTTCTTCGAGATGCCATCGCAAGAGGGACTAGGATCCGCACCATAGTTCTCGACATCTGCGCTATGCAGTGTCTCTGACTGGATATGATTCATGAGAGCACGTATTCCAAGCGAGGTGTGATATACTTATCGCTTGAAAGAGCAAACGAGGACAGAAATTAGACAAAGATTGTTCTCTGGAAGAGATTAAATTCTGTGGCATTCCCTTGCCGGCTTTTGTAGCAAGCGGCGACAAACATCGCTCTTCAAGCGACTAACCGGTAGAATTCCATATCGAAGCGATAGATAAGGCACTAAGCGATGCACTCAATGATGCAGCCAGGTGGTAAGGAAATCAGTAGATTAGAGGCTTGTCCTGATAGAAGAAGGCGGCTGAGGCCGATCTCAACGGGATGGACTATAATGCGGAGTCGAAAACGGGGTAAGCAAATTAAGAAGCGCCATTGGACCTGAAAGCAATCCTCAAGCCACGCGACAACATTTGAAAAGTAAGTAAGGTCCAAGCGGACGAATGACAGCGAGCGGCACCGATAAACCCCGGGTATATCTGGCAGGATGCAATGGTCTTTACACATATCAAGGCCAGGGGCGATCAAGCTCGTATGATAGCAATGGTTGGTCTAGCCCAGGGTTAATCACTTTACCTCATGCACTTGACAATTGACACCATCGTTCCATGCAAGACCAGGCCTTTGATCTGGTCGCATCTATGCTTTGTCGTAGTCTCGTTGGGCCGAGGTCGGCGATTAGGAGCGGCCCCGCCCATCGGAGCTGCAGCCGGACAGAAGCCAGGGAAGCTTTTATCATATCGCTGCACAGTCCAATGCGGGGAACCTTAGGTAAACTATGCGGTGTTAGAGACTTGGAGGCATATCCGCTCTTATCGATAAGCATCGCGTGGACCTTCCTGGCTATACGGTCACCCAGAAAATGGCAATATCTCATGATCCAGCGACTTGGCGTCTTGTGTCCTTATAAGAGTCAGTCTGACAGTGAACCAGCCTGATCTTATCACATTCATTCTTACCTATGAATACGATAAGTCGAGAGGCAGTTCTCTTCGCCGCATAAACCTCTCCAGAGTCGCCACATTCGCCTTCTTATCCCGTCACATACCACGTCCGAGGCCACCACACCGCACGTCCACGATGGTCACGAACGACTCCTCCATCCTAATTGTCGGAGCAGGCACATGGGGCTGTTCCACCGCCCTTCACCTCGCTCGCAGAGGGTACAAGAATGTCACAGTCCTAGACCCCTACCCCGTCCCGTCTGCCATCTCGGCTGGAAACGATGTGAACAAGGTCATTTCTTCAGGGCAATATAGCAACAGAAAGGATGAAATTGAAGTGAATGAGATGCTCGGCGAGCAGGCCTTCCAGGGCTGGCTGAACGACCCCCTCTTCAAGCCATACTACCACGACACGGGCCTGCTAATGTCGGCTTGCACGCCAGCTGGACTGAGCCGCCTGGGTGTCAAGGTCAGACCCGAGGCAGATCCGAACCTCGTCGAAATGACTCAAACAGAGCAGTTCCAGAGTCTCGCACCCGAGGTGCTCAAGGGCGGTTTTCCCGGCTGGAAGGGATTTTTCCTCCGCTCCGGTGCTGGCTGGGCCCATGCTCGCAATGCTCTCGTGGCCGCTGCGAGAGAAGCACAGAGACTTGGTGTAAGATTCGTGACCGGCAACCCGGCAGGCAAGGTGATCACGCTGATCTTTGAGAACAACGACGTCAAAGGCGCCGTCACAGCCGACGGCAAGATCTGGCGGGCGGACCAAACGATCCTTTGCGCTGGTGCCAACGCAGGGCAATTCCTGGACTTCAAAGATCAACTGCGTCCGACCGCTTGGACGCTGGTTCATATCGCGCTGACGCCTGAAGAGCAGCCGCTCTACAAGAACATGCCCGTTATTTTCAACATCGAGAAAGGATTCTTCTTCGAGCCGGATGAGGAGAAGGGAGAGATCAAGATCTGCGACGAGCATCCCGGCTACACCAACATGATCCAATCCTCGGAGGGCAAGTTGCAGAGCCTTCCCTTCGAGATGACGCAAGTGCCTCTGGAGTCCGAAAGGCGAGTACGGGCGCTTCTCGCGGAAACGGTACCTCAACTTGCAAATCGCCCATTCAGCTTTGCGCGCATCTGCTGGTGTGCCGATACTGCAAATCGCGAGTTTATCATTGATCGCCATCCACAACACAAGTCCCTCATTCTGGGTTGCGGCGCTTCAGGCAGAGGTAGGTTCCCTGAATCGCATTTCCTTGGAAAGGGTGCAAGTGCTGACTATCATCATGACTTCAGGCTACAAATATCTGCCATCAATTGGAAGCTTGATCGTCGACGCTATGGAAGATAAGGTTCCGGCGAAGGTCCACGAGCTGATTCGGTGGAGTCCAGAGATTGCCTCCAACAGAGATTGGAATGACACGCTGGGCAGATTCGGAGGTCCAAACAAAGTCATGGATTTTCATGATGTGAAGGAATGGACGAATGTAAGATACAGGGATATATCCAAGTTATAGTGTGGCCAAGTAGAGAAGAGACAATTCCAAAATTTGTAATCCGAGGAATAGGATTTATCCAAACATGCAAGATACAAATCAGTGGTAGACAGGATCAGTGTAGCAGAAGCAAATAAAAACCATGTACCGCCCCTACATAGCTCTAGGGTATCACAGAAGACGACGACGAAAAGCAAGTAAAAAGAATATGATTACCGGCCACGAGGCGACGTCGCCTCGGCAAGTGCATAGGACTCCTCTCTAGCTTCCCATTGGCGCGAAGTCGATCCTATCTGCTGTTCTTCATCGTCCGCAATTTTGGAAAAGCCGTCCGAGCCTGAAATCTCTTCTCTCCCGTAGGGCTCGTCGCATGTGACTGAACGCAGGGGTGGGAAATAGCGGCGGTACGAGAATTGGCCCACAAAGAAGCCAAGGATCGAGCCGCACGTAACATCGTAGACGTCATGACGGTAGTCGTCCAAGCGGGAAATTGCAATCATAAGCGCGCACAAGAGCGGTACGAATGCCACCAGACAACGGCATAGGTCGGTCTTGGGTCGGAAGATGCGCATCTGGCCGCACAGGAACCTATGATCCAGGACTGTTCAGCAGCCTTTCATTATATGATGGAGCTTGGGGAAGCTTACAGTGCCAGGTATCCCAAGCCAGCGAAAGAGAAACTGCTGTGTCCGCTGGGAAAGCTTCTCCATCCTTCTTGAAGAATGTGTTCGCTTGACTGCGTGCACACAGTCCATGCGACCAACGACTCTGCCGGGGTTCCCTTCTTGGGAAGGCAGCGCGAAATCAAATCCGGTCGCGGTCGACCAACAGAGTTTTTAATTATATCGGTAATGAGTGATGTCAACATGACAGCGATCAGGAAGCCCAGCAGGGTGACTTGAACTTTGTGAGGGGAGGGTCGGAACGTCGCAGCCCAAACGAGGAGGATCAGGAATGGAATGACTCCGGCGTAGACGATGGACCAGACTAGAGGCCAGTAGTGAGCACACGAGCGTAGCTATCGCTTGGGAGTATGGCAGATCCTACCGACAGGGACTCTCTCGACGACGGCGAAAGGATACTGGATTGCCTTGTTGTCCAAGGAGAACATGCGGTGGAAGGGAGTCACAAATAGTTGTATCTATACATGCGCAATCAATTTAGCCTTCAACAAGGTAGTCACCGGAACGAAGCGTGTGCCTACCAATATCCAAAAACCGATAATACACGCCAGGGCGATAGTGTCCAGCACAGGGTACGATCGCTGATATAGACGAGACATCGTGCCGGTTAATTCGCTCTGGTGAGTCAGAGGGGATGCTGTACCAGCAGCAAAACCATTGCGAGACATATTCAAAGCATTCAACTAGATGAAAGTAGGCCTTGCAAGGCCGGCAAAACGTCAGCGCCGGAGAGGGTGGGTGTTATGGAAGTAAATCATAGAGGAGGATCAGCGAAGCGGAGATGGAAAGTGGCCGCGCTGGCCGCCTGCTGAGCACGGACCAACTCCGCCCGGTCTCCGCACTCCGCCGCCTCAACCGAACTTGACTCTTCCGCTCCATCTGAATCCTAGACGCAATCGTCGAAACAAGTGAGCCTTTGACAATTGTCCCTGTGATTGGAATACCTCACAGTTAGAATGGCCGAAGCAGGGCAACCACGGACTCTTACAACGGCCTTCACTCCGCCCCCGCCGTTATGGAAACACTTCACCCCCGACAACATCAAGAGACTGGAACAAATCAAGAAAGAAGCTTCCAAAGGCGAGGATGGCAAGCCGCGGAAGAAGAAATGGACGCCAGCTGAACTCCACGAACTGGATATTCCTCCGGAGCTACGATTCCTCGTACCACCAGCAATCCCGACGTCCGGACATTACAGCGTTTTCGGGGAGCTTCAAAGTGTTTGTCCTCCTACCCCCCGCAGATGATGGGCCTGCTACTCATAACCATCTAGTTGTCAACAGCACTACCATCGCTCCAAGAGCAAGGAATCACACAGCTCTACCCCTCCACCCCGCCTGCCGAGAGCAATCAACAAACACCATCCGAACCGACACGACCGCTGAACCACGCATACTATCTACTCAAAATCAGCAAGTCCCTCCTATTGAACTTCCTAGAATTCGTCGGCATCCTCTCGGTCGCTCCGGAGCAGTTCGAGGCCAAGGTGGAAGACCTGCGCAATCTGTTCATCAACGCCCACCACCTCCTGAACCTCTACCGGCCGCACCAGGCTCGCGAGTCGCTGATTATGATGATGGAAGAACAATTGAACCGAACGAAGCAGGAGATCGAAGAAATGGACAAGCTCAAGGCAGAAATTACTGGAGTTCTGGAGCGGCTCGAGGCGGACGGCCAAGCTGCGCAAGCGTCAGCGCAGGCCGACAAGGATAGCAAACAAAGCCTGGCCACAGACGAGCAAGCCGTTGAGGACGCAAAAATGATCTGGGATCTCTTGGACGAGAAAATCAGTAGCTGAGCATTGTCTTCAAGATTGCTCTTCATCATTCTACGTTCCGCAGCTTGGCGTTACTGTGCTAAAGAGCGCGAATTAACCCCAAACCAGCTCCAATGAGAGACAAACTGGCAAAATGATCATAACCCAAGAACTAATGGTCAAAGCCACAAAGTTCCACCGAGAACTTCAGGTTATGCCGGCCAGCGCGACCTGCTCCTCCGCGCTGAGCGGAGCTACCCACATCAACCCCGGGCCGTCATTGTTCCTCGTTTAATCACGTGTCGCACTAATCCCGCGCCTTTAAATTCCTCCTCATTTTTTCTCCCGCCGTGATTCTTCATGATACCTCCTCGGTCAAGGTTTTATGATGGCCTACTGCAGCAATGCAATCAAATGAACAATTTCAAACCGTTGTTTTTTGTTGACAGCATTAATGGTAAGTTCTACCAGAACACCCACCCGCATCCTCAATCCTACTATGATGATTTGCGTCTATTTATGTTTCAACCCCATCTGAGAGTACTTGGTACTTTTTGATTACAATTCACGCATCCTTCATTCGCATTCTTCTGAAAATAAGCTTTCAAAAGCTTGTCTTGCCTAAATTTCAGCCATTACTGTCGTTCAAGTTTCTTGGATCGCATCGCTGACTTGTCCCAGTTTCCAGGATCCCTTGCTACAGCATATGGTGATTATAGCTCCAATGAATATGAAATCTTGCATATGAAATCTTGTCTCCTTCCGTAGTTTGTAATAGGTCTCTTGTCGCTTCTTGTAGCAGCGTATATCTAATGATCGCAAAGTGTCATGCCCTAATTGAAGCATGAATGTTTTTGTTCGCTTGCCTCTCTCACTGTTTCTCCACCCCTTATATAGCTGAACCCATTTGAATCGCTAGTCTCCCTTCCTATACATCTACCTAATGTCTATACAAGCACCCTCTAGACAACAGACCCCAATAAAACAACACTCGTGAAGTAAAGCAGTAATGAAACTCCTACCCGCGCAAACCAGCGCCTCACGCCGTACCCCTCTAACAGAAATATCTTCAAGAGATAAGAAGCAAAACAAAGAAGAGAAAAGAAAATTAAGAAATTACGCAGCGGCCCGCTCATTCCAGGCCTTCTCGATCGCGCAGCTGGCGAGTCGATACAGCTCCGTGACGAAGTCGGCCACCATCTTGATGTGCACGATCTCGTTGACGGAGGCGGGCTGGCGCAGGAAGATCCGCTCCATCATGCCCTTGGCTGTCTTGAGGAGGCCCAGGTCCTTAGTGGCCTGCGGGTCGGTGGGGTTCTGGAGGATGTTGCAGAAGATGGCGAGGAGGGCGGACATGGGGTAGAAGATGAGGGTCCTGTTGGGGGTTAGGGATTGCTTTTAGCGCCGAATGCTGACTGGAGAAGTAGAAGAGACAGGGGGAAAGAAAGGCCGGGTGGATTGGCTGAGTGGGTGGGGGAAGGGGTCTAACTAACCAGAATATACCCGCGACCAGAACATGTTCCGACGCCTGGAGATACAGCAAGGTGGAGCGGCTCGCTTCCACCGAGAGGGCCAAACTGGAGTTCACGCCGTCCATGATGCCAAACTGGTCCTTCGTCCAGGACTGGCAGCGGCTGCTGGCCTGGTGGATGATGGTCATGCACAGGTGGTAGTTCAGCCGCAGCATCACCTTGTGCATGTTGGCGTCCGGGTCTGGGGTTTCCTGGGAGAAGGAGAGCGTGGGGCGCCACTGCTGCGGGATCGAGAGCCGCCAGCGCTCGAGCTCGTCGTCCAGCTCGCGGATCTCCTTCAGGAGCTCCGCGTCCGTCTTCTTGAGCGCCCGGAACGAGTACAGCGTGCTGTACGCCCGCGACTTGATGATGCTGAGCCGGATGTCCACCGGATAGAGCGGATCCTCGTCCGTCTTGCGGATAGGCTGCATGCAATCGACGCCGTGCGCATGTAGGACGTCCATGTAGTTGGGGGGCAAGGTCAGGTCGCAGTTGTCGTCGCTGAAGGTCTGCGGCTGCCCCGTCCGCAGCGAGACGTCCTTCTCGAACGTGTAGCAGAGCCAGAAGATGCGCCGGATGTGCTGCTGGGTGCGCACGCTGGTCTCGTCCGGTAGTGACGCCAGGTATTCGGGCGAATAGCAGAAGGCCGTATGACCGCCAAGTATGAAGATCATGCGAGCGGCCAGCCCGCCGTAGTAGTTTGCGGATTGTAGGTTACCGGTCACAAGCTCGTACACTGCCTACGTATGGTTAGCAAACTTTATGCACTTCCTTGTCTCCTTTATAAGCAGCAAATAACAGCGAGAGACACATTGACAGCATCGCTTGCTTGGGTAGATGATGGGAGAAGCAGAATGCACAGTCCCGAAGGCATGGACTTACCAGCATAGTAATCACTTGCAGTCCTTCCAGAGAACTGGTTTCTTGCAAAATCTGAGGCACGAAATACTGCGCTTTGACAATATAAGCCTCGTTATCTATGGGAGCCAACTCTCTTTGTAGTTCATACTCAGGGGTTGGTATGAGACTTGCAAAAGCCACGAATGCAAAGATAGAAGCTCGAACGCTTGCCCTCTCATGTGAGATTTGGCCATGTGGCTGCTCGTATGCTGCATTAATGGTTTCCATGTACAGAACCGGATCCAAGACCGGGAAGATCAGCCGCATCAGCGACGTGGAGAACATGTTGAAGTAGCTCTCGACAATGTGCCGTTCTGGGAGCTCGAATGCGTTCTCTGTGGTGGAGGTCATCATCAGAGCATCGTAGTTGAACGCTCTCTGTCGTTCCCACGGGGTCTTAACAGAACTGACTAGCCTGCTGAATGAGACATTCTGGCCCGTCTTTGCCTGAACCCATTGCCGTCCCTCAGGTAGCAATAAGGGAATACCGGTGAACAGATTGAACACCCCGAGCTCGCGCCCTGCAAAGTGCAGAGCCACCGATGACGAGCCCGAGTTCTGCTTGTAAGGCGTAGGTGACGCGTCAGAGGATAAGTCTGGAGCACTGCTTGGTGCACGAATCTGAAAACTGTCGTCTCTTACGGCAAGGGCTGCTTGACATTAGTCCACGAAGACAACAGAGGCTTTGTTCGGTCAAACGAACCCGATTCTTTCATCAACTTGCTGCCCAGGAGCTTCTCTATCCGCTCAATTCGCTCGGCAAGATCTGATGACTCTCCCGGACTAGCATTCCTACGATTGATTAGGTTTCCGCGGCTCAAATGGGTTTCTTGTGGATTCGGTGGCCATGCATACCCCCTTACAGGTTTGGCGATCTTCCGCTTCCTCACGGTCACCCTTTCAAACGTGCACGGAATGTCATGATGACTACACCAGTTACATTGCGGCTGTGCGCCGTCACATTTGATCTACAGGGTGTCAGAGACCAGAGAGTGCAGTCCAGGTGGCGAGGCAGACCTTTCTTTTGAAGCACGAGTCGCAGGCCCTCGCGATACGTTTCCTAGGCCTCCGAGTTTCCTCGTCAGACTTCTCTGCCGAAGTCGGCGAAGGATACATTTAGCAAGATGTTTTGAATACTTGAAGCAGCCTATAAGTGTTGTTGCAATCTATAGAGGTCTGATATGCTAGAAGAAAAGGTTGCACAACCACAGAAGATCGGATGAGGAAACAGGGACTTCCGACGGTTGCCGCTGACAAATCTCCTCGTGGCAAGTTTTCGCTGCCTTGTGTGCTTTGTAAGCGGACCGCAACTTGAGGGCTCGGCCATAAAAAGAACCTCAATGTATATGGATTGTACTCAAAGCCATACGAAACCTTTTGGGAATGATTCAAATAATTATTAAGATAAACAGGGCCAGGCTAAAGACAAAGAAAAGTGTACGAACAGCCCACTTACCCGCAATAGCACTGTGCTATTCTATCCCTGCAGCTCCTAGCCCCCGCCAGCGTTTTCTAAGTCTCAGATGTTCAGACCCCCGAGCCAATTTTTCGTCCAGAAGTGTCATTGCGGTCACTCGATGCCTAATCGTCGGCGAAAAGACTGCCACTCATGTACTTAAACCCAGTATCACAAGCGACCGTGACGACCGTCTTGCCCGGCCCCAGCTCTTTAGCTAGTGCAATAGCAGCGACAACATTCAACCCCGTCGACGTGCCCACCAACAAACCCTCTTCTCTCGCAAGACGCCGACACATCGCACGGGCGTCTTTCTCCGGGATGCCGCGCGCCTCATCATAGAGCTCCCGATCCAAGTGCGCGGGCATGTACCCGAGCCCAATCCCATCCACCTGGTGCGTGCCAGCGCGACCTTCGGTGATGACGGGAGAAGACGCCGGCTCCAGCACGACCACGCGCGTCCGGGGCCATTGGGCCTTCAAGACCTTGGAGACGGCCATCGCCATGCCCGCTCCGCCCACAGCGCCGCAGAAGGCATCGATGCCGTTGGGAAACTGCTGAAGTAACTCTCTGCCGATGCCCTCGTACCCGATCAGAGCGTCGTGGTTGGTGGCCTGGTTCGTGTAGAAGTAGTTATCGCCGGTGTCGGCGATCTCTTGTGCGCGCCGCATCATGGATGGGACCAGATCGGGCGTGATCTGGCCTGAGGGACTATGGATGAGCTCGACCTCTGCGCCTAGGGCACGCATCGTCCGGATCTTTTCCTTGGCGAAGGCGTCGGACGAGACCACGAGGAACTTGTAACCCTTGACGGCGCAGATGAAGGCGAGCGCGGAGCCGGTGCTCCCTCCCGTGGCCTCGACCACGGTCATTCCGGGTCGGAGGTCTCCGCGGCGCTCGGCCTCCTCGATCATCGACCGCGCCATTCGATCTTTGTGCGAACCGGTAGGATTGCCGGTTTCGATTTTGAGGAAGACGTCGGCATGGTTGTCGGGAACGACTTTGCGGAGGCGGATTACCGGCGTGTTGCCGATCAGGTCTATACTGGAGGTTGCGGGTGCGACGGCCATGGTGCTTGCTCTTGCAGTACGGATACTGAAGTGTGTTGGCTGAGGATTGGGAAACTTCTAGTGGTCGAGGCCATAGATTCCAATAAAACAAGCTCGTACTTGTAGATGGATCAGAATGAGTCACGCCGATGTATACCCGAGTTTGTTCCACTTGTTAATCAATAAGAGCGCTAAATAAGGAAACGCGAGGGTCTCGACCCTCGAATCGAACATGAGAATGAGTGTGCGGAGACAAGCCAAGAAAGAGTCATGCCAAGACTAACCGCGGAAAAGTCATCACAAACAGCTGCAGATAATTCCACCCCAAAACAGAAAACAGTAGAAGATATAGGTCATCAAATGGACCCTGTACTGTACAAGCTTATACATATACTGAGTTCTTGTTCATGAAACGGCATTCACAAAAAATGCAGTATGGCACGGCCGATATGTTGCCCCCTACCTGACTGGATTGGAGTCAAATGAGCGCTCAAGCACCTTGACAAGTGCAGGGGGAGTCGAGGTATCTATAGGCCAAGTCGTTGCCGACTGGTGCAGAGGTGTCATGTTACTGCTGACATTGGTGGCTGTTGTCTCATTCCCAATTGTTGGAGGACTATCCGATACCTTTTTCGATCTTCTGCCAACACTTTTGGTCTTAGAAGATTTGGTCGGAGTAACGGATGGCTCTTGACCTGGCCTCACTCTGACTTCCCTCCCTTCGCGAGGAGTTGGAGAAGACTTAGGTGTCTTGGTATCGGTTCTCTTTGGAGTCGACGGCGGGGTTTTGTCCGCGGCTTTCTTCCTGTGAGACTTAGTCGGGGTAGTGCATGACTCCTTGACTGAGTCTGCTCTGGCTTTACTCTCTTTGCGAGGGGACTTGGATGCTTCGGTCCCTTCAATCCGGGCTATCTCGCGGTTCGGCACAAATGATATCCAAAGGAGCAATATAGCAGAGACGCCAAGGTCAAAGACTACTCCGAGCGACAATGATAGTGCATACGCCTTGAATATTGCGTTTGACGATGCTGGCATGAGTGGAAAGTGATGTAATATGGCGGGAATGAGAAGCCTCAGACAGATGATTGCCAAAAGGCATCTGGCGGGCTTTGTCAAGGAGTGGGATGCGCGAGTGTCCTTGATTAGAGCAAGGACGGATTGATATTTGTAAGTCGCCGATGTTGGATTGGCCCATGCTTCCCATCCTGCTCGAATACAACAGTCTATTGACTGCGAGTCTGATGTAACGGTCCGGTTGGTCTCGCACGTTTTGCACAAGAAAAGCTTCGAAGGCTGGCTTCCGAACAAGTCCAGTCGGTCTTTCCAGACAGTCTTCAACACCCCTGTACTGGTATATGGCTCATACGTTTGCAGCCATGTCTGCCAAGATTTAATGAGTGCAGACGCATCTGTTTCGTCAGCCTTGAAGTACTCTCTGTGCCTCGTTCCACACCTGCAGACATCGTCAGATTGCAGGTTGTGTAGTTCGATCAAGACCAGTCGCTCCACACATTGGTACCCTCTGAAGGAGCCGGCATGGTTCAATTTCCAGTTTGTGCGCTCGCAACGGCTTTTGTGTTGCTCTCCTCGTTTTTCGGGATCGATCGCTTGGCCGACCTTCACAATGTTGCTGGTTCCGGGCTCTGGATCTGGATTATAGAACGTGTACACATACCCGGGCTGATCGTCACACTTTTTGCTTAGTGCTTCAATCATTTTTTTGATAATCACATCCTGACTGAGATGTTTCACTTGAATCACATCGGGTTCCTCTGTATCGGAGTCGTACTCTGAATCTGAGGGCACTAGGGTTTCTCCCTCTTCACTGATGCTGTCATTCGGGGATGGCAGGCCATAGGACTCCTGACTCTGGTAGAAAGTACTATGCGGCTCAGTTGGCATTTCAGGCGTTTTGTGAGAACGACCGGTCCCTTGCTTTACGCGATTCTGCCATCTTTGATCGTTGATTGGATTTGAATGACCCCTGCGTGTCGGGGTTGCGGCTGTAGGATCTCCTTGTGGTCCGTCAAATGATTCTCGAGGGGCGTTGACGACCAGATCAATCCGAGTCTCTGATGGCAAGCGAGACTTTGTCTGGTCATCACGAACAGGATTCTTGTTCCCGGAATAACCCCTCACGTGGGTAACAGCAAAAGGGAACCAAGTCGACATTGCTGAATGCTAGGCCTCGAAAATTGGCTACAGATTATACCGATCAGTATAGCCATGTTGTCGCTTATATAGCACCTTCGCTCGGCTTCAACCATCCTGAGAGCTGACTTCGGCTGAGGGGTAACGAAAATGTAGCGTGTGAGGCTGTACCCCTGTCGGTACATGACTCTCCCCAAATATCTTCGCTCGTGACAGGGGCCAATTCCCCTTAAGATGCAAAGCTAGCAAGGGTTGATAGTGCTGGACTGGATTTATACCTGGAGAGGTGCAGTAGCCGAGACGCTGGCCCGGTTAGCCTGCCGTTAGCTTCGCGTAGCTCGCCATACTTGACCCCCAAGCGCTTATGTGTGGCTTGACTTTGAGGCGCATCAGCCATGAGGTTACATCTGACCTTTCACCCAATAGCAGTCAATGACCTCAGGTTGTTGCTATCTTTAGGCCCCAGTGTTTGCGGTGGTCACCGATACCTGCCTTGAGGTGCTGGCCAACGTGCTGTGGCGGTGCTGGCCTCACCAGCGTTGATACTTACTTCGACACCCAATTATGTGGTGGCTCGACCTGATCTTCTCCCTCATCGTTTCTGTCCTGTCAGCGAATATGGGAACTGCTGGGCCGTGGCTCCATTATAGAAGAGAACGAGACTGGAACTATTGAGAAAAAAGAAGTCTTTGATTCAGAAAATGAAAACAGATAAACGCTATGTTGAGCAATCAATGAAGGGATATTCAGACAGGGGGAAAAGCATCATGTCATCAAACGTCGATCTGTTACCCATACACACGAGAACACCACACACAGATTCGAAAGACCGGACAAATAGTTGTGTTGCTATCCGTTGAAAAAAGGAGGTCGGTCGCTATGCTAGGAGTATTCGTGGCGCAGCAGTATATACTAGTGCTTGTGCAATAGCGGGATAAGTGTAAACGCTAGTTCTATGTGTCTGTTAGTTACATATTCCAGTCGTAATCCTCTGGGTTGAAACAGCATACCACATCACGGTGCAGATACAGCAGTCGCATTCCTCGTCACCACAATCACAGCCAAAGCAAGGCTTGGATACTGTCTTGATGGGTTTCCTGATCGAAGACCCCGAGCTGGAGGAGGGGAGTGTGAAGTTGACGGGAGAATAGAAGGATCCGACGCTCATTGTGGGCGATGTCTAATGGAAGTATCGAGTGTGGTTTGGTTCAAGCTAGATTGCAACAGGAAACTTTGGGGATAGGCTGGTTGGAGAATAAGGGATCAGGAACAGAGAAGGGCGAATAAGTATGGAAGGGAACGAAGAGTTGGGGAGAGAGAGAGAGCGACCAACGGTCGGGCCCAGCCATCAACGTCATACGTGGGTCACGATCCTCAGGCTGTCAGGCTGTCAGGCCGTCCGCCAAGCCTTCTTTCTTCGTGCGGTCTACAGAGTAGCGTCAACAACAACCATACAACAGCCATGTCAGTTTCTACTAATCTACATCTCCCCTGCATTTTCATATTTGTCATATCTGTCTAAGTGAGAGATTACATTTTCTATATTCTACACTGACTCCTATTTCCTAAAGCCTCGGGTGGAAGACTGCTGCCCTCCCGTCCGCCTTCGCAGTGAATGTGCGAGCGACATTGATGAAGTCGTCCCACTTGGCGCCCGACGGCATCGGAGCCGTGCAGTACGGCTCAATGCCGAGATCATCGAGATGCCTGTTAAGTTGTGACATGACAGCATCGCATGCTGTACTCTCCATTTCATACTGGGCAGCTCTGCTCAGCTCCAAACACTCCACGTACCAGCTGGAGTCGCTTCTCACCGCTTCCGACTCATACATGGCCAACAAGTCACCGTCAATCCCCCCCGCTTAGCAGCAATCTCAAAAGCCATGCGCTGTCCGATTGCCAGCATCATTGGTCGACATCGAGGCAGGATGAACTTATTGTACTCAGGACTTCTGTGACCCTTGAAGGTTTCGAGCAGCTCCCGTAACTCAGCAATGAGACCGCTCTCATGCTTAGCCAACAATGACGTGGGGTTTTCTGCTTCGGGGATCTCACAACGTTCGAGTAGGATCTCTGTGGCATGACCTAATAATAGCTCAGATGGGGTCATACCCAATGGTTCAATAGGTCAAACGTGACTTACGGATGCAAAGAACTAGAAGCTCTCCTTCTGCAATGCTTGTACATCGTGTCAGAGACTGACCTATGTCAATATAACGGCCCGGCAATCGAGCAGTCACAACAGCGTACCTCCACGTTTGCCATCTGATTCTCGGGAAACATCGCCTGCGCACCACTTCTCTCGACTAAAGCACTGAGGCTTTCTTGTCCATTGAATACGAACAGGGACTTGAGCGCCGCACTGAGTGCATGGCTAGACATAATGCTGAGGGACTAATTGTTCTGCTGGGACACTACCCACTCCACTAGCGGTTCCATGACGGCAACGTGGGCCAAGGCACGCGCGATCGGCAGCTGCTGAGTCCTGAAGTTGAGAATCGGGACCCTGTCCCCCTTAACACCCTCCTGGACCGTACGCTGTTGGCTGTACTTTCCTGCAATAAACGCAGCACATTTCAAGAAAGGGATAGTCCATAGACTCAGGGCCAGGGATCCAAGCCGGAGCTGGCCAATAGCGAACAGGAATTGAGCACGCAGGTTTCCAGGCTTGGCCAGGTCTCCAAGCATAGCACTTGCTTTCAGACGCACATTATCAAAGGTCGTCAGGCTATGATCGAGCATTTCGCCGCAGCCTATTGGCGGAAGGAGCCTGAAGAAATTAGACAATGGTTAAGCCTCTAGGCACTTGATGGACACTTGCCATGACTTGACACCTTGGCACATCCGATAACCGTCGTTGATGGGAACCACGAAGGGTCGAATCCCTCGATCTTCTCCTTCGACGAGAAGGCGTGCCATGACCAGCGCAACTCGAGGAATTCCCGCCATCGGCATGGATGGTGGCATGAACCTGCTCTTCTTAGCATTCGCATTTTCCGTTGTTGCCATTTTTCACATACTTGGCCGCGTTCCGGTTCGGGGTGTTCAAAATAAACCCGCCGTCAGAGTTCCATGAGGCAGTAGTCTCCAGATTTCTTGCATCACACCTATGACCAACTTCGTTCAGCATGAAAGCCCCACTGCAGACAAGACATACTTGAGCAAGAGTTTTACACAATTGTTTTCCAAGGCTTACCATATATCAAACTCAAGAAACTCCCTGATAAGAGGCTCCAGATCCGGTCTTTTCTTCACATAGGTGGCGAGAGTGCCCACGACGAGGTTATACTGTATGCTCAGATTGATGTGCGCGACCGGATCCCGTACGATGATACCATCCATGTGAGCACGCTGGGACTTTGGTGAAACACGAACGACGTCGTCCAAGGTCAATGCTAGACCACATTAACCTGGAAGCTTACGTTTGGGTTTGGCTGACCCCAATGTTTGGCAATGGCCCTGGCTCGCAGGTAAGAAAGCTCCAGACGTTCTTTCCGTGGGGCATTCTTGTAATGGAGCTGAAAGAGCTCAGTTGAGAGAAGATCAATAGTTGATAATGGCTGCATGGTAAAGCGCTCCATCCTCTGAATTCGAAATAAGCACACTTGACCTTGACTTCCAAGGGATGTAACGTACTATTTGTACGCGGTTATGCAACCCTGCGTCGTGAAATTTGCCTTACAGACGACCTATACCACCAGCTGGTTGCCAGCTAAACTGTAACAGCATCTCCAAAGCACAGAAGGCTTTGCCGAATGAAGCATTATACTTCAGAATCTCGGCTAAACTCAACCATGCCGGTTTAGGTTTTTTGGGTTTTCGGATCCAGGCTGTACTCCGACAAGATTAGGAAACCTTCCTTCTAATCAAGGATTAGGAAAAGCTTACTTGTTTTCAATAATGTATATCTGGAATAAGAAACAATATACAGCCGAACCTGGACACATATCAAGCTTTGGTAATAATCTTTCTGTTTAAGCCGTCTTTAAACTGGTCTACCGACTGGCATTTAAATTCACGCCAAGGCTTCTACATATCATGTCTGACGCATACAGCTGTTTGTTCTCGTCCGGCTTCGATAATCTGCTACACAATCTATGGCTCAATTGGCCTCATACTCTGTATTGACCTCGAAGATCTGGATTGGCGTAACAGACCATGGTTAGCATATTGCCATAACGAGCGACTACTACTATAGTTTCACATCCCGGACCCATGGTAATACTCACGCAACGCAGCGTGACATGCCATATGGTCAGGACTAACGTACGCCAAGGATCTCACGCGATGGAAATGCAGCCCACTTTCTACCATCAGAGCTACATCATCGCACCGATTGTGAAAGGTCCCGAAAGCTTGAGGGGGGATTTGCCAGCGAGTAAGCAGTGCTTTCTTGCCGGAGGCAATAGCAACCTGCAGATTATCCTGCTAGTTCAACTCCGCTAACAAGACGAAGGCGCATGAACTCTGTTTCCTGGAGAACATCCACCGGACCCGGGCTAATTCGAAGAAGCTCTCGGCTCAAAGCCCCGAACCATAAACTGATTACTGCCGATCTACGACCGCGCCGTGGCCTTGTCTATATTCCATGGTAGGAACACCAATATCGAGGTTTGTCTGCAAATCAAGAAACTTCCGAACTTCTTGGACAAACAAGACACTTCCAGCCGTGAGTATCATGGGCCTTGAAAATAGGATCAATGGAGTCCGCGAGCAAACAGGATCATTGCAGTCCAAATGCAACGCAAACACCCACAAGCAACCCATTCATCTCGGTCATCTAAACAAGCAAGTCGCCTCCTTGACACAGATACATCCATCCAAGTCAACTACTCGACTACTCCACTTCCTTTCCCATCGAGCACCACGCCTGTCCTCCAGGTTTCCTGTTCCCCCCTGTATTTCTCCCATTTTCTGGACTTATCTTCTACCTTCTCTATCGATTCTTCGCCATCGCTTAAGATCTCGTACTCGATCATCATGGAAACCTCAGAGCTATCAAAGAGTCGAAACACCGGCATCAATTGACACTACCCCAAGGCGGTTAACCATGTGGTGCACTAGGCAGCCGAGACGTCTCACGGAGCCCACAGACCGAGTAGAAAAGCACGCGTCCAGTCCGTACTTCGATAGACAAGGGACCGCAAGCCCAGGGGCCCAGTCCCACAGAAAAATGCCCACAGAAGCCATCGTAACACCCTGATCAACGAGCGAATAAAGTCTTCCGTGCCTTCGAAGCACATACGCCTAAGCCCAGCTATCGCCCCGCTTGTGAAGCTCCTGGCCATGAGGTGCCGGTCTGGATCACGTGACGCGCACTCTGACCTCCCTAATAACGATCCTCAATCCTCCCTTCGGCCCGGCAGACGAGGGGTAGATGTTACATGTCCAAGTGATGTAGCCCCTGGTGCCAATGCCAGGCTCCGATGAGGGTGTACACGTGGAGTAAGATCGGGGGGCTGTCGGTTGCTACCTCTCCGGATAGGGAACGGCCCGGTTGAACGGTCGAGGAAGAGGATATATATCCGCAGAAGGAGCACTCTCATAAGTACGGCAAGAGTGTAGTGGCCTGAGAATTCAAGGGTGAATAACTACTTATTGAGACCAAGGTGTCTAATACACGAGTACTGGTTGTTGCCTCTCACGTCAGCACAAACTGGAGGACTTATCCTACAAAGATCATGTCCAAAGAGATACCGTTCGGCTATGAATCCATCCGTTCCATGTACTGAGACGACATCCCGCTCGCCTCAGACAGAAATTGATACACCAGAAAAGCTACTGCGGCCCATCAAAAAGACATACGAGCCATCGGCAATGCAACTACGCATCAAAAAAGTAGAGGTAGAGAAGAAAAAAAAATAAATATATTTACAATCCGACTTTTGTGAGTCATGATTCGTCATATCCAAAGCGATCAGATCTATCTTATCAAAAGGTGCATTCGTACAAGGCCGCAGTCCAGACCCTGGGGTATCTTCTAGCATCATCCATCATGTCGTCCCTTTTTTGTTTGTGTCTCAAGAGACCCAGTCTATCCATTAAGTAAAGGGGTATGTTTTTTTTGGGTGGTTCATCAAACTTTTTGTCGTCACGTCACTCAACCAGCAATTTTACAACTGCTCGGCCCAAGGGGCGGAACCAGGCTGCATCTGGTTGAGCCACTTGACGAGTTCGATGACCTCGGCCCGGCGCTCCTCCTCAAGCTGATCGGGGTCAGAGAGGACGGCCTGGAAGATGGGCAGGAACTGAGGAGTAAGCTCGCGGACGGTGGGGTCCTCCCACTTGTCTGTTGTGAAGTTAGCAACTGTGCAAGGGGTATGTGTCCTGACAAGTACTTACACATTTGGCAGATCATGCGGAACAGGGGGTCGTTCTCCTCGTAGTCGTTCTTGAGAGGAAGGATGGAGACGAGGACGGGAAGGACATCCTTGATAGGGACGCTCTCACGGTGCTTGAGGATCATGCGGGACAGACATCCGGTGGCGTTGTCCTGGAGACGAGAAGCGTTCATGTGAAGACACTGCTCGAGACGGGAGAGAATGGTGGGGATCTCCTTGACGATCTGGTCGTTGGCGTTGGAGTGCTCGATGAGGCGACCAACGGCGTAGGCAGCGTTGGAGCGAGTCTGGGGATCCTCATCGCCAAGACGGTGGACGAGAAGCTTCAAGAAAGCAGGGGTGAACTGGGTCACAGCAGCACCCATGCCGTTGATGCACTCAGCGAGGACACCGACAGCGGTGGCACGCTCGAGAGCCTCGGAGCTACCGGCGTAGCGGATGATGATCTTCTCGAAGACCTTCCAGAGCTCAGCGAAGGTTGCGCCGAGAGCAGCAGCCAGACCAGAGACAACGTCAAGACCAGTGTCAACAACGACCCAGTCGAACTCAGAAGTCTCCTCACCGGCCTCGAGGGTCTCCTCCTCGGGACCGAACTCGAGCTGGCAAGGGTGCTTCTTGGTGATGATATCAGTGATCATGGTGATGACGTTGTGCAGGGTGGTCTCGTTAGCGATGAGAGCGGGACCGCAGTAGCGGAGGTTCTCAGCCATGTTGCGGTTGATGTCGGCGACGGTAGCCCTAAGATTATCTGGTTAGAAACTGTGGTACCCAGAAAATGAAGTGATGGAAGCAGCGAGAGAATCAAAATATCAGAAGGTTGTGAGTAAATCGTGGTTGACAGCATGCACAACTTTTGTGTGTCTGAGTGAGCTGGGTAAACGAGGTGATCATCATATAAATTGACCCGCATTTGCGGACAGGATCTTTGCGTGCAGAGAGAAAACGAAAAATCATGTATACGTACCGGTCATCTTCCTCAGTCCACATCTTGATAGTGCAGGTCATGAGGATTTCACCGAACTTCTGCACCTCGCGAGCAGGCTCAACCTGAAGGGGAAGACCAGGCTTCCACTTCTCCATCTGGCCGCTCTCCTCAGCAATGCAGTACAGCATAGCGTAGGAGCGGTGGAGAGTGCTAATGGTGCTCTTGCGGACACCCTCATAAGGGTGCTCAGCGAGAGGGAGAACCATCTCGATAGTCTTCTCGAAGAAGGGGAGGTACGCGGCCTTGGTGTGGGTGACAAGGTCACCAATGACTTCGACGGCGATCTCCTTCTCCAAAGAGAGGGGAGTGGTGGCAGTGATGTCATCCCAAGCATCCTCGTCCTCATCGACATCAACATCCTCGATCTCACCATCTTCACCGACGGGCTCATCATCATCATCAGCGCTGGCAACACGGACCTTGCGGCCACCGATGGTCACCTCCTGGCCGACGAGATCCTTAGCGGCTTCGCCCAGGGAGACATCGAGATCAGTCTCGTCCTGCTCAATGCAAGCGAACAGACCCTTGACAACACCGTCGAGGAAAGGAGAGAAGTGCTCGGCGTAGACCTTGGACATGGCACCCCAGAAGATGTAGGTGCTCTCCTTGAGACGGGAGTGACCAAGGTGGAGAGCCTCCTCGGTAGCACGCATGAGGGGCTCAACATAGGGCTGGTAGCGCTCAGGACCAGCAGCAGCGGCCATCTCACCCATAGCGTCGGTAACGCTGGCGCGAAGATCGAGCTCTTCCTCGCTGTCCTTGACGGTGGCATACTCTTGAAGGAGGTGCATGGACTCATCGAAGAAGGACAGGAAGGAGTCACCAGCAGAAGAGGCCAAAGAGCCGAGAGCACCGGCAGCAAGACCCTTGATTCTGAAGTCGGGGTGCTTGAAGAGCTTGTGGAGGATAGGAACCAACTCGTTCTGGTACGGAGCAACATCCTTCTCATCGAGACCGTCAACGACGGCATCAATGGCGCTGATACCAGCCTTCATGATGTCGATGGTAGGCCCATCCTCCTCACCCTTGTACTCCTGCATGGCGCTAGCCAAGTTCTTGAAGAGCAGAGGCATCAATCTCTCGTGCTCCTGGCTCAGGTCCTCGGCCAGATCGTCGGCGAGACGAGCAACAGCGTGGAGGGTAGCCTGGCGAACCTTGGGCTCGGGATCAGCCAGGAGCTGAAGGACCATGGGGAAGATCTCCTTCATCTGAGTGCTGATGAAGTCGGGAGCACCCTCAA